GGAGGAGACCTCAGTCTTATTCTCCTTCGTCCACCACTACCATCACAGAGGGGTCTTACCAGACACTCTCAGTGTGCTATTCAATCTATCTGCATTCTCATCCTGTGATAGCGCCCTCTGCCTCGCCAGTAAGTCATATTCTGCAACTAGCATTCGGGCCTCGTCAGTGGGCACGTCGAATCGCCACAGCTCGTCGCTGTTGGCTCTTAGCCAGGAGGCCCTCAAGGGGACTCTATATTTGGTTGTCTATCTTTGTCATCGGCGTGCCGTGACACTAACGTTGGCCCTCTAATGCAACTTTTTGACCTTTCTGTAGTCTGTGAAATCATCGGATTGACTCCGAAGCTGTTCCAATGGATAGCTATGCTTATAATTTATGTTCTCAATTTTTCTCACACTGCAGTCTTGAGATGTTCATGATACTGGAAGGCAACAAGGACTGCAACAGCAATGCAACCATTCTCCGAGGTGATGTCACACAATCAGTCACTTAGCCGGGTGCTGATCCGAGTGGGAGTTGTGGCGCGCGAGTGTCCCTAGTCGATCTCTCTCACACTGAATATCTTTAACCCACCATGCTCGTCTGCGGCTTCTCTGTACAAAATAACTTCGAAGTATGATACTTCACGCATATGTATATCGACCTAAGTAAATCTCTTTCCAACCACATCCGTTACAGTGTAATGGACCGCGAAACTACGTTCCGAGGCTTACACCGCAGCAGCCGCCCGACGACTATATTAGCGCCTGTGCATGGACAATTTCCGCACACGCAATTGCCTCTCCCTTATCTTTGCAGCCCTCCTGTCGCAAGGTATGCTGCCTGCGACAGCCGGCTCTTCTCGAGTATCAACTTATGGTGCAGATAGATCGACTATTTTATGACAACAGATCAAAGTGTCTTTATAACCTCAAACAAACCGAGTAGTACAATATATTAATATCCGTCCATTCTTTCAATTCCTCGCGACTCGATCAGCTTTCTGACCTTCAGTGACTCGCGTTTCACAAGAACTTTGATGCCTATACAAAAAGGTGGCTTGTGCTCAGCAAGGTTCAAAAGCATAGTAAAGAATGCGCCAACCAAGCCCATAAGACCGCCAAGGCCGCCACTGTTACTGCCACCAGTCGTGCCGCTCATTTTCGACTGCACAAGCATCTTCATGACCGTCATAGCCGCACCGTTTACCGCATCCTGCTTGTTTCCAGAGGCAGCACCGCCGGACTGGTCGAAGAGCTTGGATGCTTCGGCCATCGCATAGCTCATCAAGCTGGACGTCGAGCCCGACCCAGCGCCGCCGCCAGCGCCGCCAGCACCACCGCTGCTGCCACCGCTGGAAGTGAACATCTTCATGACCTGAAACGTCGAAACCGTGAAGACAGGTTTAGATGACGAATTCAGCAACGGTACCTGCATCGCAGCTGCGCTGCCCATGGAACCGGCAGAGAGGCTGCTCGCGTTGCCTTCTTGGTAAGCAGCCTTGTGAGCCTGCTGAACGCCAGCTTCATCGATGGGCTGCGTGTGCTCGCTCTGCTGAAAAGGTGATGTCAATGTAGATGCATTCACACAACAGATCGACTTACGGTATTCTGCTGAACGTGCTGCAGGGCGCTAGAGAACAGCGACGACCCTCCGCTGCCTTGCTGGCTAGCGGTCTGGACGACTTCGTCCTCGTCGACTGCAAATGATGAACCGTCAGCATATTTGCCCAATGCATAACTGCGAGACGTACACTGCGGACGACCTTGGGTCTGCGGGTGACCGCCCGCACCGGAGTGAGACGGGGAGTTATACTGCTGGCCACCCGTCTGACTATACTGAGGCTGCGCCCCTCCTCCAGAGTACCGCTGAGCAGTCGATGCTTGATCGCTGCCAGAAAAGTACTCGGCGGCAGCCCCTTGTTGCCCAGACGAGCCGTATCCCTGGCTGGCTTGTGCACCGCCACCGTACTGCGCACGGCTCTCCCCACCGTACCCAGAGCCGCCGTACTGGCCGCCACCACCCTGATACTCAAAGCGGCCTTCAGTACGCTGCTGGGTACCGCCGTATTGCTGATCACCACCATACTGCTGACCACCGCCGGCGTACTCAGCGCGACCCTCGGGACGAGGGTGGGAAGCGCCGTACTCTCCGGCGGCACCTCCATATTGAGGCCGGCCTGCACCCTCACTGTACTGAGGGGCACCGTATCCCTGCCCACCCTCATACGACTGACGAAGAGGGGCGCCGCCTTCGCGGTAAGGCTGCTCCCCTTCCTCCAGGCGGTGATGGTGCTGATGCGGGGGAGGTCCCCCATACTCTCCCCCAGGTCCTAGTGGCGCCTGTCCACCATATTCTGCGCGCCCGCCTTCGTAGGCTTCCCCTTCAGGGCGCTGGTGATGATGGTGGTGGTGTTCCTCGTTAGCTTGAAAGGCGGTATGAGCACACATCGTCCTCGATCGACGGAAATCGCGTATATCTTGTACGCGAGACGCGGGTATCCAGGGGCTACTCACATTGCGGTCTCCCGTATTCGCCTCCGTATTCCTGCAGAGCAAGTCAGCGTTGGCAACATCGATACGGCGTGAGTACGTGCCATGGTATGTACGTGTGTGTTTCGGCGGGGTGGATGGATGTCTGGAAGTGAGGGCCGAGAGCGTGTGGGGGCGATGACCATCCATCGACCCTCGCTGTGGCGCGTCGCGGCGTCTGGACTGGGCGCCTATCACGAATATCGCGTGGATTGTGGGAGATTACCGTAGATGGAAGGTGACGTTACTCATAGAAAATGACCGCCGGCAGGATCGGCTCGGATACTGCGGCAGGCTTTTGAGTCCGTCCAGGATCTAGCATCTTACTGTCCAGCAGTGACATATCCCCCCTCCAAACACTATAATGCTCACACACACCACGGTCCCCCACTCCCCCCTCTACCTATCGTGATGGCGTCTCCAACGACTACTGAGACTGCCCCGAATTTATCCACAGAGGCATTGAGGCAGCTTAACGCACCTGATTCCGACCTTCTATCCCAGTCAGACGACACTGAAATTGAGCCGCAACAACCTGAAACCCAGGATGCATCAAAGGCAGCAACTAATCCAGAGAACGAGCCGGACATATTGATTGTGGACTGGGACGGTCCTGACGATCCGGCAAATCCAAGAAAGTAAGATATTCGGTCTCCCAACGCATTTTGTAGCTGACGTCTGGTCACAGTTGGAGCACGAGGACGAAATGGGCAGCGGCAGCGACGGTCTCCGCGTTCACATTCATCTCGCCCATTTCCTCGTCCATGGTGGCCCCGGCCGTTTTCCAAATTGGAGCATCATGGGGCATTACAAGCAGCTTCGAATTGTCGCTGATGGTCTCCGTCTTCGTCCTCGCATACGGTGAGAAGTTCGTATAACATGCGGCATTGAGCTCTTCCAACGTATCTTTATGCTGCCTCAGCCGTCGGTCCGCTATTTCTAGGGCCTCTTAGCGAGATCTTCGGTAGAACCATCGTGCTCCGCGGCGCCAACCTTTGGTATCTCGGTATGCCTGCCGTTTATAGACTATAACACAATGTCTGACTTCAGTGCACAGTGTGGAATTTGGGCTGCGGGTTTGCTCAAAACAAAGGCCAATTAATCGCATTCCGTTTCATGGCTGGGCTGGGCGGCAGTGCACCTCTTGCAGTACGTGTCGGTATGCCTCTCAAGACAGTATTCAGCTGATGAGACTTCGACAGACCGGTGGTGCTGTCCTCGGTGACCTCTGGAAGCCAGAGCAGCGTGGCCAAGCCATAGCAATCTATTCACTCGCACCGTTGCTGGGGCCTGCCATCGGTCCTGTGGCAGGCGGTTGGATTGCTGAGCGATCAACATGGCGTTGGGTTTTCTGGTCCACGTCCATCGCCGCCGCCGTAATCCAGGGATTCGGACTCATCTTCCTGAAAGAAAGTATGTCACTGCAATTTTCGTCAATAATTTCATGTGTGCCCATGCGGCATATTGGAATCTAGCGTTTGCGCCTCTACTCCTCGATAGGAAAGCAAAGCTCATTCGGGCGAAGATGGATGCCGAGAAGGGCGGCGTGCGACCTGTGAAAACAATCTATCAGATGAACAGCAAAAACCAGACGTATGTAGCAGCTGTTCCTTCCGAGCAGCAGAAAAATTTACAGTTTGACGGCCACAGCTTTGGTGAATTTGTGCAGAAGGCACTCGTCCGGCCCTTCGTCCTTTTTGCGCAGGAGCCAATTATTCAGCTTTTTGGCCTTTACCTGGCATTTATCTACGGCGTAATTTATCGTGAGTGCGGTCGCTTCCTATGCAGAATGCTGCACGTATTTATCATCATCAATCAGTCACGTTGACCACAATACCTGGGATTTTCACCAACGTGTATCATGAGGATGCAGGTATAGGAAGCTTAAATTACATTGCCCTTGGTATAGGTACGTGTTCGCATGTCGTTTCAAGAGCGGGATTTCATATAGTGCCGCCAGGCTTGTTCGCTACCTCGCAAGTGAACGCGCGTTTGCTTGATAAAATCTACATCCGCCTCAAGAAGCGCAACAACGGGATCGGACGGCCAGAGTTCCGTTTACGTGAGTCATTCTTCTCATCTGACCGACCGAGAGATATTCACCTTACCTTCCCCATAGCCACCGTCTTTCCTGGTGTCATCCTGATTCCTCTCGGGCTCCTGATGTCAGGATGGGGGGCCAAGAGGCATTCGCATTGGCTTGTTGTCGATTTTGTGCGTTTAACTTTATTCACGATATATTGTTAATAGTGCTGACGAGTCTTTGAATTACGTAGGGCTTAGGGTTCCTGGGGTCGGGTATGATTTTGACATTTCAAGGCATGCAGACGTACGTTATCGATGCGTTTACTCTATATGCCGCTTCAGGTCAGTAATTTCGGTGTGTGAACCTCAGCACGACTGACATTGCCTCGTCGTCCAGCTCTGGCAGCGGTGTCGTTCTTCCGATCATTAGCAGGCTTCGGCTTCCCGCTATTCGCACCGGCGATGTATGATGCGCTAGGATACGGAGTCGGCAATACAATCTTGGCCGCGGCCGCCCTAGTCATCGGGCCTCCAGCGTACGTTCCGCCTATGTAATTCGTGAGAATCCACAGCGATTGACTGGTCCGCTTTTTGACAGCGTATGGTGTTTCTGGCGATACGGCGAGAAGATACGGGGCATGAGCAAACACGCGAAGAAATCCGCATTGAGAATGGCCCAGATGGATGCTATGCGAAAATGAATGCGTTGGATATCGATGATTATTATGTCTGCGTCCCCTATCTCGTACCTATATACCCACCACACACATATTCCCGCTTTTCCCTGGTTTCCTAGCCGCTGAACGTTCTCCTTTCTGACATTACGGCTCCGAGATGACTGGTGATGATATCCCACGCACTGCAATGCTACCATTAGCACAGGACTACCTAGTACTTTCACTACCACGTATAATTAGCTGCCCATACTAGTAGGATGCTTGTTTGCGGACGTCTTTGAATCGACTCGGATTTGATCGAGCATCCATGTGTCTTGCAATGGCTTTTGATGAGGCTTGAAGACGATATCCGGGTTTCCGTCGGAAGCAACTGAGACCAAGCCTCTCAAAGAGATTCAAATTCAAAGTCGAAGAGTTGGACTTGGAAGTCGCGTCGCGGGACGGCGCTGGTGGCGATACAAGATCTCGATCTACGGCGCTAACGTTGCGCGTGAAAGCCGTTTTGGGGGTCGACTCCCGTCAAACCGCAACCTCTACCACGTCTTGTAGTCTCCTCAACGCTTCTTCGCCACAGCCATGTTGCTTTGCACTCTGCCCGTCATTGTGGGTATGCGACATTGATCAGGCTCAGCAAGGTGGACAGCATTCTCGATGGGCTTATGATAATCCCGTCGAGAATGATGAAATGGGGCCGCATGACCAACAGTGGTGCACACCTGGGGGAATGACCGAGGACTACCATGCGACGCGATCGGCATGGAACGCGCAAAGAGAGGAAGAGAGCGACGCCGCACGGATGTTCACGCGGGACCTCAATTTCGTGAGATGTGCGAAGGGGCGATGCACTTCCGTTTTCTATTGCTCGTGGTCAAGTACTAGAGAATCAGAGGAATTCCTGACACATCAGTCGTCGTTCGCGATCCTGTTCGGATCAGATGACATGTCACTCTATTGCTTTCAGCCTCAGAGCGGACAATCTGTCGGCCAAACGGTCCATCTATGTAAATACTACCCTAGAGTACAATTCATTCTGTCGTACAAGAAAATCTGCCCAGATCACCCATCTACAGCTCACCGATCTTTGTAGGTTGACCAGTCGTAGTGGCGGGGTATGGAGTGTTGGCGACGTGCGAGTCGAACTCTAGCGGTGCCGTGGTGGCAGGAACGGCATCAGGCTGCGTTGATGTGGAGCCTGTGGACGCCGTTCCAGTGACCATGCTCCTCGCCTTTTCGACCGTTGGCTGCACCATCGTCTGCGCGGATGCAAGGTACTCCTTGCCAGTCTGCAGTGCAGATGATGCGGTGGACTGCACGGTATTCGAGAAGTTGCTGTTCGTCATCGCATCTGTCGAGCTGGTTTGCAAGCCGCCATATAGCGACTGTGCGAGCGACCTTATTAATAATCGGACGTAGATGAAGGCTAAATTGAGGCGCGTACCTGAGCAGTCTCGTAGGCACTGTTTGCGAACGTTTTCGCCTGCTCCACGGCGCTCTGCGCCGCGCTCGCAACGGTAGCTCTCGCGCTGTCAATATCACGCTGTCCCTGTTCGGAGGCCTGATTGGTCTTGTTCTCTAGAGCAAGGCCTGCCTCAAGCTGGTTCACTGCGGAGACGACTTGAGGTTTTTTCTCCTATAATGCAGGCGGTCAATATGGATTCGCACGTACAAATGTCAAAGCGACAGACTTGAGCTTCCACAGCGACCTGCTCCGCAACATTCTGCATTTGAGAGGCGTTCTTGCCGACCTCGTTGGAGAGTTCGGCGGTCGGTGCCTCGACCTGTGCCCAGGCTGCGGTGGTCTCGAAACGAGCGTCGCTCCTGCAGAAGATCCCGGTGAGCTCACTATCCTAATGATCAAACACAGACCACATACTGGTTGGGAGCGGCAGCGGCGACGGTGGTGGATGCAGCTGGAGTAGACATGATGATTTGTTTGGGTATTCAGGGGAACGTCGTGTTGTGAAGTGGGAGCTGTTGCCGTTGGTGTCAGCTCGCTGTCCTCTTATATGCAGCCGCTGCCGCCCCTTGCATTGCATTGCAGCACTGCATCAAGTGGAGTGTGGGACGCGGTGGTTGTCGGACGTCATTAAGCTGTCCAACGCGGTCACGCGCCTATGACGTCACGCGTCTCTGGCGCAAATATTAATGCCTCCTTTAAGTGTCCTATTGTAACAACGTATAATATAGTAAGTTCTGCTTTCGCGTCTACTTCAATTTACACCGCGGATGTAAGCCTACGAGTTGAGCCGGAGTCAGCGAGATCAGCATTTTGCATGCAGACACAGACGTACGTATCATATTTGACAAGCTCATCGACATCTATAAACGCTGTTGAGGCCAAGCCCCGAGCCTCCATCCATACCCATACCTGAGTAGAGGATGAGTGCCACTGTCAACAATATATCGAGTCCAAGACTTACCTTCAGGAATGCACCGATATCTCCGGACGGCATCTGCGACATCGTCTCCTGTGTTGACATCTGTCGCCCTAGCTGTCTCAGGATAGGCAGAGCACTCTTGAACAGATCCAGCCCTGGGTCCAACTGCCGGCCAATACCCTCCAGCAGCAATATTGATATCACCGTATTCACAAAGTCGCCTTCCATCTTCACATGGTGCTGGCGGACCGCCTTGAGCACCTCCGTCAATATGTCAGAGATCTTGATCTGGCCGAGCGAGAACGTCTTCCGCTTGACGTTCAGCACGATGTGCTGCATGCGCAGTGCGAACGTCTCCGGATCGATGGCCAGCTCGGGCGTACGGCAGCGCTCGACCATCAGCTGTCCAGCGCGATACCCGTCAAACTCGGCTATAGCACGAAAGAGGTCGAGGAAGTTCTGGCGGTTCTTCCCGTTCAGTGTCGTAACAAGACCAGCATCAACGAACACGACCTCTGGCATGTAGCCTGAGGCGTGCAACCTCTCCAGCTCAGATCGCCATGCGGGAGGATCATCGACATACGTCCTTAGATGCTCGACGATATCATCATGCATTCCGCGGACCGGAGGCTCGGACTCTGTGGGAGCAGGTGGTGGCTTCTGCAACAGACCCTTGAGCGTATTTCGAATCGAGATGTTTGAGGGCTTCGAGAACTGAATCATAATGTTGCCCGGGTGCAAATCGGAATGCACAAAGTTATCCAGGAGCAGCATGTTCTACACGCGTTCAGCGTCAGGCCCGGTTTTCGCATAATCTGTGACAATCACTCACTAGGAACGCGTCCAGGCCCACCTCGGCGAGCAGATCGTTGAATGGCCCACCTCCGTTTCGCAAGAACAGTTCCAGCGATAACGCGTTCTTGAACTCTTCCACGAGAACCTCCTTACTGCTCCACATCCTCAGTGGCCGAGGGAAATTCACCGGGAGCTTTCGGTCCGCGAAGTTGTGCTCAAACTCCTCCAGGTTGTTCGCCTCAATGCGCAGATCGAGCTGCTCGTGCATCATCCGTCCGAATACCTCGACCTCTTCGGGTAGGGAGATCCATTGCATACCAGGGAAGAGCGTGATGACCCTCGCGAAGAAGCGCATGATGGAGAGATCGCGATGAATCAGCTTTTCGACATGAGGATGCAAAATTTTGACCGCGACGGAGGCTGTAGGCACGGGAGGTGGTGGCTCATTGACTAGGACAGGCGGGAGTACGTTCTTGCGGTGACGTTTGAGAGTGACATTTGAAGGCGGCGGAACCAGATCTTTCTTTAATATTCCTCTGGACACCTATCAATGAATCAGCACGTTGACAAAACGTCCTCATTACGGACGTTGTACCTGCGCTATGGCACCGCTGCCTATCGGTGTCTCATCGAACTCCTCGAATACCTCGTCGAACGGTCGCTGGAAGACGTGTTCTACAACACGCTTGGTGTGTGAGAACGGATGTGCCTTGCCGCGTGAATGCAATGCGCCCAGACGCTCACAGAGAAGCGAGGAGAACAGATCTGCGCGAGATGCGGCCCATTGGGCTAGCTAAGACTGTGAGATCAGCTAAACTCTGCACATGTTATACGCCGATCGAAAAGCATGTATGCGCACCTTGATGAATGTCGGCCCAGCCCTTTGCATCTGGCTCGTGAGATAACCATACCACCATACTGCGCCCCATCTGTCTCCTTGTAGTCGTTTCTCCGGTTTGCCTACGAGTAGCATTGGCGAGCTGAGAAGAACAGGGAGAAAGAGGTAGACCAGAAAGATGAACCGGCGTGCCGTCAAGATCGGTTCCCAGATGCGGTCGCGCAAGAAGACGACAATCTTAGATAGTATATGCGTGTCGTCCGGTTCTGCCGGAGAGAGGATCATCGGTTCAATAGGTGCAGGTTGAATGGCAGGACATGGGATCAAAGTCGGCGAGGAGAAGATAGCTGGAAAGACCGAACGTTGTTTGGGAAAGGCGAGCAGAGCGAATCCTCCGGCAAGCGGGAGTAACCACAAAAGCTTGCGGCGAAAAAGAGGGCTAGGGGCAGCTGTCCTCGTAAAGAACTGATGCGAGAACGGTCGATGGTGGGGCGGACGTGTCCAGAGTGAGGCATAGTGGCGACTTTCGTGGAAGGTCGTGCGCGTCGGACTCCACACGGCGTTCCGCAGACCACAAGGGAGAGAGAAGAAGCGGAAGGACATGAGTGGTGGAACGTTGAGGAGCAATGCTTATGGGCGGACCATGGCCGAGGACGTGGAGGACGATGAGCTAGAGGCAAAAGGCCGACGGACTTGAGGTATGCGTCGAAACGCGGGGCACGTGCCACAAATTAACGCATCAGTTGCGCGCGCCTTGCATGTCCGCTCTTGTCCTCGACGATCAACGACGTGTCCGGCGCGTGCAGCAACGCACGCCCATTGTTGGCCACATCCTCGCGCGACGTGTGTCTTTCGGGTGCAGACGCAGCCGAACTGTTCTGGCTACTTGAGAAACTCGGCTGGCCTCCCCAGACTGTCGGCACGCTGCTGTAGAATTTACGGAAGATATCTTACGGAGTCTTTTGGTCTGCTTCCACCATGCTGACATTTATTTGTTCTTGACAGACAAGCTCGTCGCTGCCAATCTTACACATCCTATTGTCGGCGACATTAGACTACCTGGGCCGCGAATGCAGCTCAAACTAGGACACAATCTCTATCCTGCGCCAGCCTTCAGGTGCATGACTCGTCAACGTTCAATTTGAAACTTCCTCGTCGCACTTGGTTGAAGATTCAATTTGAAACTTCCTCATTGCACCACTGCAGATCGATATCTCTGCGGCGGACGAGCTGTTATCGCCTGGGAGGTGCATTCTGACCGGCGCGGGATATCGCTTCGTTACAAATACGGATGGTCTTCTCATGGCTTCGACTACGTTATGGTAACCAATCGATGTCACGCTGCTATCAGACGCATCGATAGACCTTAATGCACAATGTCGATACCTCACCAGCAGCAGGGCATGGCGCACATGGCGGCGATTCTCCTGCGGAACCGCCGCCACAATCAGGAGAATATTGCACGAACAATCCGGTCGCTCTTTCTGAGCGACTTAGGTGACGCCGACTGCCCAACGGCCACTGCTATAAATTTCTCCGTGCGACTTTCTCGCCAGGTGGGATTGTGGGGAAGGACACACGTGATGCGGAGAGGTCGGAACTACGGTTTCTCCCGATATTAAGCGCCCGTACGTAATGCTGAGCCGGGCGCGAATGTAGTTGGAACGAGGCCGCCAGCGAGTCCTCCAGGCGCCCACGCTCCCAACTTCTCGCCTCTACATCTACCTAGGCATCCTCCAACGGGGCCACGCAACCCTGCGGCACCATGTCCGCCCCATACGCTTTCGTCTCCCTGGTCACCTCAGACTACTACCTGCCAGGTGCCTTATGCCTGGCCGCGGCACTTAAGGATCTCCATCCGTCACCTCCAGTTCCCCCAGAGGTCGAATACCAGACCATCTGTCTCGTCACCCCCGAGACTGTTGACGTGTCTACCATCAAGCTTTTGCGAAGAGCGTTCAATGTGGTCATCGGTGTAGAGCTCATAGAGCAGGAAGATGAGAAAGGGCTGAAGCTGCTAGGTGAGTATGAGAAAAATTGCGGAGTAATGCCAAGGAATAGCGCCGGTACTGTCTCTGTCTGAGTAAGGACGCGCGGCATAGCTCTGCACCTCAATAGCAATGCGTGCGCCATGTATGAGCGACGCGACGCTGATATCGGACCATGACTTGGTCATCTGGCCAGTGCACGCTGGCAATATGACGCGTCCCATATTTGCGGTTGCCTTTCGCTATCTCAGTTATGAACCGACGTTATGAACCTTGCTGACGTTTCCTACTCCTAAACAGGCCGTCCGGATCTTACCCATGTCCTTACAAAACTGCACGTATTCCGCCTCACACAATATCAGAAGTTAATATTTCTCGACGCGGACGTCCTCCCGGTTCGTCCTCTGTCTCATCTCTTCAAAACTGCCCACGAGTTCGCTGCGGTTCCCGACGTCGGATGGCCCGATATTTTCAATTCCGGTGTTCTGGTCCTCAATCCGGGGGAAGATAAATTCAACGAGCTTACACAGCTTCTCAAAACCAGAGGGAGTTGGGATGGCGGGGATCAAGGCTTGCTGAACGAGTGGAGAGGAGGTGACTGGCATCGCCTCAGCTTCATCTACAACACCACTCCTACCGCCGCGTACACGTGAGTCTGCTGATCCACTCTATTGTTCAGCTGACCTCTCCCTTACACTGGCCCCTTCGTGATATCACAGATATGCGCCTGCGTACGAAAGATTCGGCTCTCAAATCTCAGCGATCCACTTCATTGGACCCAACAAGCCATGGGCATCTATACCCTTTCGGGCGCCAGGCACGAAAGGCGCCCAGAAGCCCACTCCGGGCGCTTCGAAAGCTTACGACTACGGGTCACTTGTGGATCGCTGGTATGCTGTGTATGACAGGCATTACCGTTCCACTTCGCCTTCCACACGCACCGAGTTTGAGGTCAGACATTACGCGTCTGCATGGGATAGCGCAAACAAGCCGGCCGCCGAATTGCCAGCAAGCGGGACCATCGCACCACCGGGAGGCGCTCTCGGGCTTGAAGATCTACGGAAACTCACGATGGAAGGGATGAGCAATCTCGGGAGCTCGATTTCGGGGGTAGAGCAAGGTTTCCAGGAGGGCGAATACCGATCGATGCCTCTGGAGGGGCGAGTGGATCTGATGCGGCCGAAGCCAGAGCCGAAGCCAGAGCCAGAGCAGAAAGAGGGCGGTGATCGCGAGCGGACACCGACGCAGGAGGAGTACAAGCCGTTGCATATACAGCAGGAGGCGGCGCCGGAACAACAGCAACACCATCACGAGCCTCAGCATCATCATTGGCCTCATCACCCTCCTCATCAGCACCGGCACGAGAGCCATCCTGCAGTCCACCATCCCCCTCCTCATCATCCGTCTCCTCCTCATCATGTGCATCATCCTGCTCCGCGTCCGCCTTCCCCTCCCAAGCTTGCTTGGAACCCAGCCATCGAGCCGCCTCCGAACAACCCGCCCGCCGTCAATGCATTCCCTGCAGACACCTACTTCCCGAATGTCTGGGACCAGCCTCCCTCGCAACAGCATGACGCGACTCATCAGTCCTTCCCACCGCCAGCCACTCATGCGCCTGCACCCCACTCTGAGGCATTCTTCAACCCTCCGCCTCCACTGCACATTCCTGAACAGCTCGTTACACAAGGGGAGTATGCCGGCGTGGTTGGACAGGCTCCTGGGGCTGGCATGGGATCACCTCCCGCTCAGCCTGTCCCAGACAGAGCAAAGGTGCACGCTGTATTCCCTTGGGAAGAAAAGCCGCGCCATGTGCCCAGGCGCGTTTTCCCTTCTTCGGATTCGCCTCCCCCAGTTGCAAAATACATTGAGTCAGAGTCTCCGCCGGCGCCACCGCCACCGCGAAGAGATGAACAGCCGTCACCCGCTACAGGCCGATTGCACATGCCCTCGCCCACATATGGGCTGCCTTCGACTTTCTCATTTGCGAATGCGTGGGACGCCGTGCCAAGCATCCAAAAGTATGCGTCAAAGCTGGTAAGGCCTCACCAGCTTCATCAGCCGCAGCACCCTGCCAGCCAGGGATCCCCTCAGAGCAGGCGGTCACAAGCAAGCGAAGACGACGGTTGGAAGCGCTGGGAGCGTGAGCGCGAACGCGTGGTACAGGCAAGGCAAGACGCCAGCAGCATGGATGGTGACGACGAAGATGAGGGTGATGATGAGGATTCGGAGGAGGAGGAGCGACGTCAGGAGGGTAAAGGAGGCAGCAGCGGCTCACCTCGACGATCTAGGTCTGGAAGCACTACATCTGTTACTGCGGCGACGATTGCCGGAAAGGGGAGAAAGTACCGTGGGCGCGCGGTGCAAACGATTCCAGTGGAGACTCGCAACTTCGGCGTGCAGGTGAAGATTGATGGTCAGCAGGAGCCGGTCTCGGTGAAGGGTGGCAAGCCGTCTAAATCCAGTAACGGCGTACGCCGAGACGGTACATTAAAACCTGCACCTTTACTTCCTCCGCCTTCACAGGCGCGCGATTATAGGATGGATCCTGATCAAATGGGCGTTGCCACTCCTGTAGTGAGCCAGGCCATAAAGCAAGCGATGCCATTCCCATCGGTCGACACGCCTACTGGGCTTCGTTCCCCCATGACCCTTGGATCGCCTCGCACATACTCCCCACCGAGGATCTTGTCTCCGCCCAGATTTATCTCCCCGCCGAGGGTCGCATCTCCACCCAAGGTGATGTCGCCCCCGAGATTAATGAGTCCCAAGGTGTCGACCCCTCCCAAAGGTCCGTCGCCTCCGAAGGGTTCTCCTCCGCGCAAGTCGTCCGCTGCGCAGCAGCCGCAGACGTTGACGCCGCGAAGGACGCCCGCCGGCACGCCCCCGGGCAAGGCAGCGTCTCCAGTTATCGCGCCCTCGACGCCGCCCCAGGGCACGCCCAAGCCCCCAAAACTGACGTCTCCGTTCTCGCCACCGCTGGCGATGGCGCGGTCCTTCTCGGACGAGACGGCACTCACATCGTCGCCTTCCACGCAGGGCGCCTTGATCACTCCAGAGAGCTCGCCGGTCATGGGCAGCATGCGCAAGGGTGGTCGCGTATGGGACCCTGCGAGGGGCGTAGATGTATTCAAGCGCAGCTCTGAGGAGGTGCTTGCGCGGTTCTTGCGGATGGGCTCGTTCGAGGATGACGAGCAACGCCAGGGCCAGGTACAGCAAGATTAGAAGTGAGTGGGTGTAGTGGTCATCTATAGGTTCATCTTCTTGTTTACAAACGACATGTGCGTGTCAAAGGCTCCCGGCCTCTCCTCTCTGTGCAATCGCATTTCCTACAATCTTCCTTCTTGGCTATAGGTTCCTCCCATGCAACCAGAACGGCCCTCATACAAGTAGTCCTGTAACGCAATCTTTCTTCTTGTCTTTCAATGCGCGATACCTGGTGTTTACACCATGCATCATACCCCTCGCGTCTGTTACAATCACGCTGCTTCGATCTGTTTTTCTGTTGCGCTCTCCGTGGTATGAGCAGCGGCATATAGCTGTACTGTACCTCGGACATCACTGTTTTCACTAGACTTGTACCCCTGTCCCAATATCATCTGTGTGTATCTTCAAACCGTGTGTACAGCTCGTTCGTGAATGTGTTTGCTTATTGAATGCTTCAATGAAGCACACGTCTCCATATTGCTTTACATATAATTCTATTCTTTCTTGATCTAATGTCTGGATGCAGGTTTCAGCATACGCGTCCAGCCGCGCTCGTACTGGTTCGCAGGCTTGACAGCGACACCCAGCCTTTCTGCGGCAAGCATCGGCCAGTGAGGGTTGCGAATGAGCTCCCGCGCAAGGAATACGACGTCGGCCTTCCCTTCGCTGAGATATGACTCGGCCTGGTGAGGATCCGTTATGAGTCCCACCGCGCCGACCGGCAAGTCAGGGTAGGCTTTCTTCAGCTCCTCGGCAAAGGGTACCTGTGCGCCGTAAGTTCAGGCCCGACCCTGGACGGAAGAGAGGGAAGAGATTACCTGGTATCCGGGCCCTATCGGAATTTTCTGGTGCACGTACAGCCCACCAGTGCTGCAATCAATGAGGTCTACGCCGATCTTCAGCAGTTTACCGACGAAGAACTTCGATTGCTGCAGCCCCCATTGCCGCCATTCACCGTCCTCGCCGCGCTCGGGCCCCTCCATCCAGTCGGTCGCGCTGATGCGGATGAAGAGCGGCTTGTCCCACGCTGCGCGGATTCGTGTAAGAAGACGCAGAGGCCAACGCATGCGATTGTTAAGGGAAGGCCCGCCGTACGCGTCTGTACGGGTGTTGGAGAGGGGGGAAAGGAATTGATGGATGAGGTAGCCATGAGCGGCGTGAATCTCGATAAAGTCGTCTACGTGGACGGAAATTTCGGTGAGTATCGGATGGTAGGAGAGATTGAGAGACGTACAGCCGACGGCCTTGCAGCGCTCTATGGCTTTGAGCCAGGCGTCTTCTACGTACTGCAGATGCGCTTTGTCCATTGGCTTCGGGTTGGGATGCAACGGAGAAAATGGAACGTCGCTCGCAGAATATACTGTACAACGCGGTGAGGCTCCGCACTGAACACGATGTCAGCTGCACACACCTTCATCTGGCCAGCCACCGTCCTCCCTCGAGGCGACCCATGAGTCTGCTTTGGCCCTCCCTGCTTGGTCTGCGTACAGCCATGTAGCGATCGTTGACGACTTTCTCCCCGCATGAGAGAGCTGTACGCCTATAAGGGTCTGTTGTGCGTGTGCAAACTTGACGATTCGCTGGAGCGGAGGGATCTGGCTATCGGTATAGATACCCTGGGAGAAATTTGCTGTGGATTGATGAGAGGAGTGGTAAACGGTCTGAGCTACTCACGGCATCCTGCGGAGAGATCCGTCCCTCAGGCACGATAGCATGAGCTTCCATGCAAACGGCCCCCGCACCGCGGGTGGCAAAGCCCTGCAAGTGTTGTTCGATGCATCATCGCAGCACGATTAAGCAGGACCGTACATACACCGATGTGTACCATATGCCAGTCCGTAGCATGCCCGTTATCCGAGCTGTATTGGCACATAGGCGACTAACGGAGAAATGTCGTGGAGTTCAAGCACTCCCGTCCGCTGCTTCCTGATCTGCATCTGTCTTACTTACCACAAAGATGCGATTCTTGAAGGTGGTGCCCCTCAGTGTCAGCGGCTGAAACAGCACAGGCAACTTGGCATTCTGCGGATACACGTCCTAATGCACGCAATAGAAAGGTGAATCAGAATCACTATGATGAAAGAATGGAACGTACTTCCGGGTAAGTAACGCCGATCGGTGGCTCGTTGAGTGGATAGTATTGATCCGCGTCGGGGACTGCTTTATTTACTGGCATTCTGACAACCCGACACCTTCAAGCCCAGGCTTGGAAATGGGGTATGAGGAGGAGGAGGAGGAGGAGGAGGAGGTGAGCGTTGCAAGCTGTGTCAGCCATTGCGACATGCTCTCAGGATTGCCCGGCCGGTTCAATTAATTCAGGGTCAATAATTATCATGCATATGTCCACATGATCAAATTGTACCAAAGTGCATCATAGGATATCAGAGTACTGGGCGATGGGAGTTGCATGGTCCATCCTTTCTCAAGCGTGCGGAGACTCGTACGGCAAGCATCCATGCCTCCTCACGTCCACCGCGTATTCGTGCAGGCCATCCAGAAGGAGGAACCAGGAGTGACCGTTACCTCCTCTTCGTTCCCGCCCATCCAGTCCTCATCCGGGACAGGCTACATAGGCAAGATAGGCTCGACAAGCGAGAAAGAGCAGTACGTAGGCGAGGCTGAATCGCTCAAAGCAATACACATCGCCGTACCTGGCCTCGCGCCGCGCCTCATCGTGTGCGGCACGCTTGACGAGGAGACGGCGGAGGCGGACAGCGAAATAGGCAGACCGTACTTCCTATCGGAATATAAAGATATGGGCAGCCTGACAGATAGTGCCGCCAAGGTGCTCGGGAAAAGACTCGCTACGGAGATGCATGCATACAAGAGCACCAATGGCTTCGGGTTCCACGTCCCTACCTTCTGCGGCGCCACCAGGCAGCAGAACGGCTGGTACGACTCATGGGAGGAGTGCTACGATAGACTCATTGGAAGTTTGCTCGATACCCTGGAGAAGAGAGGAGGATACGAGAGCCTATGCAAGCAGGGCAAGGAAGTGCGCAAGCGGTAAGCGTTGTGCCCACACGATTGGATGTCATTCAGTATGTACGTTGAATCAGTGTAATACCCGCCCTCCTTGGGCCCTTGGTGATCCAACCCGTCCTGCTCCACGGTGATCTATGGGTAAGTACCCTTCTCGCAGCAAGCAAAGATCGATGGTATATACGCCATGAGGCTTTAGAGCGGAAATACTGGGACAGACAGAAAGACCGGCCAACCTGTCATATTTGATCCTTCGTCCTACTTTGGTCACAACGAAGCAGAGTAAGTGTGGCAGTCACAAGGGGATGAGATTGTACTCACTGCGCTACAGCCTAGCAATTGCGAGAATCTTTGGAGGCATCCCTCACTCATTCTTCAATACATATCATGAATATCTCGCCAAGTCAGAGCCGCAAGACCAGTATGACTTGCGCGGTGATCTATATGAACTGTACCATTACCTCAATCATACGGTTCTATTCGGAGTGCGTAAACATGCTGAAGAGGTCAGAGTCTTTTTGAACGCTCTGATACTTGCACCAGGGGTCGTATGCGAGCAGCGCGAAGAGAAAGATGGACCGCTTGTTACAAGCCATTCCATGAGGAGTCGATGAGTTGCTCGAAGGATACTGCTTGAAGAGTTAGAATAGATAAAAGCATGCTAACCAATCTTAACCCAATCCTTCAGATAAGAGATCATATTGGTGATTATATCGCCCTGCTCCGCTCCAGCATGGCCTGGTCCAACTCTTGACCGACCAGATAGAGGAAGGGAGGCGGATCGCCGTTCGGACATCCTGCATAAGTGAATGTCCCAGATACCATGCGAACCGCGTGGCTGTATCTCCGCCGGTGTATCTTCCACAGCCATCGTAGCAGCAACGGATCGTCCGACATGCAGGATGCAGCTGGGTACCACTCGATCTCCTCCAGCGTCGGGCAGCATTCTGCCAGACGCCGCACGGCTGCCGCCACCCGCGGCGCATGACGAGTTTCCCAAGCTCGTATCAGGAGGTGCTGGTCGTCCGCGTCATCATGAATATTAAAGTCGTTTCCGATCATAGCCTGTAGCTCTTGCTTAGCGGCCTCGATCTCCGGTTCGCCGATGTTGTACAGGTCCCACCCCTTAAGCTCGCTGAGACGGAAAGGATAACCGTAGGGCGGCAGTCGCGCAAGCTCGCCTTTGCTCTTCACTTCGCCATAATCGTAATGAACCGGTGGAACAACGTCGTCGAGAATCGGCACATTCAAGCCAGGGACGACTTCCTGTTCAGAGTTCCAGTAGTTCTTGTACAACTGCGTCGACCCCCAGTTTACTGCGAGTTTCCTCAGGTGCGGCCATTTGCGGAGCGCGATGCCGATGTTTGCCCAGATGTCCGCGACATACCCATATCGGTAGAAGGCGCATGTGGAGAGACGCAGGACTTCGAGCTGTGGGAACCGATGGGGCATTTTCTCTAGGAACTCGTGGAGACGTACCATTGGCACGCCCTGTTCCTCGCACCACCACTGGCCTTGGAAAGCAAACTCGATAGCGCTGTACCGGGGTTCTGGAGACCCAAACGGCTTATCCCACTGAGTTGCTTCGGAATGTAAGGCGATGCGTTTGAAAGCGAAGGCAGAGCACGTCATGAAAAGTTCTTCGCCCAACGCTGTCATCGTATCTTCGTCGTACTCGGGAACATCGACGAGGATAGAGTGATCAGGGATGAAGGAGTGTGTACAGCTATTGAGCGGACTCAGCTCCTTCGGCGGCATTCTCCATGTCCCCGTTCCGTCAATCAACTTGATCAGGCTTGATAGCCTGCAGAACGGAAGATGCCGCGAAGTGACCATAAATCTGACATTTACCTCGAGCAATGTCGGATGGCGTTGCACAAAGTGATATACGGAGGGCGGATTGCGTGCTCGGCTTATACGGAATACATGGAGGTTGGGGAAAGTGTAGTTGTCAGACTGGTGATTCCACCAACTGCAGTACGACCCGGGAAGTTCGTACATAACCAGTGTCGTAAGACTATAGAAGGATCGGTACTCGCACGGCGGAGACCAGCAGATGTCGTCGTAGCCGGAGACTGTCAGACGCAACGTACAAAGCTCTGGCCATTCGCTGATGTCAGGGAAGTTCCACTCATTGTTCCATCGTATTGAAAGCGATGTGAGTCGGAAAGCGGATTCCAGAAACTGCAGCTCGTAGGGCCTGAATACGCAGGCGCCGCACGAGAACGAGCGAAGATTGTGAAAAGGGAAGGGAACCTCGTTTAGCTTGCGAGCGAGGTCAATCCTGAGGCACCTTGAGTCGCTCATATGTCCGATGTAGATGTGTCTGTACAAGAATGAGCGCCTCCGATCACACTATTGCGAGCAGACATCGTACCGGACACTACCTGCTCTTAATAGCCCACTCTTCACGCAGGATCCAGTGACATACTTGACTGCTTCCAGATAGTCTTGCCATCTGGGTATTGCGACCTCCTGAGCAAGGAGAGGCAATGCAAAGAAACGAAGATAGTGGTTAACCTGTGACAAGGCAAAAAGCAGTCTATACCGCTTCGGCACTGACTCATTCTGTCCGTAGCAATGAAGGATGTGTAAGAGAATGTCGTAGGGTAGTGTGTCCAAGGAGCGCCGTGATAAGTCCGGGCTTGCCATGATCTAATGGCACAGGAGTGTTCTTGTCACGGAGACGCTAGTGACCCGAATAACTAAAATCAGACTGAGTATAAACAGTAATGAGAGCTAAGTCAGCACTTACTAGCAGTCCGTAGGGGAGCGGCTCCAAGCCCCGACGCTCGTGGCCGATCAGGAGAGCAAATGCGGAAAACCCGTCGAGGCTGTTGCACAACAAGGACAAACACCCGAGGCTTCGTCAGCGCCACCCGACTCGTTAGTGGCGGCCTACACTCTCTGCCTCTGCTTTCACTCTCAGCTCGTGTCGTCGTCCTCGTCGTCCTGCGTCGTCATACTGTCTGTGCTTTTGTCTGTCTTGTCTTCTCTAAAAACCTGCTAGGCTGTTTGTACCAAATCACTGAACTCTTGTAAAATGAGCGAAGGTATCGTATATTGGCCATCTCGTAGCTAAATCGCCTATATTGAACGATCATCAGCCGCAGACCTAGATGCCAGCCAGAGTGCTCACTTTGACGAAACGGGCTACATTTACGATGAGGACGACGAATATGAGGAGATCACGCAGGAAGACTGCTGGACTGTGATCTCCAGCTTCTTCGAGCAAAAAGGTCTCGTCCGGCAGCAGCTCGACTCATTTGACGAGTTTGTCCAAAACACAATGCAAGAGCTGGTCGATGAGAACTCAGATCTCATTCTGGACCAGAGTGACCAGCATACGGGACACGAAGGAGACGTGAACCGGCGCTATGAGATCAAATTCGGCCAGATATACTTGTCCAGACCAACCGTTACCGAGGCAGACGGTTCAGTGGTGCCAGTATTCCCGCAGGAGGCGCGACTGCGCAACTTAACGTACTCAGCACCGCTGTACATCGAGATGAAGAAGCGTGTGTTGATAGGCAGGGAGGATCCAGATAGCTTGACAGGCGACATGGTTTGGGAGCCGGAAGGGGATGAGAATGCAGAGGATACGAGGAAAGTGTGGATTGGAAAGGTGCGTTCTTCGAAGTCGCGCAGTTGTATGGCCTCCCTGAGGCTGCGATCTGCCGTTAGGTTCCGATCATGCTGCGCTCCTCCTTCTGCATCCTCTACGAGCTCAGCGACGAGGAACTGTATGACCTGAATGAATGCCCCTTCGACTCGGGAGGATACTTCATCATCAACGGCTCGGAGAAGGTGCTTATTGCCCAAGAACGTATGGCGACAAACCATGTCTACGTGTTCGCCAAGGCACAGCCGTCGCCCGTTAGCTTCCTGGCGGAGATCCGTAGTGCTGTCGAGAGGGGTGGGAAGACAATCAGCCAGTTCCAGGTTAAGCTCTATCACAGGAACCAGGAGCGCTCGGTGGGTTTTTATTTACAATTGATGCATCGAGGCTGTTTGACAGCTGATGGAATTGGGGTGGTTAGCTAGGCAATGTCATGAAAGCAACGATTCCCTACATCAAGGTTGACATTCCTATCTGGGTTGTCTTCCGTGCTCTTGGCGTCATATCTGATCGCGACATTCTTGAACACATCTGCTACGACATGCAAGATGTTCAGATGCTCGAGATGCTCAAGCCGTGTATCGATGATGGTTTCGTCATTCAAGATCGTGAGGTTGGTATGACAAAGCCAAATGTAGTGTAACTCCACTGAGCGTTTGTTGCCCAGGTTGCGCTGGATTTCATTGGAAACCGTGGTACGACTACTGGCCTTAATCGTGAACGTCGTTTGCGATATGCACAGGAAATCCTCCAGAAGGAGATGTTGCCGCATGTCTCCATGGCGGAAGGTTCTGAGTCCAAGAAGGCATACTTCTTTGGGTACATGATTCACCGGCTTTTGCTTGCCGCTATGGAGCGGAGAGACCTGGACGACCGTGATCATTTTGGTAAGAAGAGGTTGGATTTGGCTGGCCCGCTGCTCGCCAACCTCTTCCGCATGCTTTTCCGCAAGTTGACGAAGGACGTCTACCGGTATTTGCAGAAGGTACGTTACGCATGACCATTCACAAAGCTCTCTGGTGTTTATTCCAGGCGATGCTCCAAGTGCGTGGAGACTCACAAGGAATTCAACTTGAACTTGGCCGTCAAGCACAACACCATCACCAATGGTCTCAAATACTCGCTTGCCACAGGTAACTGGGGAGACCAGAAGAAGTCGATGGCTTCGAAGGCTGGTGTATCCCAAGTGCTGAACCGGTACACCTACGCTTCTACCTTGTCACATCTGCGTCGCTGTAACACGCCGCTCGGGCGTGAGGGGAAGATCGCGAAGCCTCGTCAACTGCATAACACGCACTGGGGTATGGTCTGCCCTGCAGAGACACCCGAAGGGCAGGCTTGTGGTCTCGTCAAGAACCTGTCTCTCATGTCATGTATCTCGGTCGGTTCTCTCTCGGCCCCCGTCATCGAGTTCCTGGAGGAGTGGGGTCTGGAGTCGCTTGAGGAGAATGCACATTCCGCGACGCCATGCACGAAAGTGTTCGTCAATGGCGTGTGGATGGGTGTTCACCGAGATCCCGCGAACTTGGTCAAAACGATTAAGAAGCTTCGGCGGAAGGACGATATCAGTCCCGAGGTTTCGGTCGTCCGCGATATTCGAGAGAGAGAGTTGCGCTTGTACACCGACGCTGGGCGTGTTTGCCGGCCGCTGTTCATCGTGGAGAACCAGCAGCTGCTTCTGGCCAAGAAGCACATCCAGTATCTTAACGACGGTCAGGACGAGGAGGGCAAGCCATACAAATGGGATTCGCTGGTGAAAGGTGGTGTCATCGAACTCTTGGATGCCGAGGAAGAAGAGACCGTCATGATTTGCATGACACCGGAGGATCTGGAGAACTCGAGAATGCAGTCCAACACTATCGACTCACATATGAACGATGGTGAATTCGATCCTGCTGCACGACTCAAGGCCACCACAAACACACATACGTGGACCCACTGCGAAATTCACCCCAGTATGATTTTGGGTGTTTGCGCCAGTATCATTCCTTTCCCCGATCACAACCAGGTACTTCGTCTGTTCTTTGTCCTTGTAATGCTGTCATATTCACTACGTCATAGTCTCCCCGGAACACTTATCAATCTGCTATGGGTAAACAAGCCATGGGTATCTATCTCACCAACTTCCTAGTCCGAATGGACACGATGGCGAACATCCTGTATTACCCGCAGAAACCTCTTGCCACGACCCGTTCCATGGAGTATCTGCGTTTCCGAGAGCTTCCCGCTGGTCAAAATGCCATCGTAGCCATTCTTTGCTACAGCGGTTACAACCAGGAAGACTCCGTCATCATGAATCAGAGCTCAATCGACCGTGGGCTGTTCCGGAGCATATATTACCGCAGCTACATGGATCTCGAGAAGAAGAGCGGCATTCAGCAGCTCGAGGAGTTCGAGAAGCCAACCAGAGAGAACACACTTCGTATGAAGCATGGCACATACGACAAGCTTGAGGATGATGGTCTCATCGCGCCTGGTACTGGAGTCAATGGCGAAGATATCATTATTGGCAAGACTGCACCAATACCTCCTGACAGCGAGGAGCTAGGTCAGCGTACGCGGGCGCACACACGACGCGATGTGTCGACGCCATTGAAGAGCACGGAAAGTGGTATCATCGACCAAGTTCTAATTACTACGAACGCCGAGGGCCAGAAGTTCGTAAAGATACGTGTACGGTCGACGCGTATTCCCCAGATTGGTGATAAGTTCGCGTCTCGTCATGGTCAGAAGGGTACGATTGGTATCACATACCGCCAAGAAGACATGCCTTTCACTGCGGAGGGGATCACTCCCGATATTGTCATCAACCCGCACGCCATCCCATCCCGTATGACAATCGGTCACTTGGTCGAATGTCTGTTGTCCAAGGTGGCAACCCTTATCGGGAACGAAGGTGATGCTACACCGTTCACTGACTTGACCGTCGAGTCTGTGTCCCAATTCTTGCGGCAAAAGGGTTACCAGTCGCGTGGACTGGAGGTGATGTATCACGGCCACACTGGGCGGAAATTGCAGGCACAGGTCTACCTTGGCCCAACTTACTACCAGCGGCTCAAGCACATGGTGGACGACAAGATTCACTCACGTGCGAGAGGTCCAGTGCAGATCCTGACAAGACAGCCTGTTGAGGGTCGTAGTCGTGATGGTGGCTTGCGTTTTGGAGAGATGGAACGTGATTGCATGATCTCGCATGGTGTCGCGGCCTTCTTGAAGGAGCGATTGTTCGAGGCCAGTGATGCGTATCGGCTTCACGTCTGCGACATGTAAGTTCATTTGGATCTATCAGAACTTTCAGAGCTCTGACATCACCCGAATAGTTGCGGTCTCACAGCGATCGCTAACCTCGTAAGTTTTGCCCACAAATCTAGGAATTCAATGCTCAATTACATTTGCAGAAAAAGCAAACATTCGAATGTCGGTCCTGCAAGAACAAGACAGCATGTTCGCAACTGTATATCCCATATGCTGCCAAGCTGCTGTTCCAGGTACGTCACTTCACCAGGGGGTTCGTTACGGCACCCTTACTGAGTTACCGGCCGTACTAGGAATTGCAAAGCATGAACATAGCTGCTCGTCTCTACACCGTCTCAACAGGGCGTATCAGGGATTAGATTGTCACGGACCCTCACAACGATGCTGCGCATGTATATTACAGATGGAATGATTAATTTAACGAACATACGAGATTATAGTTTACTCGTCCTTCATCAATCCCTCCCGCTCATGAGCTTCCCCTTCATGCTGCTCGGTTTCTGACCGTCGCTTTTTTGCATTTATTGACTCCTCCTCGTCGCCTTCTTCGTCTCCGATGTCGAACACCACAGCATCTTCGTGAAGCGAGCCGTTGCCGCGGTTCCCGACCAGGGTAGCCGTATCATCATCAGCATCCACATTTGCTCTGAGATCGTCATGTCGCTCCATGGCCTCCAGGTCGTAGTCCTCCGCATCTCCAGGGTCTTGCGCCAATTCATCGAACATAGCTAGCGTGGATGTAAATGAAATAAGCACAACCTCGGTGGAGCACATTGCGCATTGACACTTATCTTCTGTTGTTTGGTGATGGCCGCCAGAGATAGGCGATTGCGACGAAGTCGACAAGATAAAGCAATGCCAACCAGCCGTCAAGCAACCACCATTGTACTTTCCACGACTTAGCACCGTAGTCTAGGGGGGAAACAGTCACGAGGGGTCTCCTCATATCTTCATGACCTTGCTTACCTTCCGCAAGGCGTCCGGAAAATGTGAGAGAGGACACAACAAAGAAGATTGCGATGACCAATACAGTCATGAGCAAGATGCGGTGCAGCCATCTGAACATTGAAAGTTTGTAATGTTGCTTGCGAGATGCCAGTTGCGAGATCGTGGCTGAGTCGGAGGTCAAAGCACGCAAGAGTGGTGCGAAAATAAACACGCACTGTTCAAAGCGTACAAGATCCAGAGTAGGAAGCCGCTAAGAGTGAAAGCTAACGGTACCACGAAGACAAGGAGGACTAAGGCCGAAGTCGACTCTAGTTCAAGCTCAACGATGCCGACCGCGTATAGAACTTGTTATTCGTGAGACGATTCAGTGTGAATTCTCGAAAGGAGACCATACGCACCTCCGAACAGGAAATGAGCCACAGCAAGTGCCTGACATTTCAACATGGTCTTGCCGAGAGATTCACGGACGACGCTCAATCCTAACGACACAACCAGGAGCAGGAAGAACGAAAGCGCATTACGCCCGGCATCCAAAATCGCGACTTATCGCAAGTTGTTAGTATCGCTTACTGCCTACCAGATACGTGCACTCACCGACGATTAAGAATACAGTTGAAGGTGCGCCTCTGCCATGCGCATTCAAATATCGATAATACGCTGCAGGAGGGACTGTCAGTCGGTAATGACTATTGAAATTAGCGCGAAAGTTACCCCAGTTTGCGACCATCTCAATGATGAGGAAACCCAACAAACTTGATAAGTAGTACTATCGCCACAATGCTCAGACTTCATGCCATTGCCTGCACTTGAAAACATACCTGAATGGGAAGGAGGTCCTGCAAGTTCCTGTAGCACAGCCAACCCCAGCCACAGGCCACGATGGAGTATACCAAGAACATTGCGAAATAGAACTAGATAGAAACTCAGCTGCGTGGACAGAGGGGTCAAATAAGCGGCCGCATACGTTGACTTTCGGATAATCTGTAGCAGGGAGCTTGCCATCAAAGGTGTTTCTGAAGAATACAGTACCGGAATAAGTGGGATGGTAAGGAACGTCCGTGGAATCTTGGCGAGCGGTATTTTGCAGGACAGTTACAGGCACGATCGCTGTGAAAATGTGAGATTTTCACCCAGCGACGCACGTCCGATCATAACTCACCAACGCAGTAATAACCTGTCTTGCGCATTTTGTACTGAATAGGCAGCTCGTACGTCAGGATACCAGAGGGGCTCGGGTTCAGCGCTTCGTCTCTGCGCCACGGACTGGTGTTATTGCTCTCCGGAGGGGTAGGATTGCCCTCAGGATTATCCCAAAATCCATTGGTGGTGGTATCGGAAGAGGGGGACGTTGAGTCGCTTCGTGAGAAGCTCACCCTTGCCGACCAGAAACTGGTGTCGTTCACAGACTTCCCTTCTGGAAGGTCGATGATGAATCGGCCGAGTTGCGAGTTGTCGCAGTATCCGCCCCTCACCGCGTCAGAAGTACACACATACGTCTTCTGCTATGCTCATTTGGGTCAAGATGTCGTGAGTGCGAGAAAGGTTCGCACTCACAGGCATGTCATTTACGGTGGATGTGACCTTCCCGAGGTACTCCATATCCCCCCACTCGTAGATGACCATCGCCAACTGGCCTTGGGACGAGCTATCGAATGTGACTAAAAGGCATAGCTGAGTCCGAGTCTGTTATGCGGCCGCGGGTACACCGCACCATTGATGTATGTTTTCTGGTCCGCCCACATTCCTGAGCATATTTGCCGGTCATAGTCAGTATCGGACACCGGCACTTCATACGCAGTAGCAGACAGTATTAATAGAGAGAATATCGAGAATGAAAGCCCTGGCGAGCGACCGAATAACATGACGAGCGGAGACTCGAGAGTGCGTGAGCTGAGAAGTGTGTTGACGGCTGTTGTACGCGTTTCTCACTTGTTTCTCGAAGTCCTACCCCTCGCCGACTGCGCATTAGCATTGCTTATTGCGTGTTCCATCGCGTTTCGTAACACCGCACACTCTGAACCTGCCCCATGCTTGGAGAGGACGAGGACGTGTTTGACAGTGTGACCTGGGAATCTCCCGCGACGCCGTCCCATGATGCGGGCACGTCTATGTCCGCTGGTCGAGGATACCGGCAAAGCGCATCCGATAGTGACGAAGGCCGGGACCCTCATGCTCCGAAATGGGAGGGGTACCTCATTACCAGCGTGAAGGATCCTGTCAAGGAACTTGCAGAGACAAAGGATGCTTATGTCTCGTATCTCGTCTCTGCGAAGGTATAGTGCATGACCGCCGCGACGTGTGCTTGCTCAAGATGTCATACACTTAGACCAACCTGCCCATCTTCTCTTCCCCAAACCCCTCCTCTCGGAGGCGGTTCCAAGATTTCGTGTTTCTACGTGAGCACCTAGCAAGGGACTTTCCGGCATGTGTAGTGCCGCCTCTTCCTGGCAAGCACAGGCTGGGTAAGCAATCCCGCTGAGCTCGTGCGGGACCGTCCACCAATGTTGTAATAGAGTATGTGACCGGGGACAGGTTCAGTCCGGAGTTTATGGAACGTCGCCGCCTAGGGTGAGTTGCTTACCACTATCTCATGTAATTGTGCAGCTCATGGCACGCAGCCTGCACCGATTCCTACAACGTCTATCACGGCACCCACTATTGCAGCGGAGCAAACTCCTCCGTGCATTCTTCGAGTCGACAGAATGGGTTAGTCCAATTTCAATGCTCGCTCGATGTTATTCTGACTTCCTTCGCAGCACGTTATAATGCATCAGCATGTGGCTCACCCACCAGGGCCCGATTCTTCAAGCGGTGTCATTGACAGCATCTCCGACACGCTCCTCAACGCCTTCTCGCGCGTACGCAAGCCGGACGAGCGATTCATGGAGATGCGTGAATCGGTTGACAAGTTCGAGGAGGGGATCTCACAGTCGGAACGGCTTTGGAACCGCGTACGGAATAGAACGAACGGTGAGTCTGTTTTGGCCTCCCCGGTACGTACCCTGTGCGAATGTCTGAGGCTGAAAGAGATGGCGGTGCGGAACCCGGAGAAGACTTAACGGGTGATTACCATGACCTCGCTGTTGCGGTACAGGGTCTCGGATTTCTGGAAACAGGCATCACGGATCCATTGAACCAGTTTTCCGGCACGCTTATGGAGTTCTCTGCCCTTCTGAGACACACGGTGCGCTATGTCAGCTAGTGCTGTGCAGAGATGTCGTTGACGATTCAGCTACTTAGACACAAGCAACAACCGACCCTTTCCTTATTCACCTCCATTCCCTGCTCAGCTACTCCCATGCGAATCGTGCTGTGCTGAAGCTCCGAGATCAGAAGCAGATGGACTTTGAAGAACTCTCGAACTACCTCTCGAATCTCACGTCTGAGCGGGACAGACTCGCAGCGGTAGTTCAAGGCCGTGCAGGTAGCACAGGCTTTGGCCTCAGCGCCTATATCAAAGACAAGGTGGATGCTCTCCGAGGCGCAGATGATGATAGGAGTCGGGTGGAGAGGATGGGGAAGTTGGATAGCAAAATCAAAGAGGTAGGAATTATTTGCGAACCTCGTTTTGCAATCGGCTGTAAGATGCTGATGCGATTTTCAGCTGCAAGACGCAGTGACAACGGCACATGAGACTTCTGACGCATTCAGTGACGAAGTACTCCGGGAGCAAGTCATTTTTCAATATGCGAAGGAAGCGGAAATGAAGGAAATGCTCGGAAACTTTGCGGATGGCCAAATTGAATTCTACAAAGCTGTGTGTACTATACTATCATTCCTTGATCACTTAGTCTGATCCACACACACAGGCCATGGAAGAATGGGATCGAATTATACCCGTAATTCAGCACATACGGGTCGATGTATGAATGGGAGGAGGGAGCCTCTAGATGATGATTATGAGTAACAGGTTACGATGGCAGTACGTCCAGGTGTCGGACATCTTGACTATGATCATATCTGTGTAATAATGGCTTACTTTATAATGTGTCGATGGGAATGAGGCGATGAAACACGAACGAGCCTTGCATCAAGCGATCTGTCTATGCGCGATATAGGGTCCAGACTGCGAGTTCTCTGTTCATTACCGCGTTCAAATCCTTATAGATACAGTGTGGTACTACTACGTCGAGGGTATAAGCACGGGGTGTTCTCGTACTTGGAACTCTTTACTCGCACTCTGCCACCGCAGAAAAGAGGTCTGGGTACGAGACCAGCACAGGGAAGTTTCGAGAGGGGTTCAGACGCTCATGACGCACGCCGCTTGCCCTTCGGGTCCTCAACTTCTTCAATCATCTTGAGCTTCTCTTCCGACTCTTGCACAGCCAATGACAACTGGGTCCGAGGACGTCAGCGAGAAGAGCTAAGAACATGCACTAGTTCACAGAGCCACTTACGTTGATGATACCAGTGTCAACCGCACGGATCATATGCAGCTCTGCATTCTCGGATGCACCTGACGTTGTGTGCTCGGTAGAGGCCGGCACCCAGGGCGGCGGGTCCTAAGAGAGGCTGGCGTTAGTGCGGAGGCGAGTGGATGTGGAGTTGCTGCGCACCCCGTCATGAGAAGCGGCGGGAGCCTTATCGTCTATTAGCTCGATGACGATTGCGAACGAGAGGTCGTCTGTCAATTCGATGAGGTTCTTTTAAGGTATATGCAATTGTGATTTACGAACCGCCTGCTTGGAGCTGGCCAAGTTGAGCTTCGATCATGTTAAGCTTGACGAGGAAAGAGCGAAAGTACTGTCCAAGAGAACTCGGTGTGATGGCATCCTCGACACTGGTCATCTGTTAGTACGAGAATATGGGAGGCTGATGAGCTAATATGTGAAGGAGCGACCTGGTGTCCTTATTGTACGATTCAACGTGAATCATGTTGCGCACTGCGAATATGAAGCGCTCAAGAGGCACTTCATCCTTACTTTTCACCAGGACGATGACTTTGTCAACATTTCCCTGACGATGGTTTCAGAGACTGAGGCAATGGATCAGCTTCAACGGCGGCTCATACCAGAATAAGCTCCTCAGCAACGGCCTTTACGGCACCGGAAATGTACTCGTTGAGTGCAGGGTGGCGTGATTGGAAGACCGGTGTGTTGAACTTCTTTCGCCTTACAAAAAGGTCGGCAGGGTATATTTGCCTCACGTAGAGGATGGCGTGAATAGCAACCTCGACTAATTTGGGTTAACTCCACAATGGGACAACGAAAAAGACTACCCACTAAGCTCGGCTATACCACGGACTGTTTCTGCAGATTTGGTTGAGAATGTCAGCACATTTGCAGAGAAAGAAGCAGAGTATTCACGATTGAAAGTCAGAGGAGCCTCAGTGGCCATGGGCCTTGCGGGGGTCGCGTCCGCGCGGGCTGGTGAGTTGTGGCCGCCCCTCGACAGGCACGATCGAGATGGCGACAATTCGCGATCACGTGGCTCTTACCACGAAAGGACCATATGACATCAGTAGGAGGTGCGTATAAGTCGCGGTCCGACCACTGCTGCTGTCTAACTCTCTACTTCCATTCGACATGAACTTCGCAGAGTACGCCTTTGACCCCCTCCATCTTCCCTCTCCCAGCAGCGACGACGACCACGATGCCGGTCCGTCCAATGCTAAGAACATCAAACGCGGGACTAGAGGTGTGCACAGCCACCCGTTAGATCAGGCGGGTTTTACTTAGTCCGGATGTCTCCAGCCTGTGACAGGTGCCGCAAACTGAAGAGCAAGTGCGAATCAACCCAGGGCGACAAGTGTAAAAATTGTGCCGCAGCAGCTACGCCGTGCACGTTCCAAGGTGAGCTTCGGCTTCCATTTTTTGCGTCAGTTGATGTTGACTGCGCGTGTGCAGGTCCCAGCTTCAAGCGTGGGCCACCGAAGGGCTATATTCACGCCATCGAGCAACGATGGCATCAAGTAGAATGCATCTTAGGCGCCATCATGGCGTCCTCGCAAGCACAAACTGTTGTCGGGGAACTTCGTAGCGATCCTCTTGCACGAGCCATCCTTGACAGAGTCGACTCTGGCCCGTACGGTCCGCGTGGAAGGGTGCGACAGCCGCCTCAAGGCGCGACCTCCGACAATTTCTATGCGACTATCATGGGTACAGATCATGCATCACGGGACGATCGTCGTGCGCGAAGGCAGTCAAGGATGACGCGCGAAACAGTCTCAATTGAAGGTTGGTCTGTCCTTCTATTCATACATGCTGGTAGTTAATAAAACTTGGAGTCAGACGCCACGATGCTGGCCGCTCCAACAAAAGAATGGCAGGATTCTCTCATTCGTCGCTTGAATGGGACTGTCGTGTCAGATTATACCTCCGTATCTATGTCGACACCCATTACAAGTTCTGCCTCTCCTTCTTCATCCTCTCATTATGAACAAGGACAAGGACAACAAGAACCTAGGAGGAGAAGAAGATTGGAAGGTTCATATGTTCCTGACAGCGTGTTGGCCCAGAGCAATTGGGATGAGCAATATTCTATGTCCGGTGACCCGAGTACGTCTGTATACGACGTCTTTGAACAATAGTCCCCACATTCTTGTACAGATGCGAATTGGGACGAGGTAGACGACACCGTGGATTCGTTCGGTCATTTGGCGCTCGATGATCACAAAGAAGTAGGCACAATATATAATGGTTACAATTGATATTCACTGAGCAAGTTGTCAGATTCGCTACCATGGACACGCATCCGGTCTACCGCTTCTGGCCCGAAGCGAACGGCAAGAAGGTGACAGGGAAGCCCATGGAATCTGGTGAGCAAAACACCATGGTTTCGTTGCGATCTGCTATAAACAACTTGGCACGTTAATCAGGAAATTCCCTCCTTTGAAGGAGGAGCCTGTATCGGAAAGCTTCGACTTGAGCGCGGATGATGACACCAATGTGCCTTTACCACCTTTGGACTTACAGCGACACCTCATCGACTTGTACTTCACATATGTGCACCCGTTCTTCCCAGTGATAAACAAATGGTATTTTCTAGACAACTACCCTCCGTAAGTCTCTCCGTTTGATACTTGACTTCTGCATGCTGAACTCTACTGACACTGGTATAGGCACAGCCCGCCCAGGTAGGACAGAATGAACCTCCTCATTGTTCAAGAAGTGATTGCTGACGTTGTTCCTACACATAGTGCAAGTTCTGAGGCCATCGGTGCACCAGCGGATTCTGCTCAGAAGATCAATAAGCTTTTGTTGCTAGCGATGTTCTCACTGGCAGACAGGTATTCGAACCTTGGGCCGAATGATGGTAACAAGTGGAACTCGGGCATGCTATATGCGATCCATGCGAGGCAGATATTGAGTCAGTTCATCTGTTCCTATAACGCCATTGTCGGTATTGAAGCTCCGAGTAGACCGCACGTTCCAATATAGTCGTCCAGCGACGGTACAAGCCCTCCTACTTCTTGGAATACGCGAGTTTGGATTAGGTGAGGTTGCTCCAAACTTTCCGTTTCGGCACCATGCAAATGTCTAACCGTGAATATTTTAGGTGCTATGGAGCAAGGATGGCTATACTCTGGTATGTCCGGAGCGCCTCTTTCCAGTGCGTTCGCCTGACCTTGCCTTCTGACAGGCATGGCCTTGCGTATGGTATGTATGTGCACCGTTCTGTAGCTACATCCAGCTGATCCTTCCATGGCTAAGGCCATCGACCTGGGCATGAATCGTAATGCGGACAATTGGACGGACAATGCAAAGGACCTGTTTTCTCCTGTTGAGAAGCAGATCAGGAAGCAAATCTGGTGGTCCTGTTGTATCACAGACAAGTAGGCTTCCTTCTTTTTGTAGCTGCTCGCTGGTCTGATTATTCGCTGTCAGGTTGTCCGCGATGTGGATGGGTAAGGCGTCCTTGCAGGGTGGTCCATGGAAGTGGCCCTCCGAGTCATTTTCTGATCTGACACCTTTAGGTAGACCTATAACCTTCCGGGCAAACGACTACACTACGCTTAAGCCGGAGGTTCCACTAGTATGTCAAGTTGTTTTTTGATGTCAGTCTTATCCTAATCATTGAGGCTTTCTAGGAAGATGAGTACGATAATTGGCAGCCATGTCCTCCAGACGCGCTCGGTCCAGACTTCCAGCCTCGTCCCTCTATGATTATGAGCTGCTTCCGCGAACAATGCGAATTATGTGAGGCAGGGATGTTCGAGGTCGTGAATATGATGACTAACCCTTGACCATGACAACAGCCGTCGTCATCACGTATATAATGAATCAAATTTACCCAGTGAAGAGTTTAAATGACACATCGCGACGGACGCTTCTGCAGCAGCTGGAAGCACGTCTACATAGTTGGCTCTTCAACCTTCCTGAGCATCTGCGATACTCGACAACAAGCAGTCTCAGCGTACCATTACCGCATATATTAATCCTGCACGTTGAGTACTGCGCGGCGGTGCTCTTGCTTCACCGTGCGTTGTGAGTGGTGACATGCTGGGTTATACAAGGAGAACGCTGACGACATGCTGTATTTTGACAGTATTCCACATGCAAATGGGTGAGTCGAATAACATATGCTGTGCCTCACTTTCCATGGACTAAGTTTTGAAGGCGATCGGATGACAACGGGGACGGTAATCCTCAATCTGACCCCCTTCCGCTCAAATCGTTCGATATTTGCCAGAGCGCTGCCTCTCACATCAGCTCAATAGGTGAGGCTCCTGGATGAAGAAATTCTATCAATGCTGACATCTTGTCTCAGTCACCGTTTACGATGAAAAGTATGGCTTGAGCACGGCTCCGCCGTTCTTGTCTATATATTTGCAGAGCGCTGGGTAAGCTGCATCGTGCCTATGCATCTTTAGTTGCTGAGTTGTTGTGCATCACAGTATCATGCATGTTATCACATGTGAGTGTCCTGCCAGCGGGACCAAGTGACTCACTTGCTGAACGTCGCGGACAGTAAGCAGGCATCCACAGAACCCGCAAGCTATCATCGGCTTGAAACAATGCATCTCGGCGCTTGAGAAGCTAGAGGTATGAAAGTCCACCTGGAATGATATCGACCTGACCTTTGGTCTGCCAGACTGTCTGGCCTAGTGCAACTCGAGTGCGCATATTGCTGGAAGGCGTGAAAGTGAGGAAAGGTCAAATGGCGCCAGCCCCCCAAAATCAGCAGAACCAGCAACCCCTGCGACACAAACGTTCAGCGGAAGAAGCGTTGGGTGCAGAAAGGAACTCGGACGTCCTTGAGCGAGAATCATCCGACAGACATGCTACGTACACTGAACCTGGGGCGGCGCAGGCTGCCACAAGATTCGACGAGCATATCAACCAGCACCTGATGCTTCGCACGCTGGGCCTCGATCTGCAAGGAATAGAAGCATCAACCTCGTTCTATCCTGGATATCAGTGGTGGCCACACCAGAACTTCCATGAAGCGGTCATGCAGGGCCATATGATGGACATTGCGACTGCAGGCACATCGACAAGCATGTTGAGCGACGCAACGATTCCCGAGGCATCCTTCACGTTTGACCAGCAGCATCTGAACCCCGAGTTCGTGCAGGGTGTCCACTACCCTATCCTCGATCCTTCTCATCTGTTCCCCTCCAATCTGCACCCGTATCCACCGCAACATGATCCCGGATCTTGATGAGGCCTGGGCAAGACGGATGATTTAGCGAATAGCCATTAATTTATGTGGGTCTCCAGCTGCTTGATGTTCCGTTAATGTAGTACCTAGTATACATCCAATCTACAGTCATATAATAAATGTATCAGGCGAACCGCAAATACACTCGCGGAGGAGAGCTCTACATAGAAAACTTGCATAAAACGAGGCGATGAACTCGGAGACTTCTGAGGACTGTCATGAGCAGGACATACGAAAGCCATGAATACTTGGTCATTTCTTGATGATATATAGTCGAAGCTTATGATGCGGTGGCTGCCTCGCGAGCCTGACGTCGTGCTCTGCGGCGTGCTCGCCAACGAGGACCGATATGGTACGTGAAGATCATGATAGGCGACAAGACGACACAGATGCCCGGAAGGAGTACATACGTCCATCCGGGCCCCATGGCATTGAGGATGGGGTTGATGACCGAAACCATTACTGCACCGAGGGAGCATCGCACCATGTTGTTCTGAGAATGACATTAGGCACGTTATGACCGGGGGAGGGGCAAGGAGAGGCATACACATGCTGTTACGGCCGCACTCTGTCCCGGAACGAGGTCAACGATGAGAGTTTGCGTCACGTTCATGTTAGCTACGACGGCGTAGCCGACTAGACAGAACCTAAGTGGACGAACTGACTCGGGAAATGATATGCGCGTGTACCAAAAATTGACGATATTAGCGGACCGGCAATGTTGGTCCCTGCGTCTAACGTCCAGCCATAGACGATGGTCGCTACTACGAACAGGCCGAAATAAAACGGCATCAACCTCAGTCTCGCCTTTTCGATGGGAAAGTTCTCGTCCTTCGTTACGTCCTCTGGACGGACCTTCTTCTCTGGGTCCGTCTCTATCGCGAATTTCGCGAACATCTGGTTCTTGACGCGCCTGTATTCGTAGTCGAGCACGCGGCCGGTGATGACGCCGCCGATGAGCATGCCACCGCCGATCGCGAGGAAGCATAGCCCGATGTCGGTTTCGTTGAGGAACGTGTAGCTGCTCTTGAAGAGCGTGGAGATGCTGATGGTCACAGCGTAGAAGACCGAGTAGATCATGCCGTTGAAGAAGAGGAGAAGGAGGATGTCCGGGTAGAGGAAGAGGATGAGCGGGTTGTTGAAGCGCCGCCGCGCCGGGCGGGTGGACGGGTCCTGGGGCGTGACTTTCTGGCGGTTGCGACCAACGATGGGTATCAGAGGGTAGTAGAAGCGCGGTGGGGGGATGCTGCCGTCTCCAACGAAGGCGCGCAAAGTCTCGGGCAAAAACCTGCGAGTCGATCCAAATGAGGATGAGGCGGGGAGACACACTAGCAGTGCGGGCACTTACAAGAGTATGACAACGAAGCACACTGCAGAGGCAATCACAAGGAACCAGAAAATGGATCTGAAATGCACTTGTTAGGATTACGGACGTGTCATATATAAAAGGAACCTTGCCTCCAGCCTAGGTTTTCTGCAAGAACACCTCCCAGTACCGGGCCTACACATGGACCAACCTAAACGACACAGCTCATTAGGCTCTGCATCAGTAGTGTATATATGTGCCGACTTGCCATGGGCCCGACGTTCCAAAAACCAAAATATGTACCGCGTTCATAAGGAGCGGCAATATCTGCAATGACCCCAGCACCTGAGGAAGACTGGTCAGTCGTGTTCAACATCGTACATGGCGCATTCCCGGACCTAACGCTACAGTGCTCGCAGACCCCGCGGCTTGGACACATCGGAGGACCATGAGTGCCCAATATGCGTCTGTTGGAATGAGTGCAAGTCCGATACAGGACAAGAAGAGAACGAGCAAGCATCCGAGAAACATGGGTCTGCGACCCCATCGGTCGGCAAGCGTTCCCCAGAATATAGGTGCTACAGAAAGCCACAGGTAATTGAGATATGCTTATGCAAGGACGTCACACGAGCGCACTTACAAAGACCTTGAACGATCAAGTAAACCGTCACGGTCAGATTTATGTCTTCTGTCGATTTATGGAAGGCAGCTGCTATAGTTGGTATAGCGGGAAAGTAGATATTGGCGGTGAACGGGCTGGAGAAGAGATAGAGACATTAGCATTTCATACGAATAAATCTCGGTCACGTGCATATATACTGACCTGAACAATGAGGCAAAGGCAGCCACGGCGACGATGAACCATTTCTCGCTCGATGTGTAGATGCTGTATGCCTTGACATGATCGTGGTCCGGTGCATGGTGCCCAGCTGCCAAGAAGATCAGGAGCAATTAGGGTTTGTTGCGCCCTCCTGACCGACCAAATCCGACGCACCTTCAACACGTTCTGCGGTGTTCGAGCCGTCGGTGGAACTCCCGACCCTATGTTTCTGGGCATCATGTTCGACGCCAGGTCGTGTCATGAATGTAAAATCGCAGCAGAGCAAATGATTTGGGAGTGCGGGTTGGGCATGAGTGCGCACACGTAGGGAATTGGACAGGCTGACTGACTTATGTATGTAGAGGGAGTCGAGGGTCGAGTCCGATGGCGAATGGCAGCGTATCCGACCGTGAATGCCTTTCCTGGTATTCTGCCTGCCGAGATCGATCAAGTGCGGCATCCTTGCGAGGCGCCCATTCTGGACGAAGTTGTGGCCTCAATGGGTTCCGGTCCCAATCTGCAGCAATGAAGCAACGAGATCTCGCTAGTTCTTTTCTCAAAAACGACTTTCTGCGCATGTTCAATGAATTAAAAGACACCTCGGACGCGTTATAGATGCTTCCGCCGACAAGCGACGCATCGGAGGATATCACGACCATGTTATTCAAGTGGTGATCAGAGCGTATCACAACAAGAACCATGATATTCGTGGACCTACACATACAATGGAAGACGCACAAAACGAAAGACACGAGGCACTCAATCAGCCTCCACCCGCATCTGGCCTCTCCCTCTCCGAATTCGTTCCTCGATGCCGCCCTCACCACCAAAGACTTTCTTCTGCTCGTGGCTGAGGAAACTTCCCATGCCCTTCGACTTCGTCCTTACGCGCTCCTCCGCCTCCGCCTCCGCCTTCTCCTGTGCCAACAATAACGTCAAACGTTCCTTTCGTTCCACGGTTAGCGTCATTGCATCCGAAGACATGGCTGCTAGACGGGCAGCACGATCTTCCGCACTATAGCCTGTTGGCTTCGAGGTCGGTGGCGGGCTCAAACGCGAGCGCTTCGAAGGCGCAGCATCGTATCGTGTGAGGCTCCTGCTCCTGCTCCTGGCCCGTTTCCGGTCATCAAGAGACTCCCTGAGTCGTCGACGGTCGTAGGCGTTGTCGTCTGACTCGTCTGACCTCGGCCACGTGCGTACGGCCCTCCCGTCATCTCTCCTTCTTTCCTCACTTCTGCTCCGATCCCTACGGCGATACGAGTCAGGTGTGCGGCTCCTGCTTCGTCCCCGTCGACTAGGGTAGTGAATATCATCGGGAGCGCGCATATAGCTATCGCCGTATCGTGTGCGAAAGGGTGGGGGAGACAGTGACCGCCGCTCATGTGGACTAGGAGACGGCCGCGAACGAGAGTAGTGATCGCGAGCGTCTGAACGATGCCGGTCATCATACGGCGAAGCTGATCTCTCTCTATGCTTGTCTTTGTGCTTCTTCTCTTTCTTGTCCTTCTTGTCCTTCTTGTTCTTCTTGTTCTTGATGCCAGTGCGCTCCTGCATCTCTCGTAAACGCAGAGGGTTGGACATGAGTGCCTGGTATGCAGCCTGCTCCTTCTGCTTGATGGCGAACAGCGGGTCCTCACGAATCTTCGCAGCAGTATCCCTGACAGTATTTGCATACTGCGTTGCAATGAAGTTCTTGTGAGCAGCGCCAACCTGTGCTCTTGGAGTCAGTGATTGCCTTAGAGCCATTATCCGCCGAGTACGTACCTTCTCGTTCTCGTCCGCGGTCAGAATCTTGTCCACTCTTTTCTTACCAAGCAGATAGTCCTCCAGGTCGTTTGCATTCTGGTTGCTTCCCGTTGCTGGAGTCGTATACATCCATTCTAGTTTCTCCTGCCTCTTCTTCCCGGTCTGTTCCTCCTGCAATCGCTGCAATTCCTGCAACTGTCGCTCCTCCTCCTTCTCCTTGCGCAGCTGATCAAGCTTCTTCTTCTCTTCCAACTACATGGGAACAGGAGTCAGAACAATATCACAACGTATTGGTCGCACAGTACATACCGCTTTCTTCTCCTCCAGCCAGACCCGCTCCTGGTTCTTCAACAGGAGCGGGTGCCAGGATTTCTTCATGTTCAGATCTCCACCACCCATCTTGGCTAGCTTTCAAGGAAGAAACTGTTAGAGGGGTTTGATAAGGATAGGCAGACAGAGAGAGTGCTTTCAAGTGCGAGCAAGAGTGAGATGGAAAAGGACGTGAGTGCTAGTCGGTGGGGTGGTGAGCAACAACGACCCAAATAAGCGCTCAACGTTGTTTGGCTTTGTTGTGTTTGCGTGGCCCTACTACCGCAGACCACCGCCCGCCATCGTTGCAGGTCGCGACCAACTCCGTCATTGTGCAGCACGCTGTGCACACCCTGCAGCCATGTCTCGTAACGGCAACAACTCATTAGGCGACCTTGAATCTGGTGAGGTGGATCATCTATATGATGGGCCTTCCGTCCCAGCTGCACCCGCGTACGCATCAGTCGGCCTCTCCGCTCTCGCCGGCTACATAGACTCGAGACGTTACGCGTGCTCATCGTGCCATGAAACAGGGCTACACGGTCGATATACTCCATGACTCGGGAGGAGATCGCAAAGGGTCTCGCGAACAGATTCGTGCACTCGAGGGCGTACATCGTGCTGTACCTGGCGATGGCCGCGTTGTCGGTTACGACTGTCGTGCTTAGCTTGATTTATGCATGCCCGACGCTGGCGTTCTATATCCTGGAGTTGATTATCAATGGTGCGATGATCATTGAAGTCGCGATACGTTTCGTTGCTTTTGGTAATGTGAGTCGTTACGCGTGCTGTTTCGTCGCGAGGTTGATGGAAACTCGCGTTGCAGCAATTCTGGACATCTCCTTTCAATGTGATGGACCTTGTCATTACAGCATTCTGCGTGATCACGCTCCTCGTCATCTTCTTTGCCGGTTGCGATCCTACCAGCCACAATGAAGAGCTGCTGGATACCCTTCTCCTTGTCGCCCGGAACACGCTTCAGTTCGGTAGACTCTTCATGGTGATGCGACAGTATGTAATGTTTGTTACCGGTTGAGAATGACACGCTGACCAAAGTACTACTGCTCCTCTCGTTTAGGTCTGGCCAATCTATATTCTCTCGTCCAAAACCTATTGACCTCTCCCGACGCGGTCACACAACCCTTGACATTGACATGGAAGACGATGAGCCAGAGGATGAGCTCGGGCAACCGTTAATCCGAAACCCTGTAGTGTTCGACGCTGGAGAAGAGCGGAACCACAGCCGTCGCGCTAGTCCCTCGGACATGCCTCGCGCAGCACAGGCTGCTCAAGAAAGAGATACGGAAGACGTTTGGGCAGAGCTGGGTTGATATTGAGACTAGCTTTACGGAACTTTTCATCTGGTAGATTGTGCTAACAGTAGATGTTTAAGTAATGACTGGCTGTACCTGGACGATAATCAGTGAGTTCTTGGGCGACTGCTATGGACCTGGCTAATTGATCTGTTTAGCAATTATGTAGGAATCTGATGTCGTATGAATGCAGAAGATCGTTTCCACTTCTTGGCCCTGACTTTGCTATTGAGCTGTCCACCATCTCGTTGAAGGCAGGCTTTCCAATGTCCTTGTGCCGTCATTGGCGTGTAGTTCTTGCGTTTCGCGCAAATTTTATCCGGACTCGCTTCGTCTGCAGTGGCGATTGTTCGCCTACGTTGAGGTAACCTTGCTTCGCGTCCTGCGCGGGTGGCTTTTACCGTGTGCATTGCCCGATGCTCTCGTCAGGAACCTGTCTCAACTTGCCGACGGAAAAGGCTGAACATTCTGCAGTACGTGCTTCTGCCCTCTTTTTCTTCGCTTGCACTCCAGGATACCCGCGATGCCCTTTAGCTATGCGATGGCGGCCGTCATTCTGTCAAAGTGACTCTTTCGGTGCTGGAATCAAACGAATACGCTCACACTTTAGTCAGCACCGATTTTGGTCAGCTTCGCAGTATTGAAGAGAAAACAATGCCTGCCTGACCTGGACGTTACAAAATGGTCACAGGAAAAAAGAATTCTCGCCTTCTAGCTTGGACAAGGACAATTCTCTCGGGACGTGGTAACTCCATCTGTTGTATGACGCCATGTAGCAAGAACTTTACTCGTTGAAGACAATGCGCTTGTTCGCAACACATCACTTGGTCTTTGGGATTTCTCCGGGACCGAGCGATCCCTTATAAAGGGACTCTTCTTCAGCTCTGTAAGCCGGACCGAACGCGGTGTCTCGGCCCCGGACTACTGTTCTGCCATTATCGCCGACGTGGAAGGGGAAGCAATGCCGTAACGGCGTTCTTCTCGCAGTGAGAATGCAATGTTGTGCGAGCCGCACACTGTCGGCGGAGCAGGGCGCACAGCTGCGGTAGGAGGCGCTCGCTCGTCATCTGCCATCGACGCAAGATACGTTAAAGGTACGTAACATTTGTCCGGCCTTCGAAAAGTCTGTTCTGATCGATCTTAGGCATTGCGACGGCAAGGGCTGGACGAGCCAGGACACGGCCACCGTCAGTCCACCAAGATTCCGCAGCGCTACAGGCCTGTGTTTGATTCCATACAGCACCGGATGGCAGAAAGTTGTCATGAGCATGCATGTATGACTGCGTCTGAGCGGAAGCGAACATTGCGCGGGACCGGATGTGATCATCTTGTACTTGAAGAGAGTATGCACGCTTCTTTCTAGAGATCCCAGATTTCGGCGATCGTCAGAACGCCCTGGCTAGTCGCAGGAAGAGCATGCGGGTGATACGGTGGTGATACGCGACGATTGCCCTGGCTAAGCACGCTTGCATCGCCGCCGGCCTGTGTCTCACGGGCGGTTTCGTCTCATGCCCCAGTTGTTGGCGGCTCGTTGCGATCTCTCGCGTCCCATCAGGCCGCCGTGATTTGAGAGGCGTGCGTCCCTCCATGCTCGCCCCTGCCTGCAGGCACGGCATATGCAGAGGTCGAAGCAGAGAAGACCCGAGAAGGGTCTCAGGTATGCATGAATGAAGGGGAAGTTAGCCTAAATGTCAGAAGCAGTTCAAGACTGATAAGCGCTGGTGGTAACCACCGGGTGGCTCTGAGCCGCCCGCTAGCAGAGTCCTAATGCTGCCTTTCCTCGCGCGTCTTTTCCGCTGTCCTCGCTTGCGTCCTGCTGTCTTCGCTATACATGCCCTGACCGTCATCTCGCAGGTATGCCATCAGCTATTATACCCTTCCGCTCCGTTCACGCACGGTAGCTCACTCGCACTAGGCCCGGGGACCTCACTGTACATTCCCACTGCCGGAATACCATCTCGGAGACCACACACTCCTTCTCCCCTTGTCTCCATGTCATCTACGCTTCTACCCTCTGTCCAAGGCAAGTCATGGTGGTTGCGATCGTCCAAACCTTCCAAGGACGCGTCCAATCCGCGATCCTCTCGTCCCTCGTCCAGCCAGTCCAACGTTAGCGAGAAAGCTGATCCGACCATGCCCTCCGGGACAGGGAAGGTGAAGGACTTGGGCTCTGGTCTCAATTTCAAGACCATAGGCACTGCGATGGGCTTAAAGTCCAGGAAGCTCCCTTCACTCGCTATCCAAGATCCCCCCGCAGTTCCTGCAGGCGTTTCTTCTCCTCTGGTCGCGCATCCCATCAGCGGTTCTAGAGAAGCTATATCCACTCTTTCCACACCCTATACCAACAACGCTATCGCTAAACCCTTCTCTACTGCACATTGCCCCGAGTGCGACGGCGATGGGAGATCAGCAAAGACCGCGTCGGAACCTCGTACCCCGTCGGATTCTACGAGGGATAGAACGTCTTATCAGCCGTCTGTTCTGACATTTTCAGAGCCGGACCCGTTTGCTGCGGGTGGTGTCATAATCCAGCAAACTCCAAATGACCCAAACAGGCTCTCTGTGTATTCCGATTCGTCACTGCTGGATCCTCACCGTAAGAGTGGTGATGTCTCGTTTTACAATCACCTATCATATGGATCATCTCCCTCTATTGCCCCCAGCCTTTCCTCCGACAGTCATTCTGGGAGAGTGGCTTCTGCAGCCCCGACACAATCCAGGTAACGTTATCTGTCGATTGTGAGTAGCTGCTTCAGCGCTAATTCAAGAACAGAAGCAGAACCAATTCCACTATGCGATGGGATGCAAGCCTTCCTCTACCGGTGTCTCATGTTGCTCAACTGCGGCAGAAATCGCCGTCGGTATCAAGCTCTTCATGCTCCACTGTAACCCCTGGAGATGCAGCAAATCGGCTAAGTGAACCGCCTGCGGCTCAGCTACTGCATCAACGCGTGCTTAATGCCGCGTCGAGGCCGAGGGGTCAGACTATCGCTGTTGAGAGAGCTAGTCACCAGCGGCGTCCAAATACGGCTAATGCGGTTATGAGTCTCTCAGCGGCGACAACGTGTCCTCCTCTCCAACTTCGCCGGAAAGCATCCGACCTCTCCTTCGGCCTACACTCATCATCCTCCTCTACTGCGTCTTCACCTTCCCCGCTGTCGTTCATGCGGTCACGTTCATCGACGATGAACAGTGCCCAGACGCATATATCACAGTCCTCGACACGTCCAATGGTGGTTATTCGCAAACCGTCCTCGACGAGGATGGTTATTCCGCCTCTCAATCGCGCGCCACCCTCAGCAGAATTACCGCCGCCGCCGTTGTCACCGACGTTGTCACAAGGCACTGCCGACTCCTTTGACGACCTTTCTGCATTTCCTGATCCACCTTCATCCAGCTCGTCCAGTATGAGCTTTGCACCGAGTATGGACCGTGAAACACCTAATATGAGTGGGGACGTAATCAATCACTTCATGCGGCAGGCTTTCGGATATTCTGGGAAACGACATAGTGGGAAAAGTAAAGCAAAGGATCGTAGCACCGGCCAGAACCATGCACAAGCCAACTCCCCCGCCTCTCTACGTGACATCGAGCTGCGTACAGCATCAATATCCTCTGCCAGCAAGTCACCACCATTTCCTCCTGTTAGCGAAGATGGATCGATCAGGAATGGCGGGGGATTACCACGCATCTCGCAGAGGTCTCTTAAGAAGACGACCTCGCAGCAGAGCTTGGCAAATAACCGGTACTCCGCAACGAGCTTGGCATCCTCGCTAGCGTCATCACACATGGGACATGATGATGCAGTGAACGGAAAGCACTCGAATGTCGAGTCTTCGGGTAGCAAAATACCGCGAAAACAGCGTTCATTCCATCATCCACGCCTTCCGCTCCCGCCGCTTCCTAACTTGCGCTACGCAAATTCTTCTACCTCTACAACATCCGAGTTTCCTCTGCCATCCTCCCCAGTGTCATCTGAGCAGCAGCGAAGAGGCAGCATGGCCAGCACTGGGGCCACGTCCACACGAAAGCGGTTGTTCTCTACTTCCAGCGTCAGGAAGAGCACGTCTTCACAGCCGCCCGCGAGCCCCTCGCTGTCCGGCGAGGACGATAAGCGGTCGATATACAGCGTGGAGGAGCTGCGTGCGGCTGGTCAGGTCGCCATGTCATTTGGGAATTTCGGAAACTCTCTCTCGCTGTCGACAAAAAACTCATGTGTGGCTCCTTTGTCCTATTGGGAGGAACCACATGTGCAAGGAGGCTCAAGTACCGCATTGAACTCGTCGACAAGCGACCTGGGCGGGAAGAGATTGTCGCAGGCAGAATATGTTCCACAACATATTATGTCGCCCGCGGATATGCTCGAGCTTGAGAAGCAGCTCGCGGTCGAAGCAGCAGCACAGGAGTATGATCGCAATCGAGCGCCGAAACTTGAGCTCGACACCAAGGACCTTAGCAATGCCATGATTCAGGGGAGGCAGAAGGCGGGCGGTCAGGGTTCTAAGGCGAAACCACAGCACAAAGCGTCAGCCATGTCGACAGCTACAGTGGCATTTGGCTCGGGCGACAGCTGGTCCAGAAGCTCGCCGCTCTCGCCACCATCCATTTCGAGCAGCAAATCGGCCTATAACTCTTCTAAGCCGAAGACAAGTCAGCTTGAGCCTACGCAGCCGCCTCATCGTAGCATGTCGATGTTGCAGAAAGGTTTTTCCCGATCGACTACGTCTGCACGCCCGTCGACTGCTCAGCCAAATGTGTCATCGTCCAGCTCTTCCGTTCCGGCCTTGACGCACTCACCGGAACAAGCCAACGTCAGCCTTCCTCCCCCTCCTCGAGCGCGCACGAAACCCGCCCCGTCGCGTACACAACCCACCGTGGCCGACAAGCGGTCGAGTACGGTGCCAATCCAACCCCTTTCTCCCCCTCCTGTGCGCAAAACATCCCGCGCGCAGTCCTCTCCTATGGCGCCTGCGCGCTCAAGTCCGTCGTTCTCGCAGCGTCCTCCCAGTGCGTTCGATCAGCATGTCTTGCAGGGAAGGTCCATTATGAGGAAGCCGTCCTTTTTGGACATCGAGGATGAGGCCGAGGTTGCGTCGGATAGTTCAGTGGAAAAGGAGGTTGAGACGTTCATCACGGATGACAACTTCCTTGATATGGAGAGGGGCAAGGATTCATTTGACACGATTCGGAGCTCCGACAGTATGCTTTATGTTTAGTCATGGCAACGTAGGTGGGATTCTTATCGTTCATATGTATTGTTCTTTATTGCTACTTTACGTGCATCGTGTTTGCTTAGTTACCGTGCTGTCGAAGCTCGTACTTAGATCGTACCACCCATTAAGGATTGCATCGTTCTCTCTCGCTTGCCGCTAGTATCTCCGCACTGCTCATGTAATTTTCGTCCAACCTAGGTATGAATCGAGAAAACTCGCGAGCCGAATGGACATCCGACATGCAAGAACTAGCAAAGACTAAGTGTGCAAACTAAAATCAATATCCGCCTACCATATCAACGAACCGGACCCGAAGCGTGAGGAATAGTAGTCATATAATGTACGATACAGATGGGTTTGGTATATCAGGATGTGGATGTCTTCTGATGGATGAGCGGTCACTCCGTTTCATCAGTATGATATCCTGCCCGCCGCATTGCTCCCAGACGGTGACGAGCTGCTCCAAGGTCCTTCTCCAGCCGTAGGATCTCTACCTGTTGCTCCATTTCACGCTTCTTGAATTCGAGCGCTGCCATGTTCTGGTAGTCGACCTCCTCCTCTTGCGCCTGCTTCGCGGAGATGGCCTTCACTTGCTTGACAAGAGCCTTGCAAGCGTCCGTTACAGCCTTCGCCGCCAGCTCTAGACGCTCCTGGGTCTTCGACATGAGGTTCGCCTTGACACGGGATGCGGCGACCAGCTGAGCGGTAGCAGCTGCAACCTCATTAGATGCCACGATGAGCTGTTCCAAGGAGTGAGTCCCGGACAGCACTCCATCGGCGCTCTCGATGAGCAAGTTCGTGGCGAAGGCGACGGAACGAGCAGCGGAGATAAGACCCTCCGTCCAGCGGTTGTTGCGCTTGTAGAACTGCTGGGTGGTACTCGAGCCCTTGCCCTGTGCAACAATCTCTTGTTGTGACTCCGTGGCGGCCTGGATAAGGCGGGCGATGGCGCTTGTGATCGCCATTGCCGCCGCCAGAATGGAATCGTGGACCTGCAGGTCGACTGCGCTGAACCGAGTAGAATCACGAGGACGCGACATCAGCTGCTGCAAGCGCTCCGTAGCTGCTTCGATGGCCTTTGCTGCACCCAACATCTCCTGCTCTACAATGTCTCCGATATCTCCTTTCGCCTTCGAAAGTGCTCCTGCTTTGCCACCCTTCGGCACAAGGGAATCGACCACCTCGGAGAGCTTGGTCAAAGCATTGCGCACCTCGCCGTTGTTGCGCATGGCGACCTCCTTCCGCTGAGTGGACGATGGGAGCAGATCCAGTTTGTAGGACTGGAGGTTGAGGAATACCCTTAGACCAACGTCACCGGCTGTCTTGGCGACGTTGATGAGCTTATCGGACGCCTCGTCACTGACGAGGCGGGTGATGCCTTTGGTATTGATCAGAACATCTGAAAGTGACTGTGCCAACTCATTGGCACCCTTGATGACATCAACATGGTCACCGCCAACTTCTCCGCCTAGGTACAAGTTGAAGACGGTTGCGAACTCCGTAGCGGTGTTGACCGCCTTCTCGATCATTGAAAGGGTATACTCAGGAGTAGAATTGATATTACCAGCTTGAGCTGGGGATTCCAACTCGTAGATTGCTTCGTCCACCTTATGCACACAAGCTTGCAGAATAGAATCTAGACACGACAATCAGGTTGTAGATGCTATTGAAATTGCATTCAGCGCACCGATGATCTGGTTGAGCTTCTTTCTGTTATCAAGAATGAGAGTATCGATCTGAGCATTCGTAGCTTCCTCTGAGATGCCTTGGTTCTATAAGCTTATTAGTAGCATGGCCAGCTCATTCAGTCACGATTACAAACCTGTTGAGCCTCATGGAGCTGCTGGATAGTGCTGTCCATGCCTTCTTGGAGAATGGCGATCTCTTGATCCTTCTCCTCTCTGAGGCGCTCAATGTCCGCCTGAGCACTGTCGAGCTTGGCGAGAAGATCGTCGATTTGAATTTGCTTAGCCTGCCCAGACATTGTATGTTAGCCAGACGGTGGAGAAACAGGGACAATTACACTCACTCTCAGCGAATCCTCGAGTTCCGTCAGTTGCCTGTTGTACTTGCCCAGGACATTCGATACTTCGGAACTCTTCGATCGTGAAGCGTCTTCCGCGCGTTCGTTCGCGAAGTTCAAATCCCTCCGCAACCGATCCAGTTCGTCCTTGTGACCAGCCTTCTGGCGATCCAAATCGAATCTTGCACGATCACGTTCTCGTATCATATCTGCCAACTCTAAATTCTTGGCCTTCAAATCACGTTCCATGCGTTCCATGCGATCGATTGCCTCTTGCGCCGAGTTGGCCTTGAGTTGCATCTGCTTGAACTTCGCGAGCATGTCGAGATGCTCTGTTCGGAGTTGGCTATATAACTTCGCAAGGGCTTCGTATTTGTTGCGCCAGAGAGTGACTTGATCTTGCAATTGTTTGATCAACTCATCCTTGGACTGCATCTGCGCGTTAATGTTCGCAGTGACGCTACCCAACTCGCCTTCGAGAGCTTTCACCCGCTGACACCTCGCATTCAGCTACGCATAGGTACTCAGGTCAAGACCGAACTCACGCGATCATACTGCTCAAGCATGAGCTGGTCCCGCTCGTACTGACCGCGCATGGCGAGCAACTCTCTCTCCAGCTCTTGCGCATTCGCTGCAGCCTGTGCAGCAGCTTGATTGTTGTACTGCATCATCTGCTGCTGAAGTAGTGCTTCCTGTGCGGCCCTCTCTCTCTCAGCTTGCTCCGCCTGTCGCTGTTCGAATTCGCGGCGCTGCTGCTCTTCCAACTCCTGACGTCGCCGCTCTTCTGCTTCACGTGCAGCGAGCAGAGCAGCCTGTTGCTCTTCATATTGCTTGAGCATGCGGGCTTGCTCGCTGACTGCTGCAGCATCGGGCGTAGGAGCCACAGGCGGAGGCGTCTGAATGTTTGCGGTGGTCGGCCTTGCCGGCAGATCGGGTGCAGGCCCATTGTCCATAAGGTTCGGAGGTTCCTGCTACAGATTATAGCGGCCACAAGCAATCAAAGCCGATTTGCATACCTGACCAAGTTTAGGCACATTAATAAGTCCTGTCAGGTACTTCAGATTGGAGCATTCGTAGTAGAACTTCCGCAGGTTGTAATGCTGAGCAGTGTAACGCTGACGTAGAGGTTCCAAAGCGTCGGTATCGTCGGTTCCTGACCTTGTAAATGAGGAATATCATTACAATACTGAGATGTCTTACGCACTTTTATACATAGCTCGCAGCATGCTCGTGATGAACCTATAGATACCCCAGCTTTCCTTCACGAGAGGAACAAGTGCAGAGATGCGACACTCATTACTGGCTGAATGACGGAAATGAGCGAAAATCATCCTCTGGAAGGAATCGATCTGGTCTTGCAGCCCCATGAGATCGGATATTGTTTCATATCTCGAGACATGTGAGATCCCAAACTGTATGGCGCACATAGAAAACAAAAGTGAGCTCACCCTTCGTTAGGATCATCTATTCCTTTCAATGTCACGTACTCCTCATACTCGAACAACCCATTAAACTCTGGTCGAAGACGATGGAACCGAAGCTTTGCCAGTATGAACTGGACATATGTCCTGATCAACGGCCCATAGCCTGGAGACCGTTGATCAGCGGAAATGATATGAAAGGCAAAACGACCGCTCACCTCGTGGGCTATCGTGTCCAACTGTACGAGCACACGTCTCCAGCCAGCCTGTCTGCCCATGAGCCTCTTTGATTGTCTATTCCCGCACTTTCAGAATACTGGATATATAATACCGGTGAGAATATATACTTACGACTGGATGCCCCTCCTGCAGAACCTTGTGCACAGTTATGAGCGCCTTGAACGTCTGAACTTCGTCCGCCAGGATGGGCTGAACCCGCAAGCCCGTCCAGAAAGAGATGGATGAGTGGTAGTCCCATGTGTACACAATACACTCTGGGCGATCAGCGTCATCAATTCTGGGGCATCACTAACACAACGAACGGCACGACTTACTTCGGACATGCTTCTGCTTAGGGGCGGTCTCATCCGGGTTGGTTGCCTTCTTGATGTTGACAACAAGCTCAGCCTCAGCCTTCTCTCTGTCCACTGGCCTCGTTGGGTAATGGACTTCCTCCTCCAATTCGTAGGCACTAGACCGACCGCGTTGTCCGCCGAACCTATAGCGCTGTCAGCTAGCGGCGTCGTAGCGACCAGAGAAAACGTACATCGATACTTCTTTCGCGCAGGTGCCGGTTGTCTGCTATTGCAAAAAGATCGAGACGTATAATGAGGTGAGAAAAAGACGAATGCTGCAGGGGAGCACTGCAAGCTGCAGCGCAGTAGTGTGCTAAGCAGCTATGGGCGCTTGTGCATATGACCCCTACGCCGCTTCGCGCGCTTCGCCGGTCACGACCGTCTCTCAGCGGCCATACGGTCGCGCTCTTTCAATCACAAGGTCTACAGACATTTGACTCTATGCTGTCATCCCTACGCTCCTGCAGAGGAGGACCAAAACTCTGGGGCAAAAAAAGATGGACGAAAGATGCTATATTTTGTTTCCGACGCGTGGAGTCGAGCGCAGCCCCGCCATCGCAAAGATTCAAGGCGAAGCAAGATCGATGGATCACGCCTACTATGGTTCTTATTGGAGCTATCCCAGTCTTCGCATTCTATCTTGGGACATGGCAGGTGGAACGCCTTAAGTGGAAGGTTGCCCTCGTTGATGAGCTGGAGGAGAAGCTTCAAAGGGAACCCATTTCGCTCCCCAAGCGAGTAAAGTGCGTAGACTTCTCGAAGGCATCTTAGTGCATTGCACTCCTCACGCTATTTTCTTGAATGATACAAGTCTCTCAGCTGTCCCAGATTTTGCGTACCGCAAGGTCATTCTCAAGGGCCGTTGGGATATTGAACATGCGATATTATTAGGTCCTCGAGTGAAAGATGGTGCTAATGGTTACCACTTGGTCGTGCCACTGGTACGTCAAGATGGATCCACTGTGCTGGTAGACCGTGGCTTCGTGAAGAAGGAGCTTGCCGACGCTGCGAAACGTCATTTGGAGAACCATGAAGTCCAAGTCTTCGGCATGCTGAGAACCTCGGCCACGAGAAACTATTTCACTCCAGACAATCACCCGGAAAAGGGGGAATGGTACTGGGCGGATGTCCCTGCAATAGCTGAGCATGCTGGAGGAGATAAGGCTCACGTTCAGCCTGTCCTGGTTGAGGAGATATTCGGTGCGCAACATAGTTACGACTCGAGCGCTTCTTGTCTCTTGACACGTTTCCCGCAGAGGGTCATGGTGGAGAGCAGATGTCCAGATTGGCCCAGGGCATACCTATTGGGAGAACCCCGACCGTCGATGTGAGGAACTCGCACGCATCATATGTAGTAACATGGTGCGTTTCAAAGCGTTCACGAGGAGCATGCATTCTACAACTTTTTGCAGGTATTCTCTTTCTGCGTTTACTGCTGTTATGTTTATCCGCCTTCTACTCAAAAAACGGGCAGCGCGGATGCGTGTACCTCGATGAATGGCACGCAGTAGTTCATGCATGCACGTATCACTCCACTGATTTAATAAGAATGTTCGCGCTCATCCGTGGACGCTATGGGCGAGCCTGTTCCATGAATAAGGGCTATCATAGCGCCAGGCCGCCACGCACGTTGATGGTTACTCTTCTCTACTAGCCACTTGAGTGAGAAGTTCTTGGCCACCAAAGCCGAAGACCATTAACCTAAAGGCACTCTTTTAGTAGAATATCATCATTTAAATAGTTTTCGCTGCTGGTTATTTTGTGGACCAATATTTGTCACTGTATCGTGGCCACTGAATTCTATGGCGTGCGAGAATAATAAGTGGTGTCTGTGATTAGGCGCCCATTTCAATTGACTTTTGGTCTAGCAGAAGGCCACTGCTTACTATGGTCATGCACAACTGTGCGGCGTACCATCCCTGCATCACTCATCCGACTTGCTATATCAGCACTGAGCTGACACTGAAGCTTGAGCTTGATTAGCCAACTTTGACCGGCTTTAATGGCAGAGGCTGGACCTTCCTCCCCACGTACATTATCTAGCACTGCCACCACTAGCCCACCTAGTTCGCTATCGAGGCAGTTGCGCATACACTTCCCACTTGACGAGGATCGTTCCAGTCCCGGAGATGATCGCTCTTATGGTGGTAACTTCCCAGGGCTTGGTACCCATGCTCCTCGCCGCAAGTCAACGATAGGAAAGGAAGCGTCCATCCTTGACGGACTCGGAGCCCGTGAAGATACACGACGTCGCGTAAAGTCCACCGAGGCCAAGATCTCCACGGCTGGCCAGTTCTTCTCATCTGGAAGTGGAGACCTGCCTGCTAGATACTCTCGGCGTATATCGCATGCCCCTAGAAAGACTGTCAAGAGAGACAGGACGTCTCAAGGCACATTCTCAGATGACCTGGCCGAACATTCGCAGTCGTCTGCATTCTCGAACGAGTATGATTTATGTACGTATCTATAGTGCATTGAAAATTAGCAGATATTGACAAGCAATTAGCTCGTGAAGGCGCGTTGAATCCAGCGTGATTGGTGGAATATGGTTTGCTGAATGGAGCTCATAGATCCACGAATCATTGAAGACGTTCAGCGTGCTATCAGGCTGAAAGCACGACGAGAAGCACGCATGAGAGCGTCGCAATTCATGTCTCAGAGAGACCCGCGTTACAATTCTGATGTAGCACCATTCTCGCTGCAGTCTTCCTCTCTTCGGCCTCCATTACAGATTTCATCTGTCGCGCGGTCGGAACCCGAGAAATCCACCAACGACTCAGAGATTGACTTCAGTCCATCCGTCGGAATGATGCCGCTACATCCAGTCCCGCTATCGTCGAACGGCGGCGCTACTCTTGACTGGACCGGCTCTGGCTCGGAAGATGACAGATCGGAGAAGCGTTGGTCCCTGCACCGTCCCAAGCGCAAACACAAGGATCGATTCTCAATGCCATCAGGCCGGAACATTGTTGAGAAGCAGGACTCTCTTTATGCAGGTATTTCGCCCGTCAACGTGCGAATCTGCTTACACCATATTAATTCGACGCTGCAGATAAGTTGGCACAGATCAGAAGTAACGCGAAGGACCGCACATTGCGCAAGGCTGCAATTACCAGCGATCAACTACAGAGGCGATACAATCTGCTTTCACCACCTCCTGGCTCACATATGCCGTCGGTGAATTTACTTGATGTTGCTCATTGGTACGACAAGCAAGAGCTTGGAGTCAAAGCATCGTTGGAGAAGGCGGAACCATTGACATGGTTGAAGCATCTCCTTGACAGCCGTGGCCCAAGGCCATCGCACCCTCCGTGGTACCTTACTGCCCTCATCATGGAAGAATACGCAAAGTCGCTCACACACCATCAGTCGATGGCGACCATCCCTGAGGATGTCGTTCCCCCAGACTCTTCCCCAACAGCCGCATCGCTACCCGAGACGACGAAGTCACCGTCTAGTGGGTCGTGGTCGTGGAACCCTTCGCCGGTGTTTCTGGAACCCTCCCTCTCTCGTAAACGGTCCTCGTATGATCAACAGGTATCGTTCGAACCGCATGTTGAATCTGGTCGCGAGTCTGTCGGCGCGCAGTCGAGGCCAAGCAATGAGGGTCTCAACAAGAAATGGAGACACTCGTTCACCCCAGGATCAGATTCGGCGCCGGACTCTCTGTACAGCAGTAGGGCCATCGGCGGCAAGAACCGTAGTCACCTCCGTAACCTCGCCAAGCGTTTACGACGTCGCCCTTACGACAGCGAGGAGGGACTATCGTCTGGTAGAAACTCGTTATCAGGACGGAGTTTCTATGATGATGCGTTCGGGAAGCTGGCGAGGTCTGCGGCTCGTAGCCAACCAGCGAGCCTCCGCGTACGGTCATCGGATACCTCGGGATCTGACGATGAAGCACTATCAGAGCCTATCCACGGGCGTCAGAGTCGCGAAGAAACCCGGACGGCCACGCGTAACGCTTTCGAACGGAACGAAGGAGGGGACGGTTTTCCGAAACCTGAGGATCCGACGGGTCCTCCTGATACGTCCCCTGCACCGCCGCGTCGCCTGATTCCTCGTCGCAGACAGCGTGTGTCATTGCCCTCATCTGATCGCATTGTGAGCAAAGAGCGAATAATACAGCAGGAAGAGATAGACGAGGAAGCGGAGCATCGAGAATATGATCGGAAAGCTCAGTGAGTGTTCTTCTTTCGCATGCATGCAATCATCGATGAACAGTCTGCAGGCTCTTGGAAGATGCTGCTTCGCATAATTACAACATTCGCCACATGCTTCATCGTGTTGGAACTAGCATGCGAGAATACGATTCGGTTCAGGTTGGTCTCACAAGTATCCTTGGAACCGACTATCCAAATCTGCCACCCGAAGTATTGGAGGCATTCCTCCACGATCCTGCTGCGATACTCGGGGGCACTCGCACACTCAGCGGCTGGAGAGCAGTGGAAGATATACATGAGCGAGTACAGCGTCAACGGAAGACACTGCGTTCGTTCGTGTCCGCTCTTACCCCCAATTCGGAGGATGCGACTCCGTCGAAGAGCATGTTCCACGATCCTATTGCTTCTCTGCAAGACTCGCTGTTAAAGTTAGAGCGCCATCGACAGCGTGTTACGGAGCAGGCGGAGAAGGTGATGGAGATGCTGATGGGAGTCAAGCATATCCACAGGACGGTGAAGAAAGAGTACAACGACACCTTAGCTCACACTTCATTGGTCTATCCTGAGGTGAGCATCCTGTCTCTCCACCCGTTTCAGCGTGTTGATGCATGTGTGATCGGCATGATAGCTATCGCAAATTGTGGCTCTGGAAGAGAGCTACAGAAACCATTATCAGCAATTGTGGGACTTCGCTTTGGATGCGCTGACGCTCCTGCTCGATACCGTCACACCGTTCTGGCGTAACTATGGAAAGGTCATTGGAAAAGACGTACAGGACTTCTTGATCATCCCCTGGTATCGGAACGAGTTCACCGGAGAGTCTAAAAGATACCTCATTGAGAAGTTCCCCAGGCGATCGTTGCGGCATTGGGTGGGTCTATTGTGCTTATACTTCCTGAGTCTCTGCGTAGTGGGATTGCAAGGTCGTGCTGCGATCGAATTGACTTTGAATTGGGATCTGCCTTGGATCCCGCATACTGGGCTGTGGTGGATGGTATTTCCTATCTTCATCGTTGGGCTGTTGATCCAATGGTGTGCCGTACTCGTGGAGTCTTGCATTATTCTCGCAGAATGGGGAGTCATCGTGTGGTGGATGGGTTGGACGGTGAATATCTTCACTTAGGGAGTTCTATGTACTCGCATAACATTTGTCTCGTTTCTGCTAAGTACAGGTAGTAGCAGTGTAATCACTTTACATACACGTTCTCAACTAATGGTATGTTACAGTCAGTTTGTCGCATCCCTGGTGGCGGGCTGGTGAACGCTAGGCACTATGAGCGGTTGAGCAGTTGCAAGGGGGCCCATCAGACTGGCACTTGGATGAAGCGCCTTGGGCCTGGTTGCTGGAGGACTACGGGACGAAATCTCTGCCTTGTATGCAACGAATGTGTGCATGGAGGTTTGTTGTTGCTGTAGGACATGAGACGTATCATTCGTTGCCCTTCCCGCCTCAATACAAGTACGGCAGTATCCTATTCGATTCAAAGAACAGTAAAATCAGGCAGACGACGCGGTTCATGACTGAGCGTTGACTTACTGCCGCCAACCATCAGCGGGACGTCAGTCTGTTTACATGCATGACACGCAATTGGAGTTGTTGAGGATGGAGCCTTTTGCTTCTGCTGCTGTTTAGAAGATACAATACCGCCAGGCACCGCGAGCGGATTGACCGATTTCCTGATTGTAGCCCTGCGCCTGGGTCTACTGCTATCCGCGTTGTTAGGCATGATGGATTTAGTAGCATAGGGGAACACTACAGACTATGAAGCCAGTAGTAATCAAAATCAAAGGCGTTGAGAGATGAGGTGAACTCACATCGTGGATCTGCTGAAGGAGCGGGCCATCTGGAAGTTGGTACTGCAGGTAGCTTCGCGGAGGAACCTTCTTAGCCTGGTTGAAAGGGCATCAATAAAATTTCGATCATAACAGGATAGGGCTCACCATTCTCAACAATTCAGATCTGCTCTTTTTCATACCCTGTTCGCCGCCAGCCCACGTCGAAAACGCATCCCATAATGCATGTGTTGCTCTTGATAGACGCATTGTTACGATTTGAAAAGGAATGTCCGCCAGTGGTGCGTTATCTTGGCCAGTCATCCGCGCATGATGCAATTGATAAAGTAAACTTCCAGGAAACGGCGCCGTTACATTAAGCAGAATGTCTGAGGAACGCCTGTCGCTTCTCAGCTCCCTTTTGCAAACTGCGGGCCCACGCGAGATGATCCAACGGTCTGAGGGTTTCTCCTGAAACTCAACGACAATATCAAATGGTCTGATAGGACGAGGTGAATGATGAGATCGAGGAAGGGTTGAGGTATCGTCTTTCATATATTCATGTTGCTGCCTCTGTCCGAGACTCTGAACCAGCAGCCCGAGTGTTCTTAATTGTTCCGCAGTAGCTCGACCGGATGCAGCTAGTTGAAGCAAATTGTTGAGGGTCGGATTGGAGAGGGCTGCGGCATTCACTTCAGATACCATGTCTGGAGTGACAATCGCGTTCATAGCTGAAGAGTTTGAAGAGGAGGGAGACTGTGAATATGCCGATTGAGTCATTGCAGTAGACATAGGCGCCCCTTCTCTATGGGAAGGCGCTTGAGAACACTGGTTTCCGGAATATGCTTGTTGCTGCACGGTCTCATTATGACCAGATTGCCCGTACGAAGCTGGTACTCCGGGCTCCTGTGGCAGATAATGGACCTCGTAAAAGGCCGTGTTAGAAAATACATGAGGTCCGATCTTCATGTCATATCGGCCATGAGCCTTGATCGTATGCGGGGGAGGTACAACATCGGGAGGCTTGCCACCACGGGCCTTGGCAGAGAATTTCGGTAGCAACGAAGTAAGCCACTTGTTGCGCGCTGCAGCGGTCATTACACAACAAGTACGGCGAATTATACGAGCTGAACTTACACTGTTTCAGTGACTGGAGTACAATCAGGCTGTAAGGGGGCATGGAAGAATCAACTATACATACCCATGCAGTGAGTAGCCACCGCTTGCACGCACCTATCCGGTATACTGCGTAGCTCGCGGGGCTCGTCGAAATCCTGTGCATTGTCCTCTAGTTCCCAGCACGGATGAGGGCCGACGGGCAACTCCATAGCAAGCTGTATCGGCGTGGTGGCGGGTGGCAGGATCGTAGAGGATCGTGTCGCGGATGGCGATCAATAAGCGCTGCCAGCGTTCCGCTCATCTGCCACAATCCTTTACTGTACACACTGTACAGAGGACGCGACTTGCCTTGGCACGCAAATTGTCCCTCTTTGCATCGCAAGGTTGTGCAGTAGCCATGTCCACGCGCGTTCGTGAGTGAACATATAATTATCGCCATCTATGCCGTCTCAATTTCTTTCGCAGAGAAAGGTAATACCGTTTTCAAGCCCATCGCGAGGCCGCGGGCACAGCCAGGCGCAGAAACTCGTCGGATTTCCGTTGTATCGGATGCACCATGTTCCTCTAGTGATGTCGAGACACGAAATGGCGAAATGCATCCACCAAGTGTGCTAGTAGCTATGCCTTCTCCGTCCCGCATTCCTTCTAACCCTACTCCTATCCAACTCGCTCTTATGCCTCCCTACGAACACGGTCAAACGGTTGTTTCCGAAACTTCTATGGTCTCTCTTGACATCAGGGATGGTGTGACCGCCGAGTCAGTTGCATTTGCATCCAGGGTCACTGTTTCAAACCGAGACGGAGCCCGGCCGCCTACTATCGAGACACATGTTGCGAGCACTCCCAGTCTACCTAAGGTTTCAAGTCGCGGGATTCCTGTCAATGCACCGTCACGAAGCTCTGCAACCCCAATTATGGTCGGCCGGCGAGCTGTTCCCGTAGTATTCCCGGCGTCCACCATACCTGAGACGTCGGCGATTGCTGCTCTTTCCAGTGCGCATCAGCCCGACAGTAGCTCAGTGCACCACATTAGCCGTTCTGGCACCATGCAGGCTGCAACTCTATTTTCGATTAGCGTGCCCCAGATAGACCCGACTCTTGTGAATGCGTACCCGCTTCCTGGCTCGTCATCGCACACTACCAGTCAGGATAATACTTCACTGCTGCACCAATCCCAGGGCGAAGATGGCGCGGCTGCGGAACCGAAGCCTCGGCAACGTCTGTCTCAAAAGCAGTCCGCGGGCGATCAAGGGGAGTTTGCTGCAGACTGGGAATATGGTGAGAAACGATACCTATGTATCTCAACTGAGATCCCCACGTCTATTGCTCTAGACAGAGGCACCGACGAACAAAGCATACGATCTGGAAAGAGTCGGAGTCGGCGCGCCCCAGATGCCGCTTCTCACTCCGAGCGGGATGATGAGCCTCTTGGCGGCCCTAAAAGGCGCAGGCACAGAATTTCTACTGGTTCTCGCAAGCCAAGGACGCGAACCTCTTCAGTTGTTCCCTTTGAACTGAACACTGGTCCTGGTGAAGAGCTAGATCCGACTGCAGTTATGATGGCAACCCTATGCGATGACACTGGTCAAGGACGTATCAGCAGCAAGACCGTACAAATTATGACAAATCATGCTGCATGGCGGGCTGCAAACAGGGAGAAGAGGGAGCGCATGAAGGCGGCCATGGAAGCAAAGAAGTATGGCAGGACCATCCAGGATGAAGACCAGCCACCGCCCAAAGCTGACACTGAAGTCACAGAATCGCTCGAAGATGGTGTCGCTCCAGACGCTGTATTAGCAGGACCATCTGCATCTATAGAGAACCGTCCTACAAAGAAGGCACGACGAGCCAATGACGATTTCGATTACACCCAGAACCTGGCTACCAGCCGGTATAACGTGCAAGTCAGGATTGGCGCGAATGGCGAGGCAATTATTGATGAAGACTCTCTTTTCGTAAATCGAAACGAAGAAGAACATACGGAACATTATACTCATGTGGAAGAGTCGGACACCACAAAGTTCGTCAATTCTCTGACTTACAGTAGAAAGCTGCGAGGATCCCGCTGGAGCGCCGAAGAGACAGAGTTATTCTATGATGTCAGCACATCTGATTTTCTACTGATTAATACTTATGTCTTGCGCATATAGGCGTTGTCACAGTTCGGAGAGAACTACGAACTCATAGCGTATGTGCTGCCGGGGCGAGATCGCAAGTCGTGCAAGAACAAGTTCAAGGCAGAGGATAAGAAGAATCCTGCCAGAATCAATTATTGCTTGAACAATCGTAAACCTGTTGGTGAGTAACTGCCTCTCACGTCCACAAAACGTCTCTGTCTCATTTTAGTCTTCACAGATATTCAGACTCTGTCCCGCATGACGGGTAAGGACTTTTCTGGGCCGACGCCCATCATACGCGCCCCGACGCCTCTGCGATCTACCCAGCTCGACGCCAACCTCCACTCTGCGAGTATTGAGGATCCAAGGTCAGTCAAGGAAAACAGCAAGACACCTGGGCCAGCTGGCGAAGCAGAAGAGGAAATTCTAGGATCCGTAGATGAGATCGAGGATGGAAATGGCCCTTCCCGTGGCGGCCACACGACCGAGTATCCGCAGAAGCCATACATTTAGGATTATGATTGTACCTATCCGCGTTCGCGCGTACAACTGGCAATTCTAGTGTATTGACTCGTATTCAGCAAGGGACGTGAGACATGTTCTTTCATTGTGTGATGTACATCTCCTGGTCGATATACTACTGCATTGCTTCATCTCTTTGTCTATCTCTCGAGACGCGAGGCGAGCAGCTTTTCAGATAGCTCCCTTGTCATTGTTTTCTAGTCGTGATCGTGACATAGTAGTCTCATTATAATCTGGTCGAATGTCGGCGTAGTAGTCCCTGAACATGCAATACATACCAGAATTCATGGCATGCAGAAACATATATTATAAATAACCTGCAAATCATTGTAAGCCGGGATAGCTCAGCTGGGAGAGCAACAGACTGAAGATCGCATGGATTGAACGAGGGTTCTGGAGGTCGCGTGTTCGAGCCACGCTCCTGGCATTCATTTTTAATCAATTTTTAATAGTTTTATCTGATTATTTATTTCATATATTCACGTTTATCTATTAAATTACTGCAACTGAGCCACGTGATCCAATTAATTATTAATATGTTTATCTGATTATTTATTGCATGTATTTCCGTTTATTTATTAAATAAGCTGCTGTAATTTATTTTGTTTTTTATTTAGTTTTTATATAAGCAGTCATGTGATCCTCAACTCGACCACGTGACCCAAGGTTCCCTTGCGTCCGAGTCGCGACGCGCCGTCTCTTCTCGACAAGTAGTGCCTGCACTGGAACGTTGTCTTTATTCCGCTGATATCTAGAAGGATGGTTCGTCGTACTGCATCGCAGAGTGCCCCGACTGTCTCGCGTCCTCCTAGTCCACAGGAGGACATCGAAGAGGTAAGCACGCCATCTACGTTTTCCAACGAGGTTCTCATTCGTCCTAGGGGCCCTATTTCGACAGTGTAGATGAGCTACAACAGCATGTAAGTGCTCAATACGTGTCTATATGCGCCGTTGCGTGTCTTCGTGAGCTCGTTGCACATGGACTGAAATGGCCTCTTCAATCGCAGGGCATAAATGTGCAAGATATTCTGAAGCTCAAGGTAAGATGGCTTGTATGCGCAATTATTACGTGTAAAAGACAAGCGTTCAGGCTGCTGCTATCAATACTGTCTCGGGAGTGAGCATGACGACGAGAAGGCAGTTGCTCAAAATCAAAGTATGTCCGCTGCTGCACTGTTCGTGCTCTCACTGGACATCCAATATCCCCAGGGAATGTCAGAGGCCAAAGTTGAAAAGATAAAGGTCAATCACGCTTTGTCGTGCTACCAACAGGCACTGACGTTGTTATCAGGAGGCAGCTCACAAGATTCTCGTACAGTCTCATATCATAATGCGCATACATGCACTCAATTTCGTCGCTAGGGCTCATCTTTCTCCACGGGGCTCGAGGTTTCGGACAAGAGGAAGCGCGTTCTGATCATTAGCACTGGCAGCAAAGCTGTCGATACAATTCTGGGAGGTGCGCTTGAGATTTCTTGCTGGTCCGTAACCACCTAATGCATACTTCAGGTGGTATAATTTCGCAATCGATAACAGAAGGTGCGACTCGTCGGCGTACGATGCCAGCTGTTAATTTGCATGGACAGTCTATGGCGAGTATCGGACTGGAAAGACCCAGCTTGCCCATACCATGAGTGTGGTAACGCAACTCCCTTCGGACATGGGTGGGGCATCAGGAAAGGTAGCATGATTCACTTGTTTGAAATGTATAGGAACTCGGTGTCAACTTGGTCTAGGTCGCGTACATTGACACCGAAGGCACCTTTCGACCTGACCGCATCAGGGCCATAGCTGAACGTTTCGGAGTGAATGGAGATATGGCTTTAGAGAACATACTCTATGGTATGTGGACGAGCGCTATCATATCCGCCGGACTCCTGCGTAATAGTGCATGCAGCCCGGGCATTTAATAGTGAACATCAGGTATGACTTCATCTGCTGCACGTGTTCATGGGACTCACTAACACCATCTCAGATGGAACTCATCAATGAATGCTCCATACGCTTTGCCGAGGACAAGGACTTCAGGCTCATGGTGTGCTGACTCAAAGGCATTGTGATCACCCGGCTAAAATTTACTGCACGCAGATTGTGGATAGTATCATGGCCTGCTTCCGCACTGACTATTCTGGCCGAGGGGAGTTGAGCGAAAGACAGCAAAAGGTGCGCATATACGCGTTCCATATTGGCAGCATACTGATGTCCGTATAGCTTGCACAGGTTAGTGCGATTCGCGCGCATATAATGAGCGTCACTGACAGTTGCGAAGATGCTCTCAAGGCTGAGTAAACTCTCAGAGGAGTATAATGTTTCAATTCAAAGTCCTGGAAAATGATCTTGATACTAACGGCGCTCCGTAGATCGCCATCCTCCTGACGAATCAAGTGCAGTGTATGTCGTATGCATTCTTTTTGATATCGCCGTGAACGGACGTATTGTATAGCTGATCCCGGTGCGACGATGACGTTTGTCGCTGGCGGTGCCCTCAAACCCATCGGTGGTCACATTCTCTCACATGCTTCAGCCACCAGGATATTCCTGCGGAAAGGTTAGTCCTTGGTTCTTCCGGTTTGAAATGCCGTGCCAACTGAATTCGTCATGCTCAATACTCTTCATTTTCCTAGGCCGTGCTGAAGAGCGTGTGGCGAAGTTGGTAGACAGCCCGGACAAACCAGAAAGCGAAGCGTCGTACAAACTCGACGAAGGCGGCTGGGCAGACGTCTAATGGATCGGAACCTACACCGGTCTCGCTCTCCTTGTGCTTTCGACTCGGTGCTCTGCATTGCTCTGCGTCTCGCTTATCGACTGTATCCACCTCACTTGGGCTCCGAAGGGCTGGCACTCTCTACTGCTATGCGAGCAAGAAATATTCTATACCACCTCTTAATTGTCGTGCATTGTACTGGATTCACTGATCCTGTTGACATGTTTGTCGAAACTGTGTGATCCTACGTCAGATGCTCACCACATAGCTGGTGTGATCAGGCAAAATGCATCAAGCGGATTGTCGCAGGTTGCGATAGGCTTCGCTCCGACATGGCATATGACCACATGCGAACAACGGCATCGTGACGGACGGAATGCACTGTACCCCGCCGTCCCGCACTATAAACCTAAATGTCGATGAAGTTCCCAGCCACACCACTGCTCTGACCACCAACGCGCGACAGATGGGGGACTCCCCGACAGCATTTCTCCTCGTCTTCTCTGAGCCTGGTCCTGATGTCTCTGAGAAAGAGTATCGTGACTGGTACGATAACGAGCACATCCCCCTCCGTGTAAACACGCCCACTTTTTTAAATTGGACACGTTGGACGGCGGTCGACGGGATGAAGCCGACTTACGGTGCTTCTTACGACCTCGAGTCCTACGCGGCGACCAAGAAGCCGCCGTATACCACGTTGGCAGAGACACGGAGCGGGAGAGAGAAGGACATCCTCAGGAGAATCCAAATGCTCGACCGGAGACATTACGAGTTGATGGAGCGCCCTACTCACCCGTCCTCCGTGCTATATGACGAGACACGACCAGCACCATACGTCGTTTTCGTGTCGTTGGAGATGAAGCCAGAGTACGAAGACGAGTTCAGCAGGTGGTATGAAGAAGAGCACATCCCGTTGCTCGCCAAGGTGCCTGGTTGGATCAGGAGCCGGAGGTTCGTGCTAAAAGACTGGGGCCAGATGGGAGTGGAGGGGCAGATAGAACAGAAGCAGCCACCGAAGTACTTGGCGACGCACGAGTGGGAATCGCTCGATGGGTTTCAAAGCGAGGAATACAAGACAGCTATGGGGACATCCTGGAGGAAGAACGTGCTTGAGGGCTTGCTGTCAAAGGAGAGAAGAGTGATGGCCTTTCTGAGAAAATGGGACAGGCCGGTCGGACGTCTGTGACAGGCAAGTTATGTAAAGCCGCCCTTTCTAAATTTACATGCTACTGCCGCCCTCTTTACATGTTCTATGTCTGTTATGCAATTAGTCTAAAGTGACAATGGTCCATCGAATGAGGATCATCGCCGAGAGCGCTCCTCAAACACGTTCGACCAACGGTTCTTCGGACGAGCCTCATTCAAATTTCCAGGAACCATACACACGCGTTCGAGGTCCAACGCTTCCCAATGACATCGACCGCCTGATTAGAAGCAGACATAGCGCCCAGTTGCATGTGAGACACTGCTCGGTAACGTTCGCGCAGCGTATAAATAACGCGAGGAAAACGGTCTGCAGGAATACAGCTATCAGGAGCTCTCCCCGCCGTGTGTCATCTTACAGTATGATGGCTATTGCAGGCCTACTCGCGTTCTTCTCCTTGGTCCTTAGGACCAATGCCTTCGGATGGGAGATTCCAGTACCGAACACCTTCCCCAACATTTCTTCGTGTGTCAACGAGCCTCTCTTCTACTCTTGCGAGAATACGTCGGTCGTCATGAACACTTGCTGTTCCCCTAGTCCTGGAGGTCAAGTCCTGCAGACTCAATTTTGGGACACGTACACTGGGCTGGAAAGCGAGGGACAACTGTTGCCCAAGGACAGTTGGACAATCCACGGCTTGTGGCCGGACAATTGCGATGGGTTCGTGTTAATCATGGGCAGCATTGACGTAGAATACTTGCTGATAGTTGTCAAGAACGTACGGCCAGTACTGCGATTTCTCACGACAGTATGACCCTGACCCATCGCCTGCCATCTTGCCTGATGGCACTCCCGTACCGCCGTATCATGGCATCTCCGTCGAGAACTTCGTTCTTGAATTTGGACGGCTTGATCTTCTTGACTACAGTAAGTAAACGCGTTCCAACGTCGCGTATCTATGCTCACTTCAATACTCCCATCAACGCAGTGAACAAGTACTGGATTAACCAAGGCGCACCGAACCGTGACTTCTGGGCGCATGAGGTAGGCACCCGAAGGCTTTGTGGTCGCAGCTGGCACATTATCTTCTTCTCTCTTTCCTTAGTTCTCGAAGCATGCGACATGCACCTCGACGTACGACGTGGCGTGTTATGGCCCCGACTATAAGGAGCACCAGGACGTTATTGACTTCTACTTGTCTGTCGTGCGCGCGTTCCAGAAGTATCCTACATGGGAGATCCTTGCAGCGTATGTGTCTTCCTGAGCTTTTCGGCCTGGTATCACCCTGATAATAGGTCGTAAGCTCCGGCATATATCCCTCAAATACTACCACGTACACCTTGAGCCAAATACAAGCGGCCCTCAAAGCGCAGACAGGAGCGGTACCATATCTAGGGTGTGGAGGTGAGAACAACACGATTTTAGAGGAGGTTTGGTACTACAACCATGTTCTCGGAACGGTATGTTCGATCCCGTCGCCCCTCATATCAATATCTAAAACTATTTGCATAGGAGCAATTCGGTCAGTTCAAGAGCATTGATGCTGATGAGGAATCGTCTTGCAACTCCACTGGCATCTGGTACTACAAGCGAACGCCTACCTCAGAGCGAGATGTTAGGACTATGCCGTGCTCGTTCTTCTGAAAGTAATAGTCGGAGCTGCGGAGAGTACAAAAATCAGCAATGAAATGTTGTTTGGAGGAAAAAATAGTACCATCGTTTCGCCCGAATATGACGTCCGGATGGCAGGATATACTGGTCTGAGCCAGCGTGTACCGGGAGCGCCTATCATTCATCCGATTCAAGTTATGCCTCCTGAATATCATCTCCAATCCTTCTGGGACGATCGCTTTGAGAAAGAACGACACTTCGAGTGGCTTGGAGACGGTCGGGAAACACTCATCCCTATCCTCAGCGATCACCTCCGCTCCCTGTTGCGGCAGCAACGGGACCCTCCTCACGCCGCACCTCAATGCCTCCATATCGGAGCCGGGACGTCGAAGCTCTCTGACCACATTCGGGGCGCATACATCGAGGTCTATGGCGAAGCGACTAATGAAGGTGCTATCGTGAATTTGGACTTCTCAGAGGCTGCGGTCCAAAAAGGGATAGAGGCCGAGATTGCTCGTATTCACCGACAAAGCCACGACCGCCGCAACATCGGTATGCAATGGGTACAAGCTGATGTTCTCAAGTGGGGAGACTTGGCACCGTTGCTCGGTAGCGACCCGAGGAGACATGAAGATGCGGGTCAACGCGCGCGCTTTGAAATCGTCTTGGATAAAAGCACGTCCGATGCGATTTCGTGCGGAGACGACATAGTCGTTGAGGATGGGCTGGCGCCATCAGTTGCCAATTCTCCTGTAGTTGAACGTCTGGCAGCACAGCAAGGATATCCCCTCCGACTACAACCAGTGATACTCCTCGCTCTCCACCTCGCAAACTTAATTCATCCTGGAGGCCTTTGGATCTCGCTATCCTTCTCTTCAACTCGCTTTTCTTTCATGCACGCTCCGGAGGGTGACGATCGACGGAACGACGGGATTCAGGCAGCCCTTTCCCGCTATTGGATTCTCGAACAGCACCGCACTGTAGATGCACCCTCCGGGCAGACCAAGCCTGGCGTGTACGCACCTTCAATCCAATACTTTGTTTACGTGTTGCGCAGGACGGGAGTCGTTGTTGAGTAGTTGTCCGAGGCCAATCGGAGACGAGAGGAGATAATGAACTTAAGCGTCAACACCGTAGTGCTAGGTACTAACTATGTACCGCGTTGTAGGAGGAGAAATAAATGTGGTGTATATTGAAGAGGCAGATGTCGTGTGTCCACCGCTCGAGCGATTGATCAATAGGATAAACAAAATGGAGCTGATGCTCAACTAAAATCGCGTTAACCCACTTGATACATTAGCAGCAGACCTCAACGCACGTCGACTGTAGAAACCAGCAATATGCTGCTGGCTGTGAGCAAAAGCCCTGATTAGCCGCCCACGCGGCTGGACGCGGTCACACATTTGAGACGCGTTTCTGTCACGTGCTATATGACGCGACCCGGAAGATCAACAGCTTTGACCGGCGAGCCACCACTGTCCCCTAAGGCCTCTGCTAATCAGCCGTCTCATCCGCTCAGCATTGAGAAAAGGATGACTATCACACTTAACCTTGATGAGAACGCGTCAAACGCGTCTGTTCGGCGGACACTGTCCACCTTGTCATTATCCGTGGCTAAATGCAAGAGAATCGTAGTCGTGACTGGGGCTGGAATATCGTGTTCCTGTGGCATTCCAGTGCGCATTTGAGTTTCATGCATTTATATTTTCATAGACTTAACGCGTCTTTGCAGGACTTCCGATCCTCCGACGGCCTCTATGCGCTGGTCAAGCAGCAGTACCCTGACGTCGTGCTGAAGGGACGTGACCTATTCGACGCGTCGCTATTCCGCGACCCCACTTCGACTTCCGTATTTTACACGTTCATCTCCCAGCTGAAGCGCTCTATTGACGTGGCGTCGCCTTCACCAACCCATCGCTTCCTCAAAACGCTGGAGGCGAAGCGCAAGTTATTGCGGTCGTATACTCAGAATATCGATGGACTCGAAGAGAAGGCTGGTCTTCTTGGGAGCTCAAGTAAGGAGGCAAGAACGGATGGTAAGGGAAAGGGGAGGATTAAGGCGAAGGAGGTGCGGAGCGTGCAGTTGCATGGCGATATTCACCGTGTGCGGTGCACATTCTGCTCAGCTGAGTTTTGCTGCGAGAAAGAACACCTGGATTTGTTCAATACAGGTGTTGCTCCCGACTGTCCAGAATGTGTCGCTCGATGTGAGTTCGCGTCCCGTCCTTATAACACTCCGACCGCTCATCATGGTCTCGAATCCAGCCGAAGCTCGCGTCGCTCGTTCCGCACGTGCGTTAAAAACGGGCATCTTGCGACCCGCCATCGTTTTGTATGATGAACCACATCCTCTCGGCGATGACATCGGCACCATCCAGTCAGCAGACATCACGCGTAAACCGGAAATGCTCATCATCATGGGCACCTCACTCAAAGTACATGGTCTCAAGAAACTTGTCAAAGACTTCGCTAAGGCGGTACACGACCCCACTTCGTCTCTCTCCTCTACGTCATCATCCCCAAAGAATGGGAAAAGTCTTGCGGGCAAAGTCATCTTCGTCAACAAGACAGCACCCGGAAGCGAGTGGGATGGTATTATTGACTATCATGTCGCGGGGGAGACAGATGACTGGGTTGAAAAGGTCATTGATGAGTGGAAGAAGATGCGGCCTGCGGATTGGGAGGTACAGAAGAAGCTTGTTGCCGTTGGAGAACCAGAGACAGCGGGCACTTTCAAGGTAGCGAAGGACATCACGAACACGATCGGTGCCGAACAAAAAGGTATGTCTCACTCTGTATACTACCTGCAAAAGAGTGGAGTGAATGTTGCTTGTTTGATAGGGGCCAAGAGGAAACCATCTTTGCGTCGCGAGAATGCGCCACCAACAAGCGATACTACTGCAATTTCTCCCGCATCCTCCTCTCCTGGTAAACGTCGTCGTACCGATGGTCACTATGATGATCAATGCAACTCGTCCAAGAAACGGATCGGTGGTGAGCGAGAGGGGAGGGTTGTTTTCGAAGAGCGAGGGCTGCTCTTCGGCAACACTACCAACATCAGGCACGATGGCGACCGGGCCGACTTCAATCTTGGAGAGTTACCTGCTGTGAAGCCCCGCGGTGCTGCGACGAGGAAAAGAAAGGCAAGGGTGGAGGTGGAGGTGGTCATCGACAGACGGCCGAATTCGCGGAAAGTCAGTACGACAGAAGTTGTCCTATAGAGGGCTTTCCCCACTTGTCCTCATGTATTATATTTAATACCACTTGTACGAATTCGCTTACCGAACATCTGGCCATAGGCTTCGATTCTCAAGAGTATGCGCTTCCGCCGCATGAACATTAACGTGTTTCGCGAGGAATAGACGTCTAAACCATTAAGCAGGACATGCACCAGGAAAGCAACAGAGCGTAGATATCAATGACGAAATACAGTGGAAGACCACGTCGGAGCATACATCAGTCGCTGATCAGCTCAGACACGCTCCAATCTTCGAAACTGCCATCTGGTAGATATCGTCGGATGATGAGCGGGATTTTTCGTTGTGACAGCTCCTTGATTGCTATCTGCAGTGCATCCGTCTCCCCGTCTAGCGGAACAAGGACTGGTGCGTTCATACTAGAACGTTAGAGAAAGCATATGAAGACATGGCTCAACATCTTCGCGCCCGCGCTGACAAAGAGGTTGACTACGTACCTGATCTGCAACGCCCTTGTGCCCAAAACCCTCGCGCGCTCGTATTTTGTTAGGTACGGTGTTGTCACTCGAACTTTGTTCGGCTGTCGTTCTCCTGACATTCCCGCCCCTGCCGTGCTGGTCTCCTCAGTGAGCTGAGGGGCCTCCCCGTTTGCCATTTCCTGGTCTTGGTCTTGTTCTGCACCATCTACGCCTTCGTAGCCGTTTGCCTGGCCGCCTTCCGGAGCTTCGCCCTCAGTTACAAGAATGTCGTCCTGCAGCCCACGCCGCATAACAGGTAAGGCTTCATAGTATACGGCTACAGCCAGTATAGAGCACGCACGAAAGCGTCTTCGGCGAACCTGCGAAAGTTATGATATTCGTCCAAATGATCAGTAACTGTTGAAAGGTTGAGACTTACCCTGAGGCATCGTAATCAATATCATCACCTCCGCCTTCGTATCCGTCGTCAGACATCTTGAATTGATTTTAAAAGAAGGTAGTGTAAGATAAAGAGAATAAGCTGGAGGGCACAGAGCAAAGTGCAGATTTGAAACGGGCTTTGACGACACTTGTCGGAGTTTCAAATGAATATTGTCTTGTGTTAGGCGTTTTGGCTCGCAGTCTTAACCTTGCTCTTGCATCCTTATCGATGAGACCTGCACCTGATTACACTCCATATTCTGCAGTATGCTTTCAATGTACATCGCATGCGCTGCCTTGATGGCTGCAGTGCCATCGGGTGTCTCAGTGACGGAGTCTGTTCAAAAAGAACCACGGCTGAGGTTGTTTGTCGGAATATGGTACACGAATGTGTATCAACAGGATGTTCCACTTGAAGGTACACAACGTGCTCTGCAGGTCTTCAGAGTCTGACCCTGCGCTCAGAATGATCCGGACGGCAACGTTACAGGCCTGCCGGCCGTTTCACTGCAAGGCTTCCGGGCGTGGACATTTGTACGGCGATACTTCCGTCTCCTGTCATGCAGATGAAGGGGAACTCTCTTGATAGAGTAATTAGGAACTCATTGATCTGTCACTGATCTTCCTGATCTCCACCTTATGCTTCTGCAGGGGGGTTGGTTTACGATGCTTCATGCATGCACCCGCCACTGCTACGAGGTATGCCAAATGACCCATTACACTAATCTCCGAGCCAAAACCCTCGTGAAGGACACCTGTATCCGTTCAGCTGCATTCAACGTTCATATGTTCAACGAGCGTCCATCGTACGAAGATGTGATATGATAGTGCTTGGTACCCCATTTCTTTACCCTCGGCTCGGATATCTTGCGCCGACTTCATTAGACAGGTTTGTGCCAGGAAAGCTCGTACAGAAACGCCGCCGACGTTTGGTAGCGGCATGGAAGCCACCGCAGCTCATCGATGCCTGAAAAGGCAGGTATCTAGCTACGCAGAGCGTCATAAATTGCGCCAGGGGATTTGCGCCTCATGCTTCTGTCGATAAGATTCTCTTCCAGCTCGTATTTCTGCGCTCATCGACAAGTCCCGCGTGGATCTACCCGGACGACCATTCGTTTCAGGTCTTTAGTCCGCGTGACGACGTAGAGTGAAGTGTGGACTGCATCAACGAGCCGAGTTTTGCAGTATACTAGGCATGCTACTTATCCATCTTGATACTTCTATTTCGTAACCTTATAAATGCCTTTCTAGCGATCTGGCCTAGGGCTACCTATGTTGCAATTGTGCATTAATGTCGCTAAACTACGAGTAGCATAAAGCTGTGGCGGATTATAATTCACAGAGTCCGCCGGCGGCGGCGACGTTCACGGAAGAAGAAGCGTGCCATAGAACACAAGCGGAGCACAGTCCGACACCGTCCAAGTCTGGCGCACATGAGATGTCAGAGTATGACATCCTGGTCTCCACCACATCGTTCCGTTCTCCCCTTTCCTCTCTTCATTTTCTATTCTACTTCTTTCTTTCTGTAGGCTTGAGCGACGTATCCTCATTCTGGTCGTTGCCGAGGAGCAGGCCATTCGCTCGCTCGCTCTCGTCGGTGTAGCAGATTTTTCTCTTCATTGCTGCCCATGCCTACCAAGCACATCCCGAGAGAACGTGCTTGGGGAACACGCTATGATTCTTTGCCTTCTTCTCCTCCCCCCACATCTCCATCGTCCCACCTGCAGACAAGTTTCACTCTTTTGGACAGCCCAGCTGCATCCGTTATGCCAAGCTTGAGAGATCTGTCAAACGCTGCAAGCATTGCTTCAAACGTTAGCGTTCCTGCAAGCCCTCTAGAGAAGACATCGCATGATGCTAGCATTTTTGTGGGAAGGTTTGTCACCTTGCTACAGTCTGATGACTCTGGACCTCTTAGTGACCGTTACCCATTCAGCTTGCCAACGGAAGTGGACTTCACAGAGTTGCGGCGCAGACTGCATGACTATCTCTTGCAGTATGGCCCAGTGAAGAGTGTCAAAGTAATCCGTGATCAAAAAGGCGGTACCTGTGCATTCGTGCAGTGCGAGGTACGTTATATGTTCGCAGCCTGTACAGATCCTTGGAAAGCTGACTATATGCGCGTGGTGAATGACACACTTGCTGTTTGCTCGGATCTAGGATGCATCCTCCGCACGCAAACTTCTCAGTACTCTCCATTCTATCCCTCCTCGCCCCTTCCTGGGGAGATTGCTCCGTTATGAGCCTGCAAGAGCATTCAGGACACTGTTGCTCTCATATCGGTACCAAGATGTTTCCGATCATGATTCGCCCGATCTAACATGACACCCCTCGCCAGGTGGCCCTCACGAGCAGTTCCGTTGACAAGCTCTGAGGAGTCCTTCAACGTTGCAAGCCTGGATAGTAGTCTGCCCACTTCAATACGTATCTATCGCCCGCGAAATTCTAAGTGAGCTACGCGAGACCTGGTAATGGATTTTTGCTGAACGAATCCCAGATACCTTACTGTGTTATGTGACGCTGAGGCTCGAAATTTCAACGTGAAAAACGTCTCGCGTAACGTCGACAGTCCTGGCAATGTAGATGCTTTCGACGACGAAGGCGTATTGATCCATCCGATCAAGTATGATGTGGATGTCAGTACTTAACGTATATGCGCAGTTTGTTTTCTTTGCTGAGCTCGTCATATCAAGACAATGCTCAAAATCGTCTCTGTATTCGGGCCGGTGGAGCATTTTAACGCGTATAGCCACCGCACCGATGGTAAATCTCATCGAACAGTCACCATTGCCTGTAACTCTGAATCGTATTGTGCCACAGATGCTGATGGTAGTGCGGAACATTCGAGCGTGGATTTGGCTCGCCCTCATCCGCATGATGCGGCACGCTCTCCCGATATGGACGCGTCTATTTGGGAAGTGAAATGGAATCATCGCGAGGACTGCGTGAATGCTTTGATGGTATGACACTGTCACGACACTTTCGCACTTCACATGTTAACGATTGTCTCTTTGAGACTTTGCGCCGTGTCTCCTTCCTGAGCGTCAGTTGGGCTCATCACGTAGGCACGCCGTCTCGAGCAGGTACTTTGCCCCATATATTCAGTCCTGCCCTTCTCGCTCCCCGCTTCGGTTCATATGATGCTCACACTCGAGCTCAATCGCAACCTCGTCCAATTGAAGATGATGACTATTGGCGTTACGGGCCATACGACGCTTTCAATGCGGGTTCAATGCACTCTCGGACGTTCACTGCACCTCCGTCAAGTGAATTCTCCTTATCTCCTTACCCGTGGACTTTCGCACAAAATACTCCGTATTGGCGTAGTCCTTATGCTCTTGAAGCACCTGCTCCGCACGGATCTTCGGCTACAGGGCCGACGAGAAGCCCGAACTGTCCTACGACTGACTTTCTCGCTCTCCGTTTCCCAAAGTCAGCAGATCTTCCACAATTACGTGACAAATGGGAGGCTCAACATCTTCCCGGAGATGACTTGTTGAGTAGTCTGCAAGAGCAATCTGTGGCCGCTGGATCTTCCGCTTCATCACTGTCGATAGATACCCCCTCAGTTGCTGAAAAGCCACTTTCCCAGCAGAATGACGTCGTCAGCCACCAAAGGTCGCCTCCAAGGGAGGAAGAACATGCGAGCGCAAGGGAAGCGGGCTTTGTATCATCGTCGATCAGTCATTTCGGTGTCAAAACGAGCCCTTTGATGCCGTATAGGCGACACGATTCCATGGATCATGCCGCTCATCTGCGATCCACCTCTGTTGAAGAAGCCATGTCGAAGGTGGCTCCGCCTTATGGGGTGCCGGAGTTTGCTGGAGACTTCGTCGCGAGAGAAGAAGGCAGCTGGTCGACGGCCTACGAAGGTGAAAGCGAGCTTGATGCTACCACCATCTTCGTGGGAGGTTTGGAGATGCACGGATCCGATGCTTGGGATGAGATGAAGCTGCGCGCACTTTTCGGCAAGTATGGCAACATCAAGAGTGTCCATTTAGTCCGCCCTGGTAAGTTCGGCAGCTGTCATAAATGGGCGAGTGACGAGCGACCTCTTACATCCTTGATAATAGCTCATAAACAGACGTCATTTGCTTTCATTACATATGATCAAGCTGAGTCTAGCGCGCGAGCTGTGCGGGATGTGGTAGGCTTCAGTCTAGTTTTCAGCGGCCAAGATTCATAATTACCGTGCTACAGAATAACCGGGAACATAATGGCCGCCAAATTCGAGTGCAGTTACGTGACAGCAATGCGAGGCAGCGTGGCCGGTGGAGATATGGTCGTGGTAGAGGGAGAGTTCCGGGCCCTTTCAGAGCATCCTCCATCGTCTGCAATGATAACGGACGCGCATATATGGACACGGACAAGACGGGTACGTTTGCACAGCAATCTCGCAGCTTGAATCACGCTGCTCACATCCCCTTTTTTGTACCATTCGCACTGTCAGACAACCCAAGGAAAAGAATGGAGGACCATCAATATATGTCCGGCGGGATAAGCCGGGATAATACAAGGTCCGGAGACGCTGTAGGATCTCATTTATCTTCACTGTCGTCAAGCACAACCAAGGTGGCCCTTCCGACATCAGATTCTGCGCATGATCACTCTGCAGCTACTGTCGCCTCGTTGACGCCGCCGCCATCCTCAAGTTCAGTTGGCCCATCTGCGTCCGCCGTAGGGGCATCGCAGCCATGGACTATGCCTAACGCTGGATACTACGCAGGTCAACCATGGATCCCGCCCTATTCACCACATTATCCCTATCCAATCCCTATTATGCCGGGCTATACGGGAATGATGCAGCCTTCTGCTATGCAAGCTCAGGGTTCATTGCCGCCTAACCCGTCTGACGCGGGAACAATGTATGCGAGAGCACCGACCGCCTGGGGCCCGGTAAGCTATAATGGAGATGGCTTCACAACGTTAGCTGACGTATTTTTGCAGCCTATGGTTCCTTACCTGCCGCAGAACAATCAACAAATCCGGAGGCAATTCACTCAAGCGCCGTCTCAGCCTCCTCTCAGACCCACGGGCTTCATTCAAGGCGAACACGGGATGCTCATACCCGTGTATCAGCCTGAGGCGCTCCATCAGTACATGTCTAATACTGATAAGTCTCAAGTGCCGTCCGCGATGATGCAGGCTCCTACACAACCTGCCTCCATGTGGCCGCACTATCCGCACCTTTCTATGTACCCGTACGCGGTCCGGTTTCACCCTCAGCCTGTCCTGCTCCCAACTCATCAAGGAACAAGCTCATCACAGCGTGCTTGGACGTCCAGCCATACTGGGATTACGCCGTCTGATCCACAACAGTTTCAGACACACCACGCGCCCGCTCAATATTCGTCTGGCACAAATACTTCGGGCCTTTCTACTGGTCCATCCAGTCGCGGACTATATCTTGGGCAGATTCAGACATCGCAGCTATACGGATATGGCGTCCAGTCCGGTGCCAGACGCTTCAATCGCCGAGAAAATGCATGATATCGTGAGTATCGCTCAACTATTGCATTATTTGCTTCTCAGACACCGTGATAAACGACTGGTAGGATTGCGATAGGTTAGGTGGGTGGGTAATATCTCACGACTCGTTGCCCTCACACCCAGGAGCACCGATATCATTCCCATTTTTTTACAATTTTTGTTAGACTGTTTCTCGCCTCATCTTACTCAGTTCACTTCACCTCAAACTTTCCCCCTCATCTCAGATAGCCTCCTGTATCCACGATATCTGTGAAGCAAGTCATGTCAGTTCTCCGCTCACAATCCGGTCTCGCCCATTTGGTAGGTAGAGTGGTTGTGACCACCATTCACGCACTACCACAAATATCCGTCGCCTTTTCCTCTTAATCTGTATTTGAACCCTCGACCGTAACAAAGTATACCGTGTCAACTATCGATCTGCCGCGATCCGAAGGTCATTGAACAAATATTGTCGAGACGTTGAATGGCAAGGGACTGGTGCGCACATTCCATTGTATCCGACAAAACAACTAGAGGGCTCCTCTTCTGCCGATGCGATTGTCGTATGCCCCGTCAATGTCAGGCGGATTCGTTTCGTCAACCAATCTTTAACGGTCGGAATGGCGCAGTTCCCCTTTCGTTGTGTCCATCCCCGGTTTGATGCGTAACGTTACGCAGTGTCCATCCAGATTCAAACTTGGACCGACGGGTGGGCCGATTGCTGGCTGTGGGGAATGCCTTTGACATCGCTTCCGTTCTGTCTCCATCTCAATATGCTCGTCACAACTCCCTCACCTCTAGTAATTGTCGGAGGCTTCTTGGGTGGTGCTGGGTCCCTTGTGTGGGGTAACTTCGAAGAACATTCCAACCACGCCTGCCGTCTTGACGGCAAAGAAGAACGAAAAATCATCTTTGCTAGGTTGATGCCATTGACGAGGGTTATGCTTGAGCTGACTTGTGCTCACTGCGTTCGCATTCAGTGTCGGTCCTGTCAGCTCTTTGCATGACAGAGCTTGCGAGCTATTCTACTCTTTGATGGGTGGTGTCGGTGAGCGCGCAAATATATGTTCCGGAAGCAGGTACTCAGAAGCGATTACGAAGTGGACTATGGAGAGAAACATTCAGAACGATACAATCATGGTCGCTACGGTCGAGAGCATCTCATCGGGTTATACCCGGAATGGTCGAGAAATAATCCATTGCACTTTCTCGGACACTCGCTGGTGAGCAGTATCGCATGTTTACTTGCTCATAGACCCATTGAAAGCCCACCGTGATCGTGCAAGGGAGGGCCGACGATCCTGAAGCTCCAATGGCTGATCGAGACTGGGTTTTATGGTCGCAATCATCACCCAGATATGATATTGTCTGTGAACGCAAGTACATACAAAGTCGTTGCGGACTTGACGTTTTCCTGATTTTTCCAATACAGTATCTGCCCCTTTCCTTGGTACTCAAGCAGTCTACCTTCTGGGCGAACATCCTGAACGCGCCCCTGCCGTCCGCCCTCTCTCCTTTGGCTCCGCTATTACAAAGATCGCGCATACACTGTCATATTTTGCGCCAATCTTGCCTGATGCATTGGACATGCATACTGAGTCTCGCAACCTCTCATTCGATAAGTCTTCCCCGTTCGAATTTCTCAAGCAGCTGTGGCACAGCGACTGGGCTGAGAGCGAGGACACCACGCCGTTTGATATGACATTCCAGGCTGCAGGCCGTCGTGAGGCTGCGCTCGAGGGAAAGGTCAATCCGAGAACGTTCTACAGGAGTTATGCCGCGTGCATGGTGAGGTCATAAATGCATCGAACCATTCAGTTGTGACTTCATGATCTGACAGACAAAGAGGACGACCGACGACACGGAAATGCACAGGCCCGACTTACGGGATCTGCTCACGGTCTCTCCCATGTACCTGATTTCTCAAGCGATGGGTTCCTTTGACTTCTCGGTCGTCAAGCCTGAGCCATCGTTCCTCTCAAATACCAATGTGGACAATAGCGAGAGCAATGACCCTCCTGGAGGTTCGCCAGGACTGAACGGATCTGATGGAGAAGCGTACTGGGCAAATGATGGCGTCGTGCCGCTCTTCTCCCAGTGGCACCCTCTCCAATGCAGGTTCGTTGTGAGCTATGATCTCGGTGTGGATCCGCACTGATCAGCACCTGCCTTTGCAGCGACACCAAGTGCCGGCATCTGGTCCTCCCATTGGACGAGAGCGCGGGAACAGACTCGAGACCTCAGGCACAGAATCCTGCGGAAGAAGAGGCGAGACCCGAGAGCGGCATCTGGTACGTACACCATGTCGACGATGCTAGTCACGTCTCCATAGTGCCCTTTTGGTTGGGAACGGAAAGGCAGAAGCTCTTCTGGAAAGACATCGGACGGTGGCTTTGGGAGGTCGACGCAGCGCGCTTTGCAGAACAGGCGGATGGGCAGAGACTGAGACGCCAATGAGCCGATTTTACGAGTTTCTTTCAGACAAGTCATACACATGTACAGAAACTATGGCACAGCGTCCGACAACATTTGGTCAGTAGATACAGTGGAGGATTAAACAGATGTCATGTCACATGAATGCGATAGGCTGCATTACAAACGAAAACCGCGAGCCAGCATTAGAAATAGTTCCCAATAGGTCCAGATAAACACAACATCTGCAATCGGCGGCAAAGGGTATGTAGGTGAGGGGTTGCATATATGGTAGACTACAATTGCGGCTGAGGCATGTCGTAATAGTCTCGTGAGGCATAGATGGATGACACAGCCGGATCGTTACATTGTTCGAGACATCTAAAAAGCGACGACGGATCGGCGGTATATGAGAGGAACCGTGGTTATGCTGTTACGGTGAATGTAAATGTCAGAGATAACCCTAAGCGACTTGCCGTAAGAGACTTGCCTGGTGTACCGTTGCGAGGTTCACGGCCTTTTCCCCGTGAAGTACGACAGACAGACGCTGCCGACACCCTTGATGTACACTCGGGCTTGTAATCGGCATACCGTCTCCGCTACCTCCGTCTTCCGGAAGTCTACGTGGATATCTCCGCTCGGCGTACGCTCAAAATAGTTCAGATCTCCGAATGACTGGGTTGATGTCCGTGAGCGCCGTATACAATCCCAGCAGCGGAGTCTGACTCACCTCGCACCACTTCTTCGCAGCGCTATATCGGCGCTCGTCGTCAGCAGGTATACCGCTAATTATCAGTTTGCGCTTTCTTCTCGCCCTTCCGGGACTGCCGAGCGCACTCGAGACACTGCCAAGGCCTGCCCCGTGCATCTTGAGGGGTAGTGGTATCCGGATCGCGTTTGCCTTCTCACGATCCTGGGCAATGACCTTCGTGGACTCTGGTGGGTCGTACATGTGCGAGGCGTCTGTGGGCAGCGACCACAGCGAGTGCGATGAGCTGGAGAAAAGGGCGGGCGAGTGGTGGTGGACGGAACCGAGATAGAGCTTGCGGGAGACGCTGGCCGCATCGCTCGATATCGTCGCACACGAGGCCGTGGAAGATTGAGTGATGCAAGAGGACAAACTTGGACGAGATGGAGGGAGATGGCTGCGCTCATCATAGGCTTCTGTGAAGTGATCTATGACGCCTGGACGCCTGAGTTTCCACGGTGATAGCGACATCGGACGCGAAGACTGCGACTGCACATCCTCGGAAGGCGGTCTGTCATGCAGTGACAAGGCATTCGGGGAAGACGAGTGTGCGCCGCTGCTGACATGTGTGGCGCCAAGCTCTGTCCTCAGGCGGTGTGCTACGATAGAGAGTGAACTATGCTCGAGGCCGGAGAGGGTGGAGGCACGACGCGAACCGTAACCACGCCGGTGGCTGCGCAGGGTAAAGAATCCGTCCGACGGACGAACGGGGGAGGTTTTGCGAGGGGTGGAGGGTGGGGACGGGCGAGGGGTGGCATCAGAGAATCCTGCCAACGTCTGGGAAACGCATCACACGGCGAGACACGGTCAGAGAACGGTCCTCGGAGGTCACGTGCGGGGACGTACCTGGAAGACGGACGCGTCTGGGGCTGGGGGCGCGCGCGGCACGTCCGTGTCGTCAACGAAGATGTAGCTTTCCACCATGGCCCGGTCGTCCGGGGCATGTGTGCGGAACGAGGCAACACCAAGGTGCGGATATGCAACACACGGGTGGTCCGTCTCGCGTACAGCCTGCACGTCGTCAGCACCCTGCAAGGCTGCTTCAGAACCAGCTGACAGACGGCGTTGCTCGTGCAACCATTGTTCGAGGCGGCTCGTGCGGCGTCCCAAGCTCATGTTTGTAGCGCGCTTCAACATATCGGATTTCTCGTCGATGGCAGAGGAGGGAGGTCTATTGAGGGAGGTACGCTCTATGACAATCGTACGATGAGCGAACTCAGAGTGCTATAGAAAAAGAGGACATACCGCAGACGGGTATAGTTGTAGGAGCCTCAACGTCTGTCTGTTCGCCTTCCTGAGGCGTCTCTGAGACTGGTAGATGGCTTGTTGGGGCAGTGAGAGGGGCATGTATAGTCATCTGATAGGTCGTGCCGTTCATCATATTAGGAGATCGTTGGACTTTAGCCGTGAGCAGTCATGGGAGATGGTGACAGAGGAATGACACAGGAAGGGCTGCGCGATGGCAGGTATTAAGCGGTCATTGCGGCTGAAGGTCAAGGGCGCACACGCTGGCACGGCCGAGCATGCAGCAGAAATGAACACGCCGTAGACGAACCGGCGAGCCACACCTGACATTCCTGGACAAAACGTGGTCGACGATCCCCCGGAGGCACTGTCCGCCTCATCGATATCTTCCGCGTCTTTAGAAGCTCTCTATTTCCACTCCGAGGTCAATACGTTAAAAGGAATTTCGCCCGCATTAACAATGACTCGCACTCGCACTCGTCGTCCATGCGCCACAGAGCAGGGCGCGCAGTTCGGCTACAGCATTGCAAGACACGCTCGCACCGCATCACAGGATAACCTAACCACTCTCCTTGACAGCCAGGGAAAGATTATGCACAATCGTTGCCCACTCTGTACTTATGAGGCATAGCCTCGCATGCAGTGCGGATTCCGGACTCGCCCCTGACGTTATTCGAACCAACCGGTCTCAATCGAGGAGACATATATAGCAGCTGTGGCGCGAACTCAATGATAGCCTGTCAAACTAATGGGTGCAAGAGTGAGCATTATATTGAGGCCTGAGGAATAGAGCGGCAATTCCGCATGACATATATGAGCTCCGCGTGGTCTGAACTGTGGCTGGTGTATCGACCTCGTCTACTAGTGCCGCGCCTGTCCGATCCAAAGGTGGTAGTAGAGAACAGGGCACCATAAAGTCTGTGATGTACTGCATTAAACCCCATGCACCTTACATCATGATTGATGCGGCGTATCAACTTTCGAAGTGCTGATGATCAGTGCGCGAAAGTAGTCAATTTCACTCTGTTGGTGGTGATATCACCGGGCGCACGGATAGTTGCATCTAAGGCTGCGCCGTCTCCAAGGATATCGCAAGATGAAACGAATCGAGTGTTTCGATCCGATATGTTATTAACGTCCACGTGGGATTGTACACAGAGTATGATACATTGACTCTACAACTGGCATATTATCAGCATCCACAACATCTCAAAAATCTACACCCACTATACATGGTGGTATTTGCGTCAAGGGCCCTGGGCGGTAATCGTGTCATGACGCGCCTGTTAGAGTAGCGTCTCCACGACCTGGTTCGTGATGGTCTTGAAAAGCGGCGCGGTAGACGTCTTCTCATACTTCTCAAGCAGCTTGAAAGACCGCGCGCTACCGCCGTCGGGGAGCGTCGCGGAGGACTCCGGCTCAGGTTCTGTGGCGTCCAGCAGAGAGACGAGCTCGGTGTCCACGGGCAAGCTTCCTAGAAACCTCAAGCCCTCTCGCCTTGCCATCTCCTCGCCGCCGCCAGTCGAGAACACGTTGCTGATCTCACCACAACATGGGCAGACGTAGCCACTCATGTTCTCGATCAGACCCAGCACAGGGATGTCGGTCGCGCGGGTGAACGAGAGGCATTTCATGGCATCCAGAAGGGCAACGGCCTGCGGTGTCGTGACGATGACCGCTGACAACCGCGAGTGAATGGGTGCCATGTGCTCCACAAGCGACAAGTGCTCGTCAGAAGTCCCTGTATGCAGGCATGAAGACCACTAACAGTGATCATCGAAAAGATTCTCACCTGGCGGCGTGTCAATTACAAGGTAATCAAGCTCTCCCCATCGGACATCACTCAAGAACTGGCGAATCATGGCGTTCTTCTTCGGGCCCCTCCATACGACCGAGTCCTCCTTCTTCTTGAGCAGAAATCCAACGCTCATACACGCTAGGCGCGCCTCGCTTCCATCCGCGTACACCGGCACCCACCCGTCGCTGCTCTGATGCACCGGGTGCCCGTCTAAGCCTAGCATGCGAGGTATCGATGGACCGGTCAAGTCTACATCGAGAATGCCGACGTGAGCGGTGGGCGAAGACGCGCGAAGGGAAAGCGCAAGCTGTGTCGAGACGGAAGACTTGCCGACGCCACCCTTGCCAGAGCATACGATGATGATGTGCTTCACACTTTGCAAGCGACGCGCGACAGGGGTATCCATGGTGGACATCGTAGATGTCGAAAGAGCTTGTCAACTCATCCGGCTGCAAGTCGAGTCAAAAGGAGAATGTCGTCGACGTGATTTGGTGCAATCGAAAATGCTGACAGAGGGTCGATCCTGAGCGCCTAACGTAAGAAATGCCAACCGCCACAGCGCTAAGCCACGGGTATAGCTTGTCAATCGTCCATACCAATGGCAAGCAGAACGATGTCGCATATATTCTTATAACGGCACTCAATTCATGTATATAGTATAGCGTACTGCAGTGACATCCGTAGAAAATCAATATAATCTGAGGAAACAGCCAGTCTACATTTTGAACAGCTCAGGTTTCATGTTCCTGCACGAATCAATGAGTAAGCTGCGAGGAATGAATCATTTGAGCATGTACCCACATCTTGCACAACCGAGCCATCAGACCACTCAGCTGAATCAGTGTGCCGACACCTGCCAGAATCCGCATATGTGTCCAACCAATTTCCTTCCTCACGATGAGCAGTCATTCACGAAGTCCACAGAATCCACATACCTTGATGTACTCCAACTTCGTATATTCTGGTATCCTGCACGAGATTTCGTCAGCTGCCCGCCATTATCTTGGAAACTACTTACTCATCGAACGACTTAACAACTCGGAAGATCGTTACCACGATGTCGACAGCTGCATATCCTTGACCCCACAGCTTGTGCAGTTTCTCCATCGCACCATCAATGTCGCCTTTCAGACATTCTCGAATCATCTCCTGGACAAAAATCGGGTGTGGTTGGTCGCAAACTTTGAAGACGTTGTCTCCGGAGACGAATCCGAAGCCTGCATGTGTTGACTGCAGGTTGTTGATTGCTTGCCGCATGTCACCTTCTGCCGTGAAGATCAGCGCGGTGAGACCGTCGTCGTTGTACTCGACCTGGTCAATGAGGTCGTCAAATGCGGCCATTGCAAGTTACCCACAAATACACGGTACCTTCTCCGCCTCGCATATCTCCAGAAGTCGCTTCAGGATCTCCGTATCCCGTAGCTTGGCATAGCGGAGAATCGCGCAACGACTCTGTATTGGCTCGATAATCTTGTTTGACATGTTACATGCCAGTGCAAATCTGGTCGTATTCGAGTATATTTCCATGGTTCGCCGAAGTGCCTGTTGTGCTCCTGGCGTCATGCTAGCATAATATTCAGTTGCCGTCGAGAGGTCAGACGAAGGAAGGTACCTGTCGGCTTCGTCCAATATAACAATCTTGTGCCTCCCTGGTGGTAGAGTCACTTTTTTCTGAGCAAAGGCTTTGATTTTGTTTCGCACAACGTCAATGCCTCTTGAGCCACGGCCATTAATTGCCTGCATTGGGCACAATCGGACGTGTAGACGTACCTGTCATCCGACGCGTTCAGTTCAAGCACACCATCCTTGTATGCATCTCCTAGTAGTTGGTGTGCTAAGCAGTGAATGCTCGTCGTCTTGCCGATTCCGGGCATTCCCTAAGCAAGCTGTCGCTTCAGATGGACCGCATCGACACCGAAGGGCCTCCGTACTGAAATGATAATGTGTGGACAGTTTCCGTCTTTAGCAATGACTTTCAATCGCTCAATAGTGTCCTCGTTGCCGACGACATCATCAAGCACCTTCGGCCTGTACTTTTCGACCCTGCGGAAAAGCTTCAGTATGTAATAAGGCAAACGCGACAATAATAGTACCAAGGAAGCTCATATGGGATATCCGCGTCATTGTCATTCGCCGGTGCCTTGCCTTTCGATGCTGAGGATGCCATCGCGACCAGAGATGAGTGGTAGGAGGAAACAAGGACGAGGAGATGGGAGGAACGCGTCTCGCGGCGTGACGCGTGACGAAACGCGCTGGTGGCTGAAACCATGAGCGCTTCCGCTCACTGCAAATCAACTGCAAATGCCACCACTGCTTCCAAGGCCAAGGGGCGCCCGTCTGCTCAACACCATCCGCAATTGTATGTCCAACACGTGTCATATCTTGATGATGAAACTTATGGATGATTGAGATGCAAGGGTGCGACACACATCGTCTAGGGCGGACCATCATGTATCGACGGGACTACCGAGACCGCGCCTCGAGTATCGAAAAATCTCAGAGAATGCAGTCTTCAAGTCTCACAATGCATTTAACCGTAAGGCTGCTCTCCCTATTGGTGCCATACAGACGATAGCTCGCCTGTACGAGGATCAGAAGGACGTGCTCAATTCCCTCAACACTAAACGGCATGCTCGCTCTACTGTCGGTGAACGGATACGGGCCAGTGCTCAGGATCCACAATTGAAGCAGGCAGCGCTCGATGAAGCGAAGTCGCTGAAAGCAGAGATCATGGACCTAGAGTGCCGACTTGAAGAGCTTGAAGGTCGCCTCTATTCACTCGCCCTCGCGCTCCCGAATGATACCCACCCGGATGTGCCCATCGGTCCTGAGTCAGAGGCAGTGACGCTTTCGACTCATGGCCCCGAACCTATACCAATCTCTGCGGAACGAGATCATCTTTCCATATGTCGTGCTCTGAACCTGGTCGACCTCGAGGCCGCAGCCACCGTGACAGGATCTTCTTGGTACTATTTGGTCAATGAAGGTGCCCTCCTCGAACTCGCTCTCGTCAACTATGCACTCAGCATTGCAATAAAACATGGCTTCACGCCCGTAACCACGCCTGATGTCGTTCGTTCAGACATCGCAAGTCGCTGTGGGTTCCAGCCCCGAGATCAGAACGCAGACCCTCCCGTCTCCCAAATGTATCACATCGCGAACCTTGATCCCGAAGCCGCAAAGGCGTACCACCCGGAGTTCGTGTTGGCTGGCACTGCGGAGATTCCCCTCGCCGGGATGTTCGCAAACAAGATCCTACAAGCCCAGGATCTGCCTCGTAAGGTGGTCGGCCTTGGACATGCCTTTCGTGCAGAAGCGGGTGCGCGTGGCGCGGATACGAGGGGGCTCTATAGAGTTCATCAGTTCACCAAGCTAGAGCTGTTCGTCGTCTGCGAGGAAGAGCAAAGCGAGAAAATGATGGAGGAGATAAGAAGATTGCAGGTGGAGATCTTTGGTAGTTTGGGATTCCCCTTCAGGTATGTTGCCATGTATCGGATTGTTCTCTCATTCCAGTGCTTCATTGAATTTTTTGTATGGTAGGGTCCTGGACATGCCCACCGAAGAGCTCGGCGCTAGCGCTTACCGAAAATACGACATGGAAGCTTGGATGCCTGGTCGCGGTGGTTGGGGAGAGATCTCATCTACTTCCAATTGCACCGACTATCAAGCTCGTCGGTTACACATCCGTTATCGACGGACAGGGTCGTCCTCCACACCGGTAGCCTCATCCGAAGTATTCACCTCCGCTCTCCCATTTGCACACACCTTAAACGGCACCGCTGCTGCCGTACCACGACTCATCGTTGCTTTGCTCGAAAATGGGGCGCGGTTTGACGAGAAAGGAAACGTCGTGGGCTTCGACTTGCCAGCGGCCTTGCGGCCATTCTGGATAGGCGGTAACGAGCGGAAATTAAACCGATGGGTTTAGACGAACGGAGTGCAGACACAATTTATCTCGCCAATACTACGCCAGCATACACATCTGCTATTTATTTGACTTACCCCTCACGACACTCATTAGTGCACAAACGCTTCGGCCAGAAGCACCGATAATGTGGTGTGCTCCGATGATGAGACAGTACTTGCGCATGAATCGTTCAACCTGCCGGTTCGTGGATACTACCTGCCTCAGTGCAGTCCAGTCTAGCGTGGATTGTCATTCAGGGAATCTAGCTACGTGCATCCATAAAGTTCAGCCTACTCCATGACACCTTCTCATAGACCATGACCCATCCCATCACCTTCGTCTTTCTCCAAAGATGGTCCAGATGTCGAACTGCTTTCTCTGCTGCATCAATCACCTGCGTCGTGGTCACAATAGCTATACCACGGCTGAGACCTCCTGAGACGAGGACCTAGATCTTCAAAGAACGTTCGCTCACCGGGTTACAGCCGGCCATGATCCCAACATGAGGATTATGACACAACGCTACGTAGGTTGTAGGTCAACTTCAAATGATCCTGTCTCGACCATTCGTGGGCGCAATCTGGCCAACCGGCGCCAAGCTCCAATGATGTTCATGTTCGTCAATAGCAGGCCGAATTCGACTTCGCAGGCCATCTAGCCGCCTCGTAAGGACGGATTGGCCAATGAAACCTCTCGCCGGTGGCGTCTGCTGAAGTCTCATGCCCTCGCCAATGACAACATGGTCCAGTATGTTCGCGGGCTTTCCGCAACGGGCAACCGACCAGCTTATAAGAGGACGAACGGGCAGAAGATCGAGCAGTCAAGTTCTGACAACGTCGCATCCATACTCAGACAACTTCCAACACTACAACTGTTACAATGTCTCTTACTCGCTTCTTCACCGAGCCGTCTTACTCTCTCTCGGACTTCGATCGTCTGTTCGACGATGCATTCGCTCGTCGTACTGACCTAAGCCAAATTGCCCCGTTCCGCGGGACGACTGCGCTATCCCCAGTGGTGCCAAAGTATGGAGCGTTGCACCACTCTCGACTTCGTTAGTATTGACTTGCTTGATAGGATGGACCTCCACGAGGACGCGAAGACCAATGTCGTGACGGCAACCTTTGAGCTTCCCGGCCTCAAAAAGGAGGACGTCAACATCGACGTCACCCAGAACACGCTGACCATCTCTGGAGAGTCAAAGATCTCCAGCGACCGCGATGAGAACGGTTATTCGATTCGTGAGCGCCGCTATGGCAGGTTCTCTCGTTCGCTTTCTCTGCCGCAAGGCGTGAAGGTCAGTAGCTTGGTCTCGTTCTCGACTTTGAGAGTTTTGATGTTCACTTGTCTTTGCAGGATAAGGACATCAAAGCGAACATGGAGAGTGGTGTTCTGACCGTGAAGTTCCCGAGATCTACCCCGGAGCAGGCTGCGAAAAAAATTCCCATTGCTTGAAGCGGTCGCGCGATTGCTTAAGCAGAGGACGGACGGTGTACCGTTGTAGCTGGTGTACTTATAGCATGTATAACGTGTACAAATTGCAATCTGTGCTTTCGATGCTGTGCGAATCCGGTTGCTGGTACTACAAAGTATCATGAGCCACGCGAGCGTGGTTATGCTTTGCCACATTTGGATTTGGCTACGATGGCTGCTATTTCTTTCCACTAAACGGCCGTCCTGATAAGATTAGCTGTGAATCAGATCGGAAGGTGCAGAAATATTGGGCGACGGGACCTGACGGGATGGACCGATGGTGGGAAGGAGAAACTGCGTACGGCCGGCCAGGGGCTAGTGCATATGATGCACCGAGATCAAGATAGCATGCCGTCTCCACTCCCTCTCGCGCTCATCGACTCATTGCCTCTTCTCCATCCATCGCCATGTCGGCCATGCAGCTAGCCAAGCAGGCCTACACGGCCTTGAACCGCGATAAACCTCATGTATGTTCCATCAAGACAACGATGTTTTGTCGTAATGATCTTTTCTAGTCGTCAATAACCGATTGGGTTGAGATTCTCACTTCGACCAACTATGATGCCGAAACCTACGATGGGTGTGCATGGCTTGCCACTGAGTGTCGTGCGTTGAATGCTGACGTGTCTCCAGTATACCAGAGCTAGTCGACTCAATCAATATCCAAGCCACAGGGTGAGTCGGGGCGCTTTATATATTCCACCTTCGTTCTGACCTGTCATCAGGCCGGCGGAGGCATCCAGAGCAATCAGGAAGAAACTCAAACACGGCAACTCGCATCAACAATATCGTGCTCTCGTCGTCAGTACCTGCTTCGTCCGATTCTGCTGGATTGTGGTGAACTCATGCGCTCGGATTGTAGATTCTCGGAGCTCTCGTTGAGAATGGAGGACATAAATTTCAGAGTGAGAGCGTTCTATTTGCTGCTCAGTAGTCTCGGACTGACCTTGCGAGCAGCAACCTTTGCGGACTCCCACCTCATGGATGCACTCAAGGTGATCGCCACCGAGCCACAAACCGATCCCAAAGTAAAGAAGAAACTCGTGTCTGTGCTCCACGGATGGCATGCTCAGTTCAAAGACGACCCTTCAATGACACTCGTCGCTAACCTTTACAAGGCGTGTGGGGTGGGCCCCTCGCATCGCGCACCTGCATCAAAGCGAATATCTGCGTCATACTCGGCCGACTACACGGCAGACCCCATTTACAAAGCCGAAGAGCGACAACGGCGAGACGATCGTGAGAAGCGCGAACGAGATATGGAGGAAAGGGCACGAGAGAAGGAGACAGAAAAAAAGCGTAAGGAGGAGGAGAAGCAGAAGGCAAAAGAAGAGAAGGAGAGAAAGAAGAGGCAGGCAGAGATGAAGAAGAAGGCTGTTGCAGGGAATGGCAAAGTCAAGAGGAAACCTTTTGACTTTGATCAGGTCAGGATCTATGCCTGGTTGTCATCTGTCGCTCAGGTTGACGTCCTTCATAGGAGACGCCGCAGATCTTGACAGCGATTGCTGCTGCTTCGCAGGCTTCCACCAACTTGGTCAATGCTATAACGGTGCGGAATCCATCATCATCATCATGGTTAGGTTCATGACTCAATCTCCACTAGCTCGTGAATACGGAACATGACAGTGTAGCGGAGAATGAACGCGTGCAAGAGTGTCTAGGCAAAGCCAAGATATCAAGGAGGCAAATTGTGCGGTATATCCAGGTGTGTGGCAGCGCTCTTCAGACGTGACAGAGCCTCTCTGTAATTGCTATCACAGCTGGTAGAGAACGAGGACATGATAGGCGCTCTCATTGAGGCCAACGATCGAATCATCGCAGCGCTGGATATGTACGACACGGTACGAGATACTGCGTTTCCTCTTTTCTATTCTCTCTGACCAAGCCTCTCCAGCTCACTCGACCCAACATCACAGAACAGGATGTGCAGAACGTGCAGGAAGGCTTAGCGGCAGCCAATATCCAAGATTCAGAGCTTGGTAAGCTGCAGGAAAAGCAGCGGGCCGCCGTGCAACGTTCGATGGGGCGGACCGCCGGTGCGAACGGCCAGTCGTCGAGAGGGAAGGAAAAAGACTTAGACGACAGTGAGAACACAGGGCACTCTTACGTCCATCCCGACTTGCAGGACCTAAGTTTCGGTTCCTTGGGTGCCGAGCAGAGGTTCGTTATATTCGCTGTTTGGTATTGTCGTGATTTCTGAACATGATTCTGTCAGCAATCTTCCCCCACCTCTTCGACCGTCCACCCGTCGCTCGTCGGACGAGGACAGTGTGCATAGAGGTTCACTGTCGGATTTCAGCGACTACGACTCATCCGATGAGGAGGCCAACAATCACAGTCAGACTCGAGTACCCACATCTTCGCATGGACGGGGATATAGCCAGTACGTGGCAGAAGACGAAGATGTGCGCCAGGATACGAGGAAGGGTCTTCTGAGCGACAGTGAGGATCCGTTTGCTGATCCTTGAATTCTTCTGCAATCTGGAGGGAACACATATATATTCAAGGCTTGTGACGATGAGTGAAGATATCCTCGTGTGTACGATTAAATGATGTGGTAGAGAATGTCAATCCATTTAATGAGAGTGCTCGTCTTACTTACCACCATCCTGTACCCGCTTGACAGGGCGTGCGCGTCATCGCTACACATTGTTCACTCATTTGCTCCAAGCACTGCGAAATGGAGATAAAATGAAATACAATTGCGCCTATATCAGGCTGCACAGGCGAACCTCGAGATGAACACTACTGTGTACTACGTATGCTACAATTGGGATTGAAAACGAGTACAATCTTTGATCCAATACTGTCCAAGCAGCCGGCCAGGCGATGAACTACCTGGCTAGTCGACCACTCATGCTCAAGCAATCGTGATCTTCTTAGCAGCGGCCTCCGGCGTGTTCTTCGGGAACCTCACCGTCAGCACGCCGTTCTCCAAATTGGCCTTCACGTCCTCGCTCTGAATGATGACACGTTAGGATGCGCTTTAACTGACAAACATGATAATATTGCAGGACCAACTCACCTTCACGCCTTGGGGTAAGCCAAGCGACCGGGAGAACTTTCCAAACCTCCGCTCGCGGACAGCGTAGCCGTTCTCCTCGCGATCGCTGGAGATCTTTGACTCTCCAGACACCGTCAGGACGCCATTTTGCACCTGAATCGCCACATCTTCCTTCTTCAGACCCGGAAGTTCAAACGTGGCGGTCACAGTGTTGGTCTTTTCATCCTGGTGGAGATCCATTCTATGTGATTCCTTCATTAGCGTCTTTGTTACTTTTCGTCAAAAGGGAGGACGTACCTTGGCCGTAAGGGTCTCGTTACAGCAGTCGCCGGCTCAGTGGTAGCAACAGTGCCAGCACCAGTCCGGCTCGAGAAGGCCTCGTCGAAAAGACGATCAAAGTCGGCCAGCGAGTAGAAAGGTTCGGTAACAAATGGAAGCAGCGACATGATTTTCTAGTAAATGAGAAGTGTTGTTTTGTCTTCTAGTTTTTGGATTATTGGAGAGGGGGGAAGAACGCCTTTGCATGCTTCTTTTATAGACTGAGGAGCAGGATGCATCCGTCATTGTCTCTGTCAGCAACATCTAGCTTGACGGGGCCAAGCTATGGCGAGATTGCGCACTCAGTGCCCAAGGAAATCTCGACTGGCGGAAGAACATGCCAGAAGAGCACCCGCTACTCGGGCCATGCCGGACAAGCGCCCGTGGTTGTGGCCCTCCAATTCCCGTCCAGCAACAGGCAAACACGCTCTGCTGCTCAAGAGGAGCTGCATAACATGCGCAATACGATTCGATAGTCAGTAGAAAATACTCTATCTTCATCCACAAAGTGGTCATTTTTTACGCTCGACTCGCCATTTGTAAACTCTAGGCTTCCAGACCTTTTCGTCCACCTTCTTCCCGTCTCCACCTCTAGGCTCGTCCTCGTCCTCATCGTCGTCATCTGCATTCTCCACCTTCTCGACTCCTCGCAGCCTTCTTGCGCCACCCTTGCCCATCAGCAGCCTCTGCATCTCGAGCTCTCTCTCCGCGTAGCGTAGTTGTCGGTCCCGGAACAGACGTGCGGAGAGCTCCTTCAGGAGACGTGCTCTATGTTTCTACGAAAAGGAGAATGAGACAGACCGTGCATTCATTTGTCTTGCTTACTCACAAGAGCGGCCCCTCTTCGTTTCTCTTCCACTGTAACATGATCCTCGAGTGATCCATTTTGGTCCGATGCATGCGCCCGTTGGACCTTTGAATGTTCATCCAGACCCCTCCATCCCAGGTCGATGACGTCTTCTTCCATTCTTTCATCTTCATCCTTCTTCGCGTCTTCGCGAGAAAAAACCAAGTCCCTCGCTGAACCATTCAGAACGTATGTAATAAGGAGGCTTGGCAAAGTGACGTACCTTCCTCTGCACTCTCTGCAAAGACAATGTGTTTGCCCTTGACACCACTTCCTGACCTTCTCCCGTTTAGAGGCGGAGCGGGGAATATCCTCGCGTCGATGAGCACTTCTAATTCTTCATCGCTCAGCTCTTCCAGCCCGTCTTCCTCCCTGAACGAGGCCGGCCGCATCAGTTCTACGAGCGCACTGAGTTTGATTTTCAGCTTGTCGATTTTCTTCAACAACGAACGAGAGAGGATTCAGAAGCTCAGAACAGTTGTGATGATATGCCAAACGCACCTTCGATCCCGCAGTCCTCATCGTCCGCAGATAGTTCTCGTCCTGCGTCTTCAGCACTTTCACAATATCTGTTGGCAGCGCCGTATTTCCTCTATCTTGTATGTGCATCCCGCCCTGTTCCCTATGAATTAGAGCATCTTTTCGCTTAGAATATGAACATTACATGCATACACTCGTCCTCTGCCGATTCATCGCAAAGTAGAATTCATCTTTGTTTCGTTCTGCAGCCTTCTGCCGCAGGCGGGTGAGCCTATCTTGCTTGGAGTGGTAGTCCCTCGCACGGAGGACATAGTCTTTATGTTTCTCGAGGATCCCTAGCCTTGAACGGTTGGCAAGCTGCGAACGCTCCTTGTGGTTACGCCGATGTAAAGAGTTGCGTAATGAAGACATTATGCCCGCCAAATCTCACGCAGAAACCGGGACCGACTAGATTAGAGCGCACGGGTCGACGAGCACACCACAGGCCACTGAGCTCAAGAGTAAGCAACGAGCAATTCACTCCCTCGCAAGCGCCCGAAAAAGTCGACGGTCGGCGTTGGAACAAGCGCCCATAGAGCGCCCGCAGCGATCAGCGTTCAAACGTTCAACGTTCAACGTTCAACGTCAACGCTCATCGGGCCGTGCAATGCCACCGTTGCTCGTGCTCTTGCTGACACTACTGCTCCCAACGCTTCCGGTCGAGAGAACTGGAGAAAGTGGCCTCGCTTCAAGTGAAAGTACAGCCAATGATACATGATGTCATGACATGTCTACTCTTCGTTCATACACGGCTCCCGGTTTTATATAAAACTGTTGAGCATGTATATACATACAGCAGAGATGTTTTCCAAATATCATCGAAAGACTAAGTGACCATGCGATCCTGTTCACCTATGTCATCCATCTCATGCACACCGTTCAACCCGATACCTTCCATCCCGCCCATCGCATGTGGCGGCGGCTGAGCCATCCCCGCCATGGGGCTCTCAAGATAAAGTCGGATGAGCACGCTCTCGAGTGCTGCCATGGACGCCGGCTGGTACTGGAACGTCCGCGCGTGGTCTCGGATGCTCCCGAAGAGCACGCCCATGCGATCCCATCGTTCCTGAGACATGTCCATTGATGGCTGTGCGACAGGCTGATGCACGGCTGGCGGCGGAGGGGGTGGGGCGACCATTGAGATGGACGTCTGGTAGCGTTGAGGGAGATGCGGAGAGAGAGGGTGGTGAGCGGGCGGCGGGGCACTTGCTGATTGCGGAGAGACGGGGGAGAGACCGGCGACGGCACTCACGGGCGTTGCGCCAGTGCAAGAAGGTGCTGCTGAAGAGGGGCTTGACGAGGCAGTTCCATCAGATCGGGTCTGACCTCGAGCCCTTGCGCGACTTTGCTCCTGCGCCGCTCTTCGTCCACGCTTCGTGAAGGGCAGGTTGGCGAGTCCAATCTCATGCGAATGTTCCGCATTGTCTGTCATGGCAGATGATGTTATCACCAGATGCATCCAAATCTGAAATACGCAAGCGCACTCACACATTGCCCGTACTTCGTCGCTGTCAAAGTACGTCTTGTAGCTTATCGATGCGGGACATCCTACCCCCTCAAGCTACCTTGTATATTCGTTTAGGGTGCCGTGCCACACAGAGAGACCCGCAAACATGCTCGGGACGCACCTTTCGACTGGGCACCTTTCGCACCCTATCCGGGAACTTTTTCACATACTTCTTCCTCCCACTCCGCGAGTGCCGCGCGCATACCAGTTTCGTGTGGTCTTTGAACCGCGGCGGGACCGCCTTGGACCCGTGCGTGTCACCCTTCACAAACTCGATCATCTTCTCTTCCTCCTCGCGCCGCTTCCATTCCAGAAATGCCGCCATCGAGTTGAAGACGAGCGTGTACCCATCATCGACGTCCCCTGAGCCATACGGCGCCTTCTTTGGGCCAGTCGACACGGGCGCGCTCACTGATTCGGTTTCTTGAGACTGGCCCAGGGCTTGCGTGAGCGAAGACATGCTTTCAGAGGTACCATTTGAGGGCTGCGAGGGCTGCGGGCCGATATTCTGCAGTCTGAAGTGCTGAAAGCTCATCTTCGCATGGTTGGCTTTACTCAGGGTGGCCATCAAAGGGGAAGATCAGCCGTCACATTGTGACGTCCATGTCACAAGCTTTGAATTAGGAGAAACTAAGCGTTAATCGTAAAGCAGGGGCAGCTACAACGAGTGTCCAGATGCATGCGAAAGCAAGGTGGTCCGATAATGGAGCAGTAAATGTAGGTGTGGTGTGGATAGTAATGTGATGGGGGCTCTCCCTTTTACGCGATACTGAAAACGCCAAACAGGAAGCTACCGGCTACAGCGAGCGATGCAGCCAGATGTCCACGGTTGATCTGGAAGCCAGCCAGACCAGCATTGGACGTGCTGCCAGTAGTACTGGTGCTATCACTGCTGATAGGCGTCGCGATCGCTGCTGCGGTGTACGTCACGCCATTCGCGCTCGCCGCTACCTCGAACACGGAACCATTGCCGTACTCATAGAACTGTCGGAAAACTGTGAGTAAGCAAATTTGGGCACGTTCTATAAGACAAGCTTACGTCTACGAGCATGAAGTTGGGGGCCCTGTCCCAATCTGACAAGCAAGTCGATACTTGCTCGCCGAGGGATCCAGTTCCGTTAACGGCATTAGTATCGGCAGCCGCACTCTTGTCCGGCAGCAAAATGCCCGCAATGCTCTCATCCAGGAAGTGATTGATCAGGTACATCTGGGTGCTGGTATCTCCGTAGGTGCGGTTCACATCGCAGTTAAAGTCACTGGTGCTGGTGACGTCGTATTCGGTTTCCCAGATGTTCGTGAACTCTGTTGTCATGCGTAAGAAACAAACTCTGATTTCACAACTGACCTTGAAGGCACATACCGTCAATCAGATAGGGTACCTCGCTGTAGTCGGCCTCTGTAGTGAGGAAGACTACCAAACGAGTGCCGTTGTCGATGAGAGTTCCCAGCGTCGGCCAATCACTTCGCGCAAGCGTAGCATTGGATGGCGAGTATGCCATCGTGTCAAGCCCGACCGTCTTGAACACAGTGTCGTATGCGGACGGCAAGAAGTTGTCGTACGAGTTCACGATCAGCATGGACACGACTGAAAGAGCGTTGTAGGTAAAGTCAGCAGGAACTCGATGGAACTCCAAAGCCTGCATACCATCATCGGTGTTATCGTCCATCCAACTTTTGACTATCGCAATTGTGAGAAGATGATCAAATGTGGCACTGGCACGTGTGAATTCATTTACCGCTTTGCAGGTAGTTCTCCAAGCTGCCGCCGTCGAGGAGGTCCTGTGAACAGACAATATCCTTCAGCCAGCCATGCAATGCGGCAGGCAAGGCTCGTCCTTACGCATGATGTGTGGCAAAGTTCAATCGTCCCACTCTCGTTGTGCGTCTGCATCTGGAGCATTCGGACGCCGTCGTTCAACTGCTGAGTCACTATTCATCCACATTTTAGACTACCGCCACAGTCAAGCGGCCAATAAATCATACCATTATAGTCCTGATTGGCGGCGGCTTCGCAAGAGTCACTACAGGTGCAACATACGGCTGGTTCACTGCCTACCTGACGTGCTTGACACGGAATACGAGTCGTGAGCCCCGACGAAGGTGATGTTGCCAAAAGACCGGTCACAAAACTAAGTACGTTAGGAACGGCGTTGCACCAAGGGAGAGCTGCCTGGCTCACCTCGGCGTAGCCGTTACACGTGGAAGCCGCTCGTCTGACCGATACGGCACGCGCAGCAATAGGCGAAAGCAGCAGACCAAGAACGACCCGCGTTAGTGGAGAGGAAAGGCGCATCGTTGCCTGGATGAGTGTAGGGTAGAAAGAGGAAGCGGAGGTCCAGAGTGTTGTCAAAACACAACTGGGGGAGGCGATGCGCGTGAAACAGTTAGTAAGGCAAACAGCGTCTCGTCGAGAGACGGCAGAAGCTGGCCGCAGTGGCCGCAGTAGAGACTCGCCGATAGCCACGTGATCGGCCGAAGTGTTATGATCTCGATGATGATCGGGCGTTGGTCTGATCGCTGCTCGCCTCCTTTCTTGTTGCGCACGCAATGCCAGCCGACGGCGACGAACCCGTCTTCGCCAATGCCTGGTGGATGATCTTTCTCGACAAGGCGAGTGGGCGCTCCGTTGCTGCATCCGGTTGGAGTTGAACGAACACAGACGAACTCGATTGTTACGACTTTGACTGCAGGATTCCTCGTTTACACCCGATCTGCCGGTGTCGCCTACTTTGCGACCGGCGCGGTCATTTGCAGCATGACTGTGAAGGCCATAAAGCGACTCGTCCGTCAGCCACGCCCTGTCAAGACTATACGTGGTCGCAGGAAGAAATCTTATGGGTACGCCTCCGCCCCATGATGTTCATCTCTCACATGAAGCCAGCAATCTTTATCCAGCATGCCGAGCACCCATTCGGCCACTATCACCTTTTTCGCCGTATACATCACGCTCTCGTGTCTCTACCTTCCTATTCATCCCTCTCTGCCGTCTCGTATGATCACCAGGGTGCTCCCTCCCCTCATCGTCCTGCCATGGGCAACTACGATTGCCGTCTCCAGAACATGGCTCGGACACCATACTTGGCTGCAAGTAGGTGCCGGCTGTGCTTGCGGCCTAATCTTCGCCCCTATCTGGTTCAACATCTGGATTCGCGGAGGAAACGAATACGGCAGAATGCTCGAGCAGGCCATCTTCGCCCGCTGACGACGATGCGTCCACAGCGACATTGGTTTACCTCGTGGTCCAATGTCTCGATAAAGTATTTTATTGCCGTGAGAACGTAGAAGGTTTCATGTAATCCCGAAACACACTTCTAATTTCCGGTAGAGGACATACTCATATACCCCATCTGTTGTATAGTGCATACTATCATAATGTCACCGATAGAAGAGTTCAGCAATGACAGACGTCTTGCCAAAACTGCCTGCACCATCATTGCTCCCTTGTACCAGGTAATCCACGCCTCTATGCACGACCTCCCGCACCTTCTCTTTCGAGCCCCATGGGATCCTCGGCGTCCACGTCACCAGATGTGCACCAACATGCACGACCGCCCTCCTCGCAACATCACCCATCATACTTCCCCCACGTGTCTCCCGATATGCCCGCAGAAACGACGTCAGCACGCTGTTCGCGGCATCCTCGCCAGCCGGCACGAACGTCGAGACGAGGTACAACTCGGCTGCGAACTGTCCGACGTCCAACCCAGCCAATCCCGTCTTTGCCAACTCCCAGTCGATCACGAAGAGGCGTTCCACGCCTTCGACGCGTCCTTGATCGTCTCGCCGGGGGACGACGAGGACGTTCCCGGGCCAGAAATCGCCCATCGCGACCGTATCCCTCGTCGTGAGCATTGCATCCTGTGTTTCCGCTGCGACTCTGGCCACCACGTCCAGCCGTTCCTGTTGGATTTCCAGGGGCGGGTCGGACAGCGTCGGCAGCGTGCCATCCGTCAGCGTGGCCATGAGCCGGCCGTATGTAGCGAAAGCGGAAAGTTTCTTGCCTTCTTCGTTTTTGGAAAAGAATGAACTGAACGCCTCGTCTTCGCTGCCTCGCCCATGCAGGCGTCCAAGGAACTCTCCCAGAGCACGCCCAATTTGCGCGGCAATCTGCGCAGGTGGCGGATCCTCCAGCAGCAACTGCTTGAGCGTGAGCGACCCTTCTCCACAGTCGCTCATGACGATCACGTTGGCGGTGTCGTCGAAGAGGAACACCTCCGGGACCGTCACGAGCGAGTCAGTGGGTAAAATACTCTTCATCTTCCTCAACGCCTCAACCTCGTATCTCTGGCACGAGCGTCATGAGGAGGCATTATTCGTACAGACGTCTTTAGCTGCATACCTGACGGTCGAGCGAGAATGCAAGCGTCAGGAGTGCCGCAACGTACGGCTTTGCATGCTTGAGGACAACTGTTGGGTATTCTCGGTACGGGGTGCGCAAGTGGAGCCTATATGCGTAGTTGCCAGAGCCTCCCGTCAAAGGCGCGACATGGTCACTAGTGAACTGCGTCTCTGCAACGTAGGCGAGGACACCGTCAATTGTTTCGAGATTGTCTGCAGGCATTCAGGAAGTCGCTGAATGGTACGCCTCGCCCAGTGCACCCCTTCCCCATATATGCGTGCGGCCCTTAGAACATCAGTCATGGCGTTCGGTACCGGGAACGTCACTTGTCGACATGACTCTTGCCGTTGAGCTGTAATCGGCAGCGGCAACTCAGAAGCGCACATACGAGACAGTAGGGAATGCCATCAGATGGTCGTCGGAAAGTACAACATTGTGATAACAGCTAGCGCTAACAGATGCGAGACACTCATAGAAATGCGTAATGACAGAACAGTAAACCTCCGCCGTCGAATACCTTCTTATAGCTTGTCGTAGTACGTATCCAAGGGCGGAATTTCGGGCTGCACAGAATAGACATGAGCAAAATATATTAACACGAAGTAGGCGCAAACGAACCTTGAGACCCTTGCGGACACGGATGCCCCTGACGATTTCCTCGATCTTGCTGCCCTTGTCAAGCGGAGCTGTGAAGAGACTTCAGTCACCACAATACGATTTGGACATGACTGCAGATAGACCCACATCCGTTCAGCGTCTCCCAGTGGTCGAACACACTCTGGGGGAACGCCTGACCACCAGTCTGCGAGCGAAGCTCCCCATTGAAACCGAAGGACTCCCCGACGGGCAGGTATGCCTTGACCGTGAACATAGGCGTGCCGACACGCTGCTCCTCGGAGAACACCTGGCCACGACGCTTGTTGAGCACACTGTAGATACCGCCAATCGCATTCTCCGGGCACTGAATCTCAACTGATAGAAAAATCAGCTGTGCATGGATAGATGGAGCTAGGAAAAACACACCGAGATAGACAGGCTCCTGGAGACCGGGCGTGGCAAGCAAGCATGCGGCATAGCAGACGCGACGACACGTCGGAATGATCTGTCCTCCACCACGGTGGATGGCATCCGTGTGGAGCTGTTCCCAACGAACGTCAGAATGAATTTCAGGTGCAGAAATGTCTGATACATACCGTCACATCAAGGATGTCGATGCGGACACCACGCATGTTCTCCTCAGCGCAGACACCCTCCTTCGTTGCCCACTGGAAGGCAGCAACACAAGAATCCTTGATTTCGTTGAGATACTGCACACCCTTCGTCACATCGACAAGGACGTTCGGACCAGTCGTGTCAGGACCGAAGCACCAGATCTTACGCGCGTCCGTGACGTCCCAACCGTACTCGTCCGCGAGGATACGCGCGCGGATCTTGTAATCGTCACGCGAGTTGACCTTGCCGGACTCGATGGCGAGCGAGAGCTCCTCCTCAATCGGCATCGCCTTGGCGTAAAGACGATTGTGCTTGTTCTGGGACTTAGAGAGCGCAACAATCGACGACTCGGCCTTGACAGTCTCACGATAAGGGACGACGGGGTCGGAGACCTTGAGAGGAACACCGGCATGGTCCTCTTGTAGATCCTAGCATGGCAGAATCAACGTCAATAACAGACCTCATGGCCTTGGAACATAATGCATACCTTCAAGCAAATCTCCAAGTGAAGCTCACCAGCACCAGCGACAATGTGCTCACCGTTCTCGGAGATCCACGCCTGGACACATGGGTCGGACTTCGAGAGACGCTTAAGACCCTCGACCAGCTTGGGCAGATCTGCAGCATTCTTGACCTCGACGGCGACCTGCACAACAGGCGACACAGAGAACTTCATGACCCTCATGTTGTGCGCAGTCTCCGACGACGTGAGGGTACCGCTCTTGAGCAGGAACTGGTCGATACCGACAAGACCAACGATGTTACCCGCCGGGCAGTCCTCGATGGGCTCGACATAACGGCCCATCATCAAAATCGTGCGCTGCACAGACTTGATGAACAGGTCCTCCTTCTTGCCCGGGACATAATTCGGGCCCTGGATACGGATCTTCGGGCCAGCACGAACGGTACCGGAGAAGACACGACCGAAGGCGTAGAAACGTCCCTTATCGGAGGTCGGCACCATCTTGGAGACGTAGAGCACCAGGGGTCCCTTGGGATCACAGTCACGAATACCGATGGCAGACTCGTCATCCATTGGACCCTCGTAGAGAGTCTCAACACGGTAGCGCTGAGCAGTCTTAGGGGAGGGAAGGTTGATGACAATCATCTCCAGGAGAGAGTCACCGGCGGGCAAGAATTTGCGCATGACTACTTTCAAGAGAGCCTTGCCCTCGAGCTCACGCTCAGCCGGAACAAGCTTGACGTCGAGCTTCTCGAGCATGGGGTCGATCGCGTCGTTCTTGAAGTTCATGACGGCATCGAAGACTTTGAAGATGGGGTCGAGGACGAACATGTTAAATGCGCGCTCGAGAGGTTTGCCGTCCGCGTCAGTGCCCTTGGACGTCCACTTGCGCGTCGTCGGGTTGAAGTAGTTGTCGCCCCAAAGCTTGGCCATCATCTTCTCCTTGTCAACTCCGAACTTCTTCGCGTACCTGCTCGCGAACTGGCGGAGGGTGAAACCCCATCCGTGCAGACCGGAACCGAAGGCGACGGTGCCCTTCTCGGGGTAGACCTGGACGTCACCCAGCGCAACGTCGTGGTATGTCGAAATGATGACGTTCACGTTCTCAATCGTACGACGGAACGACTGATACAGCTCCTCCTTGTCAACCTGCAGCTCGAGCAGAGCACGGTCAACCTTGTTGACGATGACGACGGGCTTGATACGCTCAGTCAGGGCTTGACGAAGCACAGTTTCGGTCTGCACGCAGACACCCTCAACACAATCGACGACAACAAGGGCACCATCCGTGACACGGAGCGCTGCTGTGACTTCCGACGAGAAGTCAACGTGGCCCGGAGAATCGATCAAATTGATCAAGAACTCGCTGCCTGGAGATATTTGTCAGGAACACGAGGCCACCGACGCACAGCAGGCAGCACATACCCTCGGTCTGCTGCTTGATCGCGCTCAACTCCTCCTTGTCGACCTCGAAATACATGGAGATGGCGGTCGACTTTATAGTGATGCCACGCTCCTTTTCGTCCGGTCGTGTATCCGTGAAACGCGTTTCGCCGGCTTTCGCACTGGCAATGATACCAGCTTTGGAGACCAGCGAATCCGTGAGAGTGGACTTTCCGTGGTCGACTGCGCGAAACCTTTTGATAAACAACAAGACTAGAGCAAGGAAGCCAGTAACGAGACTTACCATGAGCAATAACGCTCATGTTACGGATATTGGTGGGCTTGTCCATGAGAGCCCGAATCTGGTCTGCTCAACCTCAGAATTGCCCGTTCAACCGAAAAGGCTTTCATCACTCACCGACGGTGAAGTTACTGTCATTGCGTAGAAAATGATGTAAACACTAAGGAAATTGCAGGGAGATTGTAGAAGGCCAAACTTACACCATTGTCACTAGTTTTTACAGGCGAGCAGAAAGAGAAAAAGTTGGGGTGGCGACGTCCTCTGAAGGATCGCCTGGGATCAAGGAGGGGTATTGAGTCGACGCGAGGAAAGGGATGGCGCAAAACTCGATAGAGCAGCAAACTTTTGCGAAGGGGTGAAGGGCCTGCTTATCGATTGCTTTAGGGCAGGCACCAAGGGGTCCAGCGCTAAGACTGTTCACGTGCCCCGACCACACCATGGCTGCGTCCCACCGGTGGCGACGTCTAAGCTCTCCTGCTTGTCTTCATTGTCCGCACCAATCACCGCATATTGGGTCTTGAGCACATAATCATACGCTCTGAAAAACTCTACTCTGCAGTCTGGATATTTAAAGATGCTGATGTCATCGTCAGAAGCTCGTTTGCATGAGCGCTGAGAGCGAGCCGTTCGCATCCGACATGACTCTCTTCGAATGGCTGTTGAGAAAGTGTTGCTGACGGACAGAAACAGACGCTCGACTGTGTTGACCCAGGCAAGCGCGGCGCCGCACAATAAACAGTTGCATATGACTGGCTCAGTCCAACAGAGAATGTATCATCCACAGCTATACCCCTTGCAAGTTAATCCTGCCACCGGAGAACTGTACTTGCGTCTGTCTAGTCCTCTGGATAATATCATCCTCACATCCCCTCGTACAAGTGATGCAGCCTCTATCGTCTCTATTTTGAACGACCCCAAGGTATGCAGGTGGTTAGAGGGACCCCCATACCCGTATCTCCCTTCACATGCGGAGAGCTGGATCTCTATGGTAAAGGAGGAGTCCGATGTCATCCTGCGGGAGTTGGAGCAGGCTAACAAAGACGCGCCTGGAGAACCACTGAAACGCGTCCGAGCTTGTCCAGTGCGGATCATTCGGGAAGTCCAAGAGGACGGGACAGATGTCTTCTTAGGAGATATATGCCTACGAAGGTGCGCCTTCCAGTACGAGGAGCTGGACGAACAGCGGCGTTTATCAGAAGAGAATGCGTCGCGCGAAGTGGGAGACCCGAACCTCGTATGGTGTGTGGGAGGTATGTGCTATGTTTGCAAATATCATCCGGTATGAGCATGGAGCTTGATCGAGTTCTATGGGCTTTAGACTATCTCGCAAGCTCACATCATGGCCGAGGCATCATGAGTGCGGCCTTCCGAACTTTAATGGAGGCATGGGCGATTCCACGAATGGATGTGCGCCACATCCGCGTGGAGGCGTTCAAAGGCAACGTTGGAAGCGTCCGTGTGTTTGAAAAGTTTGGATTCAGACTCGAGAAGACGGTGGAGAGGGTCGAAGTAAATAACACTACCCATGGGTCACATATTTTATTGTGGGATCTCGATTGAACTTGTGTACCTTGCTATGTCCACAATGAAAGTGAATGGGAGATCCGCTGGTCATGCACATACACTTTGAAAGTGCTCCTGCTGTGCGTGTGAGCTCTGAGAACGATGCTTAGAAGCAGCCGAGCGCTTAGGGGACTCTTAACCGCACTGCGACGCACCGCCCCCTTGGCATCGACTCCTTCGGACAGCCTCAGGCCTGCGCAGTCGTCACAAAAAGCTGTCGTTGAGTGTCCGGTACACCTCAACGTAGTCCACGATGGGCATTGTTCGACCTGCGACGCCAGGCTTCCTCGTAACACTCGCCGCCACGGTCCTGCTCGCTCTCGTCACGTTCTCTGTCCCTTATCTGAAATCGATCTATTTCCTGAAAGCAACCATTGCTGTGAGCAGCAGTAATGAGACGTTCACCTTTGGCACACTAGGATACTGCTTGGAGCAGTCCAACGGCACGACATGCTCAAGTCCGCATGTGGGCTACTCACTCGGTGAGCCGCAGGCACGTTCCGCGTTCACAGATGCCTCATTAATAGGCCGTCAGATGTGAACGAGCTTCTCGGTGACGACACCGTCGTCCAGATACCGAACGTGCTCGTCAAATGGATCACCTACGCCCTCGTACTACACATCGTCGGCCTTATACTCGCAGCTCTGTCTGCCATCTTCGGTCTTCTCGCCCATGTCCGCGAGATGTCCATGGCATACTGCAGCTCCTTCGTTTCCGGCTTCGCCGCCTCCGTCTCGCTCGTCGCGTTCATCTTCGATCTTGTCCTCTTCTTCGTGACCAAATCACGCATCAAAGACGAGGGCGGATCTGCCAGTCTTGGAAACGCAGTCTGGCTTACGCTCGTCGCCTGGTTGTTGCTCTTCTTCGCCGGATGCTTCTATGGGATTGGGCGCTACTGCATTAAACGCCGTCCAGGCAGGTTCGGCAGGAACACGCCCTCTGCTGACGACCGCTATGCAGAGCAGATGCATCTCGATGCCGTCAAGGCCGAATCCGACCGCAAAGCACGCCAGAGACAGAAGGAAGGCGGGCTCCCTGCATTCCAAGAATATGAGCAGATGCAGCCGCTGGCCAAGACACCATCAGAGGAGTATATTGACGACGGCGACAAGATCGTGCCCTTGTCGGACGCGCAAAATGCCGGCGTGGGGACGTACAGCGGGCGGCAGCGCACTCAATATCCTGGAGGCTATTCGCAAGCGCCGGAGGGCACTCGCGCTGTTGATGCGTACTACAATCCCGCCGTAACATCGCCCGCGCAGTCCAGCATCTACCCGCCCCAGTCCCCGCCTCAACCGCAGAGGCAGGCCAGTGGACACTCACAGGGACCTTCCGGATATGCTGCATCAACGTACGGCAATACGGCTGCTGATGCAGCAAGATACGGGTATGGTCATGCTCAGCAGCCGACAACGGCTACGACGAACTACGGGCACACAGCGGGTGGTTCCTCTTGTATGTTCTCTTCTTTCTCGGAACGGTTTGCGTGACTGACATACCCGTTACAGACTATAACCAACCAGCGAGCCAGCATCAGAATTTTTCGGTGCCTCGCGCAGCCGCAAACGATGCGCCGAGCGCACAACCATTCAACCCCAACATCTACAATAGCACTGCGTACATGCACGGTGCCGCCCCGTCTTCCACCGCTGCAGCAGCTGCAGCAGCGGCCACCACGAGTCCGTACTACTCACGCTCCGCAACCGCGCAGCCCGATCGCAGCTACACGCTTGGCGGTGGTGCATATGGCACCGCCGCCTCTGATGCAGCCTACTTCAACCCGTACGCGCAAGGATCGTCATCGCAGCACACGACACCATCTCCCGCGCCGATCAACACGCGACAGCCGACAATGCGGGGCCCGCGGTCGCCCCCGCAGCTGGTGGAGTCGCCGGTGGAGAGCATGCCTCAGCCCGCGCAGCCGCAGTACAGCGATAGCCCGCCAATGTATGACGCTGCGACGGCGCAGCCACCGGGAATGTGGTCCACGAAGCATTCATAAATTCGTTGCCATGTCTTTTGTCACACTATTTTCGGCCTCGGTCACATTGGACTTTCGTACGCATAATTGCCCTTCAGATAGGCGCTTCGACGTTCGTAACTTAATGCCTCATTTTGTACGCCTGTGTGCGAATTTGGTGCTGCTGACAGCTGGATATCCGGGGGAGCCTTGTATGTTAAAGGAGTTGCATCACAATGGACTCATGAAGTCTCTTCCGTGTCGATAAGGCAAGCTTCAGGACAGACAGGTGGTAGATGGTTGGGTTATACGCTCAACACGGCGCTGTACATTTTGGCTCACTACATTTTCCGTCTTTTTCATCTCTCATGCCCTTTTTTCACTCCAGGCATATCTTGAAGGATCTGTCCTTCCTACTCTCACAATTCATCTCTCACTGCAGCGGAGAATTTTGGCGTTTTGGGAGGTTCTTGAGTGAGGAACATGGAGAGGAAGTCATGGACGATGTCAGCCGCTGCAATGCCGGTGATCTCCGCTGCGAAGAGTTAGCATCTGTCTAATCAAGCAAAGGCAAACACACCATTATCGTACGCAGGAGCAACCTCGACGATGTCCGCGCCTCTGTAAGACGAGTGTCATTGTTTGTCTACCACAGCATGAGAAGCCTTACTCACACGAAGTTAAGCCCAGCAAGACCACGGATAATGCGCTTCACTTCACGCGTGGTCCAGCCTCCAGCCTCGGGCGTGCCAGCTGCACGAACGGACTCAGATCCTAAACTGCATCATGACAAACGAGGCATGGCTTACTCGCAGGAGCCAAACCAGGATCTGTTCAAAAAAAGGCCTTCAACGCTAACGCTGATGGCTATGAACGCATAGATGGCACACCTATGACATCGATGTCGAGACTGCGCAGCAATCAGTAAGCGTAGAAGATACATCAAGCAAAGTAGAGGATGCACCTCAAGTATACGGGTGAGCTACCGACGCGTTTGCGAATACGCTTGATGATCTCGGTAACACCTAGATCATCAATGTCATCAGTCGAGATCAGCTGGAAGCCGACTGTTTGGTCGTTCTCTATATCGCCTATGCCCTGCAACACAGTCCCGTCGGTCAGCTCCGTGAAAGGCTCGACGTACAAAATGAATAACATACGGCGAGCTTGCAACGGATGCCAGCATGGATGCTCGTGTTGGTCATCAAGCCTTCTTCCTGAGCGAGGTAGAAAAAGGTGCCGTGAGTTACTCGTGACTGCTCTGTGCTCGTCCCCGGGTATGCAGCCCAAGTATCCAAGTGAGCATCGAAATGGATAACAGAGATCGGTCCGTAGACTTTGTGAAGTGAGCGGAGGATCGGGAGAACGATGGTATGGTCGCCGCCGAGACTGGTGCCGCCTCTGTGAGACCATGCTTGTGCGACCATGGGCAGATCGCTTACGTGATAATTCGGGGGTGCTCCTGGCCGTCCTTTGCGAAGTCGCGAACAACAGCGGGGCTATCAGTCAAACCCTTGGTGACGACTGGTCGGGCGAGCAGGCTGGAGTAGGCGACCTCCATTTGGTCGACAGCCAGTGCATTGTCGAATGGGCTGACTGGCACCTGTCTAGGAGCTTGACGAGCTTCTCCTGCGAGCAGGCAGCACTACACTTACATCACCACAATCAATGATCTTTGAACCCAGTTCGTACGGGTTCACCCTCCAGGCTAAGGTGTATCCTCGCGTCTCCCTTTGCCTTCTGCTGCCAGAACGAATAGCGTATGGACCAAAGCGCGCACCAGGACGATACGTAACTGCAGTGTCGAAGGGCATGCCCAAAAGCGCTATGTCAAACTCGGTCGCGGTATCTTCCAAACAGCGACTGTATGGCAGATGAGCGAACGCCAAAGGGCCAGAGAAGCCCTGATCAATCTGTTTCCCATATTTCTTGAGCCATGCATCTGCATCTGCGTAATCGTAGCCGTCGACCGTCGATGCGAACTGCTCTAAGGGAATCTGGCGCTCATGCTCATGGCCGCAGACCGAGAGGGCGAGCACGGCGAGAGAAATGAGGCAAGAGAACGACTTCAACATGCTGGCAATGTCCAGAGAGAGGCTGATAAGGAGCTTGAACTTTTATAGTTGGCATTGGCTCCTCGATCAGCCGAGACGCGTAGACAATGACTCGCGCATTGATAAGTGAGACGCGTCGAAGCGCGGATGGCCGAGACGCGGGAAACGCGATAGTCACGGTTCACGTGATCGTTCTTCCTCGGACAGACCTCAATGCAACGAAGTAAAGACAAGATCTCGGCCGCAGCAATGAAGAAGTATTTATGCAACTAATATACAAAGACAGGACTTCCATCATCTCAGAGGCCACGACACCGTATTCAGAAAGCAAAGTCCAGAAACGTATCGCAGAAAAAGGACGCACTTTGTGCTATAAGGTGCTAGTGTGATTCTTGGATAACCTTATGGGAGTCACGATCCACCGCCTCCTCAGCTTGGCCTTCTCGCTCGCTGCATCCAGTTCCTCCTTCGCGAGCGTGAGGACGCGCACCTCTCGTCGTTTCTCGGGGGAGTCGTCCACCTCGCCCTCCTCCGTGCGGTCTTGCTCCAAAATCTCGTCCTCCCTCAGGTCGATATCTCCACTGGAGAAAACGTTCTCCGGGGTTGCGCCGGACCGCGTCTTCCCAAACGACCCGAAGAAGGTAAGAGGAGAGGCGATGGCATTCGTGAACATCTCAGAAGCGTCATCAACCACGGTGCGAGGCTTGCGGGCTGGTATAGAACTGAGGAGATAGACTTTCTCCTTCCACGCATCCACAGATGTTCTTCTGACAGATTTACTTGTAGATGTTGTGTTGGATGGGTCCATTGCAAATGTCACGTTGATGTTATGAGTCTGCCGGTCATGGGAGAAGCGTGGCAGAGGGTGGGAGTATGAGTTCGGAAAGGGGTGCACGACCGGTCTGCGGTGCCGCACGACCAATCGCCCATCTGCGTATCACCTCAATCGCTCGCGACTGCGTGTCTCTAGAGTGTAAATTGTGATAAAGCTCACCTTCGACATCGATAGCATGTCCGGAGCTCCTCGAGCAGAGGGCGCCAGATGTGTCTATGAAGAAGACCTGGTCGCTATGAGTATTGACTACATTGATATGCATTACGTTCTAAAATACACACCTGATTATCGCAGTCGGGCTTTCTCATACCTTCCATGCGTTGACAATCAGCTGCTGGCTGCCATATTATGGTCGATGTACTCACTTTCTACGAGGGAGGTCTCCGTCTCCGTGTACAATATGACGTTAGTCCCATCTTCAACCCAGCTCATCTCGACGTCCATCACGCGGTTGGTAGCCGCAGAGCGAATGATAAAGTAGCCAGCGGGAAAGCCATAGGTATGCAGGTCGGCGTCCATTGGTGCTATCTGCGAGTTGGCCGCTGCTTCCGCAGGGGTCAGCTGCATGCTCACGATTGAAATATCGGGAAATTCCAGGAGGCTATGTCACTGTATGCACACGAGCACCCGCTTGACGAGTCGGAAGGACGATGATGGAGGACCAAGCGAGGACCAAGCGCCGCTTTTTCCATGCGGCATGCACAGCAATACGCTGTTAGCGGCGGTCTAGCTAACAGTGGCCGGCGCTAATAAGGTGGATCCGTACACGCCGGCCGATGATATTCAAGTAGAGATACTTATAAGGTGAATCCAGCAGCTACAGAATACAAGCTAGCACAAGCACACATAGAACGGTACATATCAGTCTCATCGCTCCTCATCGGAGCCGTCTCCTAACGAGAATCCTCCTGGCATCTTTCTCATCATGTCACGTCTCTTGACTCCTCTTTCATCGGCCTCGGCATTTTTCCTCTCGACCCAATCTTCAAGTGTGCCGCCTCTCTTCGACATGCCCTTCCACTGCAGACGTACAACATGAGATCCCAAATATATAACTGAATGCAGAGAGCTGACCTCGTGTCTGGCAACGATACTGCCTTCCCTGACGCTCCAATGCCCACCAAGCCAGCCCGTACTCATCATAATGGGTTGCTGTCCAACACGTTAGAGAAGTTCGACGTGGGAGGTTCGCAATACGAACCTCGGAATGCCAGCTAACGTCACGAACGCACACTCTTGTCTTCCGCGCGCTAGGGGGAAGCGGTGAGGGTTCAGGCCCAGAAGGGTCGCTCGACATGGGCAATGTTTCGGTGCGGTCGATGACCTGCAGCACTCGTCCATCCAAGGACCAGATCTGCAGCACGTATCATAATCGGTAAGCTACGGTCAGCCCAGAAGGACACCCAGACACTCACGTGGATTCTGCCGTCAGAACCACCGGAGTATATGTACTGCTGACCGGTAGTCTCTGCTGGACTGAAATGGCACCGAATGAGAGTCCGTAAGACTTCATGGCCTGTGTATTGCATGACACTGCAATCCTGTGGATGCGACCTGAACCGAGGTTGAGAGTACGTTCCTCCTCTGTCGATCACCGGTAAGGACGCATCCGCGAATAGTGCATATATGGAGACGCACCGGTAGTCGAAGTTCGGTATCCCGTACGATCTCCGCGAGCCCTTCTCGTATTCCTCGTTGCTCCGCATCATGCGAAGGTCCCACAGCCGCAAGACTTGATCTTTGCCATTCGAGATGATATAGCGCCCATCCCCTTTGGCCGATACATATGTGATACCTTCGGTATGCCCTATCAACACCCCCGATGGTTTTTGCGAAGTCCCGAGCGAGCGACGATCCCTTGTAGTGGATGAGTTTCAAACTACATCGACTTGACTCGAAGTGTACATACCAGACCTTGATGAACGTATCGTCTGATGCACTGATTAGAACATTACCAGAAGCAGTATCTGCCCAACAACAGCTGTTGACATCGTCCCCGTGGGCTCGGATCTTGACTGTGCGCTGGTCAGCTAGCAAGTCATATACTATAGTTCGCGTGTGAGAGGTATATCGTTCGGCTGACCGACATAAACATACCGAATATCATGCCGCTGCCTCCCGCAACGACCTCATTGCCATCCGCAGAAAACTTGCAGCTCCAGATGCTCAAATCATCATCATAATCCCATATCCCACGTCGTGATCGCACGGGGTCAGCAAATTGGATAGGAACTTGCACGGGAGATGAGTCAAGGGTCGTCGTCATATAGACGGTGCTGGACTACACTTCAAATCAACTTCATCCAGATTACAATACTGCGGAACTCACCATCGAAGCATATATTATCCTGTGACGCAGAAGAGGTATATTGGTATATGCGTTCGCTTTCTTCGCTGAAGACCATGAACTCACCTCTGATTGTCCGGACTGAGGTGCGAATCCGTAATAGTCCACCGACCGGGCGCCGCTTTGATCGTCTTGATGACTTTCATCGTCGTCGCATGTCCATATTGCCGTTCAACATCCCGCCTTGGGCTTTGAGAACCATTGATTTCGAGAGGTGCAGTCGTGTCATACACATGGAGCCGAAAGTCTAGCACGAAAGGTGAGCCCGCAAACCAAAAATGAAGCAAAGGCAGTCTGCTTACCTCTGACACATGTATAGTAGAAGCTAGAATCTGGTGTGCAGGATTTGCTTTGATCTCAACGATAAGAATGATTGGAAGATCCGGACAGACCTGAAGAGTATTGCCCGACATAAGCGTTAGCAGCGTATACGGCCACAGCAGTCCCCCTGCTGTTCGGAAGTAAGTCCTGCTCAACTTTCAGCAAAAGAGGCAAGTAACTAGTATAGAAACATACGCTAGTGATATCTTCCCTGTATATTGGACGCGATCGCGTTGCTCTGTTGAGTAAGAGCTTTGCGATGCTATTATTCTTGTTACGAGAATTTATCTGATGCCCCAATCTCCCAAATTGTCCACCTCTAAGCAGTTCTAATCCTTCTGCCTTCGGTTCTTTGACTTCAGAGAACCACGTGGAGCGATCCCAATGAGGATTTCTTGCATGTGCATCCAACTCCCAATCCTCGTCCTCGTCGTCGCGGCCCATGTCCCCGTCGTCGTAAATGCGGCGGGAAGTATCACTAATCCTAATCCCAAGAAGCCGCTGCAGATGTCCAAGGCTAATGTTGCCCACTCTGACCGTCGATTGCTCTTGGTCGTTTGAAATGGTTTGGGGCGAGACCCGCAGTACACGGTGGGGCAGGCCGTCTACATACACCTCGCAGCGTGAGATGAATCGACACATTAGGTATACCGCGAAAATGCTGACTGTTGAATAGGGCCTCATCTTCCTCTACGCCTTCAGCAGCGAACTCAAGTCCATCCTCTGCCTCATCGTCATCATCGGCATCTGAATTCTCGTACACGTCTTCTCCGAGGTCCATGATGATATCCCGGACAAGCCGTCGATGCGTACAGGCAGCAGAAAGGAAGGATGAGCTTGCTGTCTTGGAGCTGAGCAAGCAAGATGGAGTTGCCGCCTGACCCCGAGAATTGGCCGAGCGCTAACACTAGATCTCACGCGGGATGCGTTGACGCCCGTGTCTGCCATGCAAGAGGCGATGGGACACAGAAGCAGATGGACCGTCACAGAATAGATTGCTGGAACAATCACATTCCAACTCGAGACATTTGCACACCAATAGGATGTTACACAGAGGTTCGGCGGGCTGGAAGGTATGCAGTGGCAAGTGCTACACTCTGAGTCCGTTCCTAGGCTGCGCAAAACATAACATGACTGCGAAGGTTTGTCGGTGTAGGAGAAGTTGACAAGGCAAGCGAGACGGTGTTGCAATAACCAGCGTTGACTCCGACGTTGGCTGTGCGCTTGCACAAATGAAACGGCCGGAGCACAGTTGAAGCAGAACGTCCAAGCAGTCCTTACACAACGGCTGTGCATTGGCGATGTCTCCTGGATCCGATAAGATACACATCACAGATGATTCTGCCGAGTATTCCGCCTTTCGAGCATAGGTGAATTCATCGGAATCAAAGAACGATCAGGACGCATCCCGAGTGGCGGAGAGCTGCAACAGGACAACACACCAGATAGCCATCGTATGCAATCCAACAGTGCAGGGAGACACTGAAATGATACGAACGTTTGAGTCATGCATACGGCGATGGGCGCACAGCAGCAATCCAGACAATTATCCACTTAGCATTTAGTTGAGACGTGACCAGATTGCAAGACAAAAGGTGAGAGTGAGGCATGCGGATTCGCGTAGAAGAGATGAACCATTTCAGGATACAGAAGAACACAGCATATGAGAAAACGGCATTGCGGGTCCAACGGACAAAAGTGCGCAGCGACAGTGCAGGACTAAAAACGACGCCTGCGCTGCGATCGGTCGAAACGCGGTCGTGGGAAAATCTCTAGACACGTGCACGTGAGCAGAAATGCCCCCCTCGCCTGAGCCACGGTGCACTCTTGCTCTTCTGATTCGTATCTGTCTGTCTCAGTGGCTAAAGTCGCCGACAGCTGATGGGGATGCCTCCTCCAATCAAGATCACTGCGGAAGAAGTCAATCTTCTTATCTATGCATATTTCCAGGATTCCGGTATGTCGCTTAGTACTCGCAATTATGCATCCGATTATGACACATTTACGTGCAGGATTCCAACACAGTGCCTTCGTGCTCCATGCAGAAAGCAAGCTAGAGAGTTCATCTTACTTCGGCAGACATATACCACGCGGAGAGCTTGTCGAGCTACTGAGCAAAGCGCTACTATATACTGAAGTAGAAGCTCACTGGAAGGGCAACACCATGGCTGCCAATTGCCAGAAGCCGTTCTCGCTGCTAGAACGGCACGTTTGCTCTCAAGACCCTGTTCTTACCGATACAGCTCCTGTAGATCAGGCGGCGCCAACCACCGTGGCCATCAATGGCGACAGCCACTCACAGCGGCCAACGACAAATGGAATTAACAGCACGACTGAACCTGTCGCAAAACGGAAAGCCAGCACGCCCATCGCCGGAAACACCCCCACAGAGAAACGCGCGAGGACATCTCCTCCGACAGACGACAACATGGAAGTAGATAGCAACGCTTCTTCCTCAGCCGAATGTACGCCATTTCTTATATCGGCCGAGCTGATGCGTAGGATATGCCACCTGTCTAATAAAGGGATTGCGTTGAAAGCCAAACAGGTTGATGCTAGGGTTTCTTCGGGTCCTAGTGGTTCTGGTGAACTTAAAAAGCAACCTAAAGCTAAGCGGCCTCCCGGTCCCGCTGATGATCTGACGGATCCATCTGTCGTAAGCCTACTGAAAGGGCACAAGACGGAGGTAGGCAATATAGCGTGCATAATCACTAGATATCTGATCTATCATCCATCACAGGTCTTCGTATGTGCTTGGAACCCAACAAAGAAAAGCACACTGGCATCAGGGTAAGTCACCAGCGTAGAGTTCATCATATTTTAATAAATCCACCATTATAGGTCGAGGGATACTGTAGTCCATTTATGGAATGTGCCAGAATCCCGTTCGGAAGGGTCCCCAATACCTCCGAAGATTGGCCCTCCTATGACGTTGGCCTATCCCTCGAAATCAGAGCAAGGCGATCTAACATCGCTAGATTGGACTCGCGATGGTTCTCTGCTTGCCATCGGGTCATATGATGCGATCCTTCGAGTCTGTACGGCTTCGGGTGAACTGTACTTCTCACATACACAGCATGAGGTAGGCTTTGTCGCTCGTCGCCTCGATCACCGCTAGACTGATATGTCCGATCCTTCGGTGAGAAGGGGCCAATATTTGCGACGCGTTTTTCGAAATCTGGCCGTTGGCTCCTAACGGCCAGTCTAGATGGAACTGCGTGCGTCTGGGATGTAGCACAAAAGAGATTGCATCAGCAATATCAGTGCCATAAGGGTACGCTATTAACTGATGTGAGCACAAGATTGATTCCACTGGGCTAATCGTTCTTCTGCTTGCAGATTGCTGTCTGGATGTCGATTGGCTTACTGATGACATATTCGCGAGTTGCGGGGCGGATGGAAAGATACAGATCATGAGTTTGGAGCACTCGAGACCTCCAAAAACGCTTCTGTAAGTTCATTTAATGGGGAAGAGGGAAGGGATGCTGAAGCACGGAATTGTTGCAAGGGGCCATACAACCGAAGTTAATCAAATCAAATGCAGCCCCTCGCGGACAAAGATCGCTTCGTGTTCAGATGACCGTACGGCCCGGGTTTGGAATATCGAAGATGTCGTCTTTGATCGGCCACCGAATGACGAAGTCATAGTGCTCAAGGGCCATACAAATACTGTCAGCGGCATCGCGTGGTGTCCAATGACTGCTGAGGGCGAGCATGAACTGCTAGCGACGTTCGTGGTCTTGTCAAGATAAATTGCAATGATCTTTGCTGATGCGCTCCGCGGATGTAGGTCATCATTCGACGGAACATCGCGGCTATGGGATAGTGTGACGGGACAATGTTTGCGAGTATTTCAGGATCACAAACGGCATGTGTATGCGCTTGCATTCAGCCCGGATGCCCGTTTCTTTGCGACCGGAGGCGGTGATGGTTGGCTGCACGTATATGATGTTAAGGTGGGCCGCAAGTAGTCGTTAATGATCGCGTCGATGACTAATGCGACATTCTCAGGCTAAGCAGAAGCGATGGTCATGGTATGCGGGCTCGGAGAAGCCAGGAATCTTCGAGATAGACTGGCAGCAGTCGGGAAATATCAACCGCATGGCTCTGGCTCTCGAGTCCAACCAAGTCGGTGTCGTTGACGTTACTCGAGTACCTCTTCTCCAATAGTTTATTGCTGTTGGTAGTCCACACAACGCAGTGTTACACTTCTCCTTGCAATTACTTGCGTTATTTTATGATGCTATTTACACGAATCGCATCGCTTGTTATGTTCTCGGAGCGCCGGACACTTTCGTGTCCGAGGAAAGTGATGTCACGCACATGCCGAGCGAATACGCGGCTCGCGATTTATGAGTGCGCGTGGCCACTCTCTTTCCTTTACCTTTACCTCCATCTCGCTCGTCCGCCATGTTTCGTGTCGGAATCGTATCTTCATTACGACCACTGTCAAGTCCATTGGTCGCCCAAGCTGCTCGACGGCCACTTCCAGCATCGAGCTTCCGGTCCTTCAGTAGCCTACGGCCGAATGTGTTCGCAACGCTGCAGAAGCGGTCCTCTGGCCTTCGCTCACCGTTCTTTTCCAACCATTCCCGCACGCTCTTGACGGATGCCTCTCCTGTCGTCGCTCGGCCATCACAGTCGGAGGCGTGGAAGCGTTATGGTATCACAGCTGTATGTGGTCCTCTCTGTGATTTGAATCCTGCGCATCGGGCTAAGCAACGGGAGAACTATAGGTAACAGTTGCCGGCACGATTGTAGCGGTCGATCTCCTACTCAACCGCGAGACGCGGGACTCTCTGTCTCCGGCTGAGCAATCGTACCTGCACGAAAGCTTCTTGTATGCCGGTGGTGGTCTCGGTGTAACTGCTCTGGTCGCTCGTTCGCTCTTCAAGAATGGATTCGCCTTCCGGGTCATGTCGGCCAATCCCTGGGTTGTGCTGGGAGTGAGTCTTGTGGGTAGCATTGGTACCATGATGGGTGCTATGTACACGCCCCCGGAGCACACGGTCTTGAAGCATGCGTTCTGGCTGGTATGTGTTTGGTGCTCTGCTCACTTGCGAAGATAGCCTAATAAAGATGTGCAGGGGTTCAATGCTTGCCAAGCTGCGACGCTCAGCCCTCTGTTCTTCTTCAGCCCTGCTATTCTATCTCGTGCTGCTCTCTACTCTGCGGGTGTGTTCGGTTCCTTGTCCTACATTGGTGCCACGGCTGCGTAAGCCTCCCCTTCCCTAAAAACCTACGCGCTCGTTCTCAGATCTTCATTTTTACACAGAAATGACAAGTACCTATACATGGGTGGACCCCTCCTCGCTGGTGTTACTGTTGTGGCTCTGAGCTCCTTGGCGCCCATGGCTCTTCCCCTCGGTATGCGTGGATTGGCTGTTGCTGAAGCGATATCCTTGTACGGTGGTCTCGCGGTGTTTGGTGGATTCATTCTTTTCGAGTACGCATTCATATCATGAAGCTACTGGAGCGATTGTCGCTGATGTCCCATGCAGCACCCAAAAGATTCTGCAGCATGCCCGTATGTCTCAGGTTGGAGCTGTCACGCGTGATCCAATGCGCGAGGCTATCAGTCTTGAGCTGGACATGATCAACATCTTGTGAGTAAATTTTATATGCAAGACCAGTACCAAATCCTGACAGGTCATTGGCAGTATTCGCCTTGTGCAGATCCTCTCCATGCAACAGAATAGGAAGAAGTAATGGTCTGACGTGGACACAGTATCTGTAGAAGTATAATTGGTTGTATAAAAGGATTATCCTAACATGTATAACTCTGTGTGTGATTCCCTCCTATTCCCTGTTTTGTCATTCAGCATCATGGGTATCGACGCGTCACGATCGCTTTATCGGTTGGACGCGGGAAGCACGACATTGTTAGTAACGGCAGCTCTTTCCGTCTCCATTTTGAGCTTGTTCTGAACAATGCGGATGTGTAGAACGTTGAATATTTGACGGAGACTGCCTCAGCAGAGCAGGAAGAAATTCGCGGCAACGGTACTTATGCAGGACAAGGTTGTGTACAAATGAAATGGCCCTATGTCCTGACCTCCCTCCTTTCAAAGGAGGTATTTGTGGTCTGCCTAGGCGAGGCGAAGAATGCGCATCTGTGGGTGCCTTATGTGCTGGACGTTTCTGGGGATTGGCTTATGTTGTTGACCAGGCATACGAGGATGTTTGATGGGGGGGAGGGGGGGGGGGTCAGCATACTACGTAGTCATTAACTGCGCACTATGTATCATAGTATGCATTTAGCATTGATCGTTATAGCGTTTAGCGTAGCACATATTGGTATCGACGGCAGTATCATGATAGCGACGTCCACTACGATATTGATGCGAACATGCCACGAGAGAAATAAATGAAAGCATCGTCCATATACAGTCCCGAAGATCATTGAGAACCCTTTATACATTCTTGACAGCATCCTTCTCCACCTCTTCCTTCGGCGGTGCTGGCGGCTTCGTGGGCGCATGCTTAGACTTCCTCCTGATGATCGGCCCAAACTTGTAAAGCACAAACGGGATCGGGCCCAGCAGAATGGCGATAAACCCCAGCAGGGTCGACGCCCACCTCGGGTTCAGCTGGTCATACATCTGCGTCGCAAACAGCGGGAAGCCTGCGCCGAAACACGACCGCGCGACCGTGTTGGCCGCGAGCGCAGACGCTGCGACGAAGAGATACGCGTCGATCATATAGTTGAACAGTGCGAGGAAGATCCACACGATGCTCCAACCGAGCGGAAAGCCCGCGAGGAGCGGCGCCCAGAGGCTGATCCTCGGGTACGACGTCCAGCCAAACCAGAAGAAGCCGATCGCGAACATCGGCGCAGCCCACATTGCGATCTCGAGCCGCTTCTCCGGCGGCACGGGCTCCGGCTCGTACAGAGCCTGCATGCGCACATAGCGTGGGTTGAAGATGAGTAGATAGAGAACGACACCGGTGATCCCGCCGATGAAGATCGGCAGGAACATCAGTCCGGATATGCCTTCGTTGAGATTGTGGCCTTCGGTGAAGACGATGGGGTAGGCTTCGAAAAGCAGATAGATGCAGCCGTACACAAACTGGAAACAATGTCAGGAGATGAGGGAATAAGAATGTCTTTGATTACTTACACTCATGTATGTTGTGATGGCAAGCAACATGGGTTCTTGGAAGAGGATAAGAAAAGGTCGGGCAAGAACGTCCCTCGCGTGTTGCCCAACAGACTTTGACTGCCGTTCCAACGGAGCCCAGTATCGGTCGTCTCCCGTCTCCTTGCGTAGCCTCTTGGCTCTCTGGACCATCAAAATAGGCCTGAAAGAGGTCAGAATTGGACGGTAACATATTTTACTAGCACATACAAGTATGTTTCCGGAAGCGTGAACACGATGAGGATCAAGCACGCTCCGGCAAAGAACGTCAGCACCCAGAAGGTCCAGCGCCAGGATACTCCTGCGACGCTCATGAATCCAGAGACGACGGGGCCTAGCGTGGGTCCCGCAAAGGGCGCGAGCGCGAAAAAAGCGAGAGCCTCTCCTCGTGTCCCTGCGTCCCAGATATCAGATAATACTGCCCTAAAACACGCGTCAAAATTATGCGACAGCGACTTCATCAGACATGTCACGTACCCGCTGTTGGACAGAGGAGCAGCCGCGAAAGTGCCGCCGAGGAAGCGGAATACGAGAATTGATGCGGTGTTGCGAGAGAGTGCGCAGCCAACTTGAAAGCATACATAGACAACGAATGAGAGGATAAATACGTTCCGGCGTCCAAGCTGCTCTGATAGCGGTCCCCATACGAGAGGACCCACGCAATAACCCGCGACGAAGAGAGATATTGTCAACGTCGCGACCTCTTCGCTGAACGAGAAGTATTCTATGAGTTGCCCCGCGATGCCCGTCGGGGCCGAACTTGCGAACGTTCTGTTCATTCAGGTCATTGGCAGCTGTATAAGAAAGAAAACTGGACTATATGCGCACGCATTTAACACGAGCAGCCCAGACAAGGCGGTCAAATACCATCGGTATGCCCTTGACCAGTTCTTCGGATTTTCTGGGTCGTCAACCGGTATGCGGACCTCGTAAGGGTCCCAATCCTTTTCTCCTTCTTCAGGGCCATATGCTTCGCGCTCAAATTCTGATTGGATGTCATCGTCATCTTGTGCAGTAGATTCTGCGATTGAGTGAATTACGGTGGCGGACGGAGAGGTGCTTCTCGCAGCGGATGTCTGCGAGCGTGTCTCTGGCTTGTTCTCTTCCTTTGCGGTATCAACAAGCGATTCCGCTCGAGAGATTGAAGATGAGGGGGAGGACTGAGGCTGCGAAGACGCCATGGGGAAGAGAGACGCGAGATGGGGGAAAAGTTAATACGTACAGGACGGGGATACAGGCTGCAAGGAACACCGTTTAGTAGGGTCAGCCGCCGCAGGGGAGGCGGATGCGGCCAGCAATTACAGTCAGCAGCAGGGACGCATCACGTCAGCCGAAGTCATGTTCAGCTCCGGTGAGTCGTTGGAGCAACGCTAGTACCCGCTCGGAGCGCAGAGGCATGGTTTCGCTAGGGGCGAGAGGGACGCGTCAGCAATTGTCGCGGGGAAGAGGTGTCGGCTGCTGTACTTGTATGCGATCTAGTCGATGTGCGGTGAGAACAGCCACTGCAGGTCCCCTTCAAAAAGTGTTAACGTGACCTCTTGACCCCATCTTACCCCGGTCATTGAAGGGGGGGTCAATCAGTTGACCCCAGTCAAGTCTAAGGGGTCAAGCCTTGACCCCTACATCACTGCCTTCGAAGAGCAAACGACCATTTGAGGCGCGTTCATGTTTGCTTGTTCGCAGCGAACAAGACAGCCGTGGCTCACGATCAGAACGGAGCGTTGTCATTTGTGCTGACAAATGACAGCGCACGAGATAAGATTGCGGATCAGATCTCCCGGCCTATTATGCGCTGTCTTAATTGACCGTGCTATCTACCTACAAGTCCGCCTCAGCCCTGCGCGCCCGCCTTGCCCAAGCCCTCCAGCACTTGCACGAATCCTCCCGGGTCCAAGATCTCCGTCCCCCCATACGTGACCCTCTTCCCCATCCTCTTCGCCCACTCCTCCAGATTGCCGTACTCGATGTACCCAGCGCCACCAACGACAAACACTATTCCCTCCGCAAACGTCATCCGCTTCGACCGTCCGCTCCCACCGCCAGCGGCCCCTGGTGCACTCACGCCAGAGATGCCCAGCCCCGCATGTGCGTTGCGCGGCGCGCGGGGGTCGAGGAAAAGGTACTCGTCCGTCTCCTGCAGTGACTGGTTCGACGCCGCAGACGACTCCATAAGCGCCTCCGTGAGCCGTGTCACTGGCAGAAGCTTGTTCGCGGGGAGGAAGTTCTTCACGCCTGAAATTAGGTTCTCCAGACCGCCATCTTTCAGCCGGTCACTGAGCTATAACGTGATGGCATGCATCAGTATTTGAAATATGCATCTATGGAATATATGCGTACCTTGTTGCTAAGGGCACTGAACCCCTTGAATAGCTCGCCGCCGGAAGTACTGCCACCCAAAACAGGTGTTGAGCTGCCACCAACTGAGCTCGGTATCGTCATTCGCGATATCTCCCTCAGCCGTCTGATGTATTCAAACGCCGCAACATCAGCACCAGCAGCCTTGAGCTCCTTCTCCAGCTCAGCCACGTCGTCCTTCGACAGCGCGTTGTCTGGCGAAGACAGGTAAAACACAAGCACGAGCCGGAGCTTGTCAACTGGCGTAGGGGTCACACCATCCTTGGGATGCTGGAGCGTCTCAAGGATAGTATGTATGTTCTAGCGTGCCAGAAGTTCATCAATATCAGCATCTGGGATCAAAGTCAAGTCAAATAACGACACATCACCTGTTTGCTGATGGCTTCCTCCGTGCTGAAAAGTTCGTCAAGCCCGCGCTTCTTGATCTCCTCCAACAGCGCAGTGGCAATGTTCATATGGGTATCTAGGACGGCCTTTCGTGCAGTCAGCTCCGGCAACGCTGTGATGGCAGTCTTCAAATGTGTGGCGTTCGCCGAAAGGTCACTGTCAACTAGTTAACTCCACTATCAGTAGACGTAAAAGAGAGGAGGTCATACATCTGAGCTACATCATTCACGTCGCTGACCCCTGTTGAGCGCGTAACCTCTGCCGCGTCCTGCTTGTATCGGTTTAGCTCGGTATCAATATCTTCTGCGACCTGCGGGAACGGGTTCGCCGCGTTCTTCGCCCAGAAGAAGTCCTTGGAATCGAGGTCATACGAACGCTTCTGCGGCTGTGAAACAACAACGCGATTGAGCTTCATCTCGAGGCAGTCTGAGGCGAGCGCTTGGTATGTCCATCCATGCGAGAGCATGGACACGAGATCGACGTTCCTATCAAGAATGAGCAGAACTACAGTACAGAACGTTAGTCAACGAGATATCTGTGGCAATTCAGTGAGCGCTCACACGGTCGTTGAAGGTTCGACAGCCCTGTTGAGTCCTGTGCGAATATGGATGCCGTGTGTGAGCGCGCTGCGGACAGAATAGCGTCGCGAATCTTCGTCTCCAGCTTCTTCGCCACCATCTCGGCCGCATTCCCCCGCGGACAGCGGATGATAGGCACATGTCCTGGCTAGACGGTTAGGCGCGAGCAACGTGCGCGAGTATGGAGGAAGCGCACCCATCGTCGCGACCACGCTGAAGAGCCCCGTCGCGACCCGCTCAATCTCCTCTTCGATTTGCTGCTCGGTCGTGGATGGGGAGTTGAGGAGGGTATAGGTTGAGTGCGATTGCGCGGGCCCGGATTGAGTGGAGCTTGTGGGAGTTGAGGCGGAAGCGGCGGCGGGCGGGGGAAGGAGGGAGAAGAGGGAAGGCGACGGTGCGATGAACGATAAGTATTGGTCGAGGACCTATGTCCGATGCAAGGCTAAGCCATTGTAGGAATTCATATAGCAGGTTAAACGCACCTGTGCGACCAGGTCGCCGGTACCATCGCGTGCCACTGCTGCTGCTAGCTCCTCCAATAGCGCCCTCGGCAATGGCTCGACGAAGTTGAGATGGAAAGACTCATAGAGGCACTTCTCTAGATCCTGCGCTATTCGTCTGATATTGACCAGCGTGGGTGAGACGAAGTACACCGCGGGCACGTCTGGTAGTGGTGGACGATTCGAATGCAGCTGTCTGCAACCGGCATGAATACGAGCATTTGATACTCAGCGATAGAAACATACACATGTAGAGTCACTCCGACATCACGAAGATCCTGTACGCGTAACACAGTAGCCAAGACGTCCTTCGTGTGTTGGTCGAGCACCAAGACCTTCCACACCGGGGGACCCGTCGGGACAGGCACTTTCAACGACGACGCGGTCTTTCCCGAGCCTGCGCTCAGGTTGATTATCCCGCTCGTATTCTCCACGGGGTTGTTAAGGTTGAGCAGGGTGAGCAACGCGGCCATCTGCGCCTCCTGCAGCGTCGGCGGGGCTGCGATCGTCTGGAGTTATTCATTGAGTTCTTCCCGGACATCCTCAGCAGGAGAAAACATACACACTTGTTTTATGGCGCTGCTCGCCATGGCGAGCGTGCGCTGATAAGTTTGAGTTGGAATTACTGCTACAAGTGAAGTTGCGTCTTATCTTACTACTAGGGCTCCAGGGCAGTTTAGACACTCTAGCGGGTGGCGCACGTGGATTGACGAGCGCCTAAACGTGGCTGTGATATCACGCGTTAATTGGACAAGCAGTCGGAGTCTTGTTCGCTCGTTGGCAACACCTTCGACTTTGACTCTTTCGCCGGTTACCAACGAATCACCATCTCGTATAATTGAAGCACTGCGGAAGCGAACATCGTGGGGTGGCTCTGAAGCACCGCTGCTGCGGAACGGTTCGTTATAGGTTTCAATCTCACGTTCAAATCGTCCAGCGGACGCAGCCACTTCATTTCATCACTGAATCTGTCGTCTCAACCTGCAATCACGGTTCGCGCTACTATCTGTTCTGATACACTGCTCATCCTCGACATGCCAAGGACGTGTGCGGACAATTTTGCTTGTATCTTCATTCAGCACTGCCTTCACTTGTATGGGAACGCTGGCACCATCGCAACGCTCTCATCACTCACTTGATGGACGGCTAGTAAAGATATCGATGGTTCCTTCATAAGTGGAAGCGCGGGAGGCAGCGAGCTGCAAGCCCCTCCCCACTGGCCCTCCTCTGTATCTTCACCCCAATCTCAATCACTGTGAGTTGAAGGCACCTAGTTTGTGTGCCGAACCCTGACCTGTTTCCCTAGTCTTCATAATGGGCTGCATCCATAGTCGGCAAAGGAAGATTTTTCTTGACGACTCTTCGGCTCCATTCTTGCCAATGAGCGGCCTGAGCAGCCCGGCATCGCAGTGCACGCCCAAAAACCCTCCTTCGCCGGTGATACAGGGAGAGCCGGCGCCATGGGTGTCTGGGCATAGGGTGCTCACCACCTTTGATGGTCAATATATCATTGCGGAGCCTTTCGGCACATAATAGTCGCGCCGGGTTGGAGTCTCTTCTACGCTATCAGTCGGTTCGTAGCCATTCACCAATGGATAAACCGCGTTGCTGATATGCGATACGACTGAAGCTCCTTCCCCTTCTCGCATTTCGGTTGTCTTGCTGGACTCGGTCATATTTATTCTCTTTCCTTTGGACATCCTCCTTCGCTGGACTATTTTGTATCCAGGATATGCTTCACGGAATTTACGTCCGTTGTGCCTGATCTATATGAAACTTCCATGGGAACCGAATGACTCGCTCATGCTCGCACATCGCGAAGATCAGAACTGTGCTGCCATCAGCGTTGCAGAACTTGCCTTCTGGTGCACAACAGCGTTGCTTGGACGGTCGAGAGGGATCAAAGCCGCAGATATGACGGGCGCTCGCGAGCGGAAGCAGATCACGCCCGATTGGCCCCGTGGAAACCATGGCTCGATTTGGCAGACATATTCAAAGCTCACAAGCGGGCGGCATGCTGAAACTCTCATGCAGGCTTCTCTCCTGCACATGCGAGACCCTTCATCTCTTTCTGATATCCGCTGCTTCATCGCCGTACCGTACGCTCCCTCTGTGCGCCGCCTACCAAGCCGCCCACCTCCGGGCGTCCATGCGCCACTCTGCTGCGCCGACAGTCGTTCGTTACCTATCACGACCGCAACGAATTGATGAACATCGCGAGAATGCACCGAATGTTCGGTGGACCGCGCTTGAACACCGTGTATACTTACCTTCCGAAAACCCAGATCCCCCCTCTGACTCTCTCAGCGAGCCGTCTCACTGTTCCTACGCGCCCTCATCCATGCCTGCAATGGCATCCTCTTCACTGGCGCGCAACGTGAATTTAAATCGTTCGGGGGATCATATAGGTGGAACGCGTCTGAACGGGTCTGCCGCTGCGCCTTTCCCTATCCGCGATACCATCTCTGGCTTAGCCGACTCTTCACCTTTGTATGCATCTGTATCTGTTGCTGAATCTCCACTCTTCGCGCACCCCTTTGCTGTTCGCTCCGGGCCCATCCACGGCCCGTCTTATGCTAAGATTGCTCGCGCTATACCGGACCAACCTGTATGTATAGGTGATGGCTTAGATGTTCCTGCTCTCGGTTTGCTCTCTACTCTTGTACTTCCTACTATTGTCGGTCTATGTATCTGGGTGAGTGTTCACGTCTATGTTCTTTGCGGGATGAACGATAACGGGCGCTACGCAACCAGCTATTATTTGCTATTCTGCGTCCTCGTTTTCGTCAGGTGTATGGCGTGAGGGAATGGTTTGCACCGCGAGGGTGTGTTATCCACCTTGTCGCGCTCTAGATTGTACACTGAAATGAACCCCAAAAAAGCCTCCGACCAGCCCATCTTAGCCACTCTTTTTGGGCTTTCCTCCTACCGGGAGTACCAATCAAACCTTCTCTTTCTATTGACCGCTTGGGCAGTGGGGAATCTGCAGCCAAAGATGCCCACACGTACCCTTCTGACGAGGAGTTAAGCCAACGGACTCTGTGGATCACTATCCTTATCGTTTCTGGATGGACCATCCTCGGTGTAGGTGGGCTTCTTCCATTGTACATGGCAGCCTTGCCTTGCCTTGCGCATTCGACGCCGCCATTCGAGTATCACGGACAGTACTCAACGTTACAGGACCTCAGCTTACTTCGGCTCCTCCAAAGTTTGCCCACCGGCACGGATTTTAGTGACCACTTCCTAACTGCGCCATATGTGCGCGTCCGGCTTATCATCCTCGTCATTATCGCTGTTTTGTTGGCATTAGCGCCTGCGCTGTGGCTGATCCTGCGCGAGTATAACAAACTGGTCGATTACAGAGAGCGTTGGGTCAGCGTGCGCTGTCACGGTGTAGAAATGGGCTGGCTCGGGGCGGGCCAAGCGCCCGGAGTAGTTGGCTGGGGAGAGAAGCGCTTGAAAGAGTTCATCATCAAGAATGGCCTGAGCTCTTCCATGGAGGTGGATGAAGGGACGAATGGGCACCCGAGGCGGCAAAGAAAACGACGCGCCGCTGATGCAAACGGAGCCGAGAAGGCAACGGGTGAAGTCGACATCCAAAATCTGTTCTCCATAGGGTAGATCGCGTCAATTTCCACTTGTATGCATAGTTCGCTGATCGAATGTTGGGTAGGGACACGACCGAGATTGCTCTCCTCATTGATGAAAGGGATGAGATTCTGGAAAACCTCGAAATTGCGGAGACCAAGTACGTTCAGAGTTTCCGCTTTACCACACCCGAGCCATCTCTCCAATTCCAACTTCCAACAATATCTGAGGAGCCTAATTCGACTATGAAGCTTGAGATTAGCCGGCCCCGTCCATTAGCAAGTGCTGCGGTGCGCTTGCCTTCCATATACATCGTTGCCCGTTCTGATGCTCTTGTAGAACGGACGCAAGAGACGGCGAGGGCGTAATCCCGCCTCAGGGTCATCATCGTTACCCCCGACGTCATATGTCATGCCTTCGCAGTACTACAAGCTCCGTGGCGTACGAGGAGTCAACGGCGGCCACCTCACTGATGTCGAGAGAGACGTGCTTCCCTCGATGAGGGGACCAAGCCTCGCCGAATCGATCAATTCCAGGGTCGTCGGTAGTCGTTTCCAGGAGGTGAACGCGAGCTCGCCCACGATTGGTCTGGTTCCCATGGGAAGTCAGGTGACGGTCAACAAGGACGGCCAGCTCGAAGCGGTGAGAGCCCCCGACTCGCCGTACATGGGCGCGGAACCGGGAACGTGGGCGCAGGACGATGTACATTCATCATGGGACACTGCTGCGTTCCACGATACACCTTACAATCCGTGGATCAATCATAGTTCGCAGGACCATATATTAAATGGCTCGGAAGAAGACTGGCACGATGTGCTAAACGAGGATCCCGAGGCCTTCCAAAACGCCGAGGAATACCCTGAAGATACCCGCAGACGTCCGAGACCGCCCCGTGCCAAAGATGGCGTGAACGCACATCGCGAATCGTTCCCTCTCCGCAATCGCAACACGAACAAAGGCGAGGAGCTGCCGCCGCCGCACCTGCGGCTGCAGCCCCATCAGCCATTCGTAAAGCCAGTGTCGGGAGTTGACCACCGAGCACTTGGGGAGATCTATGAGAACATCGGGATATGGCGATCGAGACTGAAGGCTATCAACGCTCAGATATCTGAGGCGCAGCGGATCGCGTACAACGACATCGCCGATGGTGTTCGTATCAAGGGCTGGTTGATGATCGGCCGCGGTCTACGGTTCATACCAGGCATACAGCTGATCGAAGGCAGAGCCAAGGAGGATATACGATGGGACGAGTTACAGAATGAAGGTGGCTTCGCTAGAACGCTCGGCTTCTGGACAGCCGCTGTCATGATTTCCATCATCCTCGCGGTCATCCGTACGTATGGATCAACACTCGATCGACGCGTATATTGACCTTATCATTCAGTCATGGCCGTTGCAGCGTTATACCTCAGCACAGCCCCTGACTTTGCACATTATTTCCCGTTCCTTATGCGACTAGACGAGGGAAATGAGTTGGGAGCAGGGGTTGCTACGTGCTTGGCAGCCGCGCTCGCCGCCGTCCTGTTCATCTGGGTAGTCCTCGCAATACTCCATTGTAGGTGCTTCACAGCCAGAACTTAGCAAGACTGACCTATGTCAACAGACTTCGGACCGCTGTATAGGACGGCTTCTCTCTCGCATTTGCAATTAGTCATGTTCAAGACGACATTTTGGGTTCTCATCCTGGTCGGAGGCGCTTCTTTCTTCACTGCTGGTGCACTGCTCTCTGCAATGCACTCGTTTAGCACCTCCATTGGTGTGACTGCTTCTGTCGCGGACGGCATCGTTTACATGAGTGCATTCGCGCTGATCCTCCTGCTCACTGTTGCAGTGTCTTTCCCCGGGCTCCTCTTGCTGCAACCTCTACGATTGTGGCGAGTGTTTTGGGCTGAGAAAGCAGCCATAACGTCGCGGCAGCGCTTCAGAGGTGAGACATACTAGTGAATAGGGAGACGCCGCGCTGACGATGAGTTAGCTGTATACCCACGAACGTACAATCCATCGTATACTTTGAGCTGCGCAGTGCTCGCGTTCACTTATGCGATGGCGTTCACGTTGCTATTCCCGCCGGTTGCTCCTGCTGCACTGCTTTTACTGTCTCTCGCGTTGATTGGTATGCGTTGTGTTCACTGTGATTGTGCACCAGTGCTTACAATACTTCAGCACATCGCTTCCTGGTCACGTACGTCTATGGTCGCACAACCTCTTCAACGGGTGGCCTCCTCCAAATCTGGTTGCTGCGGCGCTTCAGTACTTTGCTTGCGGTGCAGCCTCTAATATTGGGTCTCGTATTCCTGAGCAGGGAATTGTGGGTCGAAGGTGGCATCCTGTGCGGGTTCGCTCTGTTTGTCGTGATCTTCACGGAGGGTTACTGCAATCGGAGAACCATCCAGCCTGGCAAGCAGTTACTCAATCCGATAACGCTCGATCGTCTGCAGTCCTTCATTCGCATGTCGCAGCCCGGCGAAAACGGTTTAGTCGAGGAAGAAAGGCTAAGTGTTGTCGGCTCTGGTAGGCATGGGCGCTCGCGAGGCTCGTTTGCATCAATCTTGGAGATGCTGTCGCTCACTTTGGCTGTGGTACCAACGTCATCAGAAACGAGGGGGCCTATCCCGCTAGGCAAGTGGAAAAATGATAGCGTGATGCCGTAACTCGGACTGACCTTGTACCGTGAATCACTAGCAACCGAGACGCTTGACGACCTCACCGCTACGGAGCGCGCAGCACGCACGAACCCAGAGGCGCCGCCCCATCTCCCCCCGCTTCCATTTGCAGACCACGCCGAGGAGATGGCAAGCATTCTGTATGCCCCAGAATTGCTCGCGCCGCCTCCTGTCATTTGGTTGCCGAATGACACCGGAGGCATCGGGCGTTCGGAAGCGTATGACCTTCAGCGATACCACGAGCTTCGTGTGACTCAGGACGTTCGCGCAAAGGAGGACGCGACCTCTCGCCGGTCGTGGACCTGAGAAGCTCACCGTTTTGGCCTTACTGATTAGATGTCTTCAATGATCTTATTGACTTTATGACTGCCCGCTTTGACAGACCGACGGAACGCTGATGCTTTGGTAATGAGTTTTGTACAATTATGACTGATACACTAAGTCTGTGATAGTATCCTACACGATGCGGACTCATGTCGTTACTAATGATCGGCTGTGATCGGGTATATGGACCAGCTTTGACGTTCGGCATGCTCACCGCACGGTTCTGTGTGCTAGCTTACCGATGTCATCTTCAAGGTGCACCGGATATAAGATACTTGCCACTCAATTGGTGGAACGGGCGCGAGCGTGCATGTTGCCCAGACAAGATGTATGGCCGCTAGAAAACGAATAGAGTTGAGCGCTGCATTCTGGTGCTTCCTCGGCCCGTCTCCGGCTACGAGTCACTGGCCTGCTCTATAATCGGTGCAATTATGGCGACATCTTCTGAGTAGCAAGCCCTCCTACCCTGTGCATCTTCTAGCGGACTCGTGCCACTGTGAACGGCAGCAGCCTGCCTTTGGCCTTGATCCTTCTTTGCTAATCTTGTTCACCGCTGATCCTGTGTGCGCGAAACCGTTGTTGCGGACACCTCTAGAGAAAGGGGAACTGCTTATGCATCTTGTTGTGAGTGACATGCAATAGCTCACGGTTGAGGCTGAGACAGCAATAGTTTGGTAAATGACGTATGATGCATGTGCAGCAAGCAACGAGAGTGCCTCATGCGCTTGTGGCTCTCTTTATCCGAAGGCGCGCGTCGTGAGTTCATTCACTTACCCATTGCCATCAGTGGAAGTCCCATGCACCGGGATGCTCTGCCATAGAATGAACATCGGAGAGCGGCGATACGACCTGTTCGGAGCGCACCTTGTTGGGCACATGGCAAGGGGGCTGAGACTGACACCAACCAATTTTCCGGTGCTCTTCGATAAGGAAGTGCCCTATAACGAAACGAATGAATCCGTTTGAAGGAGCACACACGAGCGACCTTACGTTTAGGGGCTCGTCGTTGCGTCACAGTGGTCACGGGAGGTAGAAAGAATAGAGCAATTCGAGGGCCTGTCTCACACTCAATCAATCATGCAATCAGGGAGTAGCTGGCGCACCGATGCAATCAGGATAAACCAATTCTCGTGTTATCACGCGCACTACAAATTTCTTCGGAGTTCTCCAGTCCAACTCACAGGTTACGCCGCACTGATGGCCTTGATCTCATGTATGGAAGAAGGCGTAGTGCACACTGTGCACGCAAAGCGCATGCAGAGGATGAGGAATTCAGAGGTGACACAGGAACTTAAGCAGGATAGTTGTCCGCATGGAGGTATCGTGATGACCAAACAGCTGCTCGCTGTAGTCAGCGGCTGTTCGCCGGCAGCCACGGTTCGCGATGCCGAGTCTGATCTGTGGAAGAACCATGCCGACACGCAGAAGACGGAATAGCGAAGTGGAGCTCTGCAACATAACAGACGCACCGTGACCGTATTTTCGGCTTACCCACCCTCTCCCATTCAAAAGCTAATATCAACCCACCACTGCAATCCACCGCTGCACCTGCAACCCCCGCAGATCGGTAACAACAAGCTCCCTCTTTCGCCACCCGTGCCTTTGAATCGATATTTACCTTCTGATCCTAGTTGGGATCGTCGCCTCTGCCTGCTTATATCCCGACCAAAATGCTTGCAAACCCACCACAGTGCAATGACCCATCACAGTGCAACGAGCAGCACGATATCGATCCATTCATCCTCTACGCACAGTCGCTGCACAACTACACACTCCAGTTATGGACGGAATCCAGACGGATCGCAGAGGAGAAAAGGCGCGACAGGGCGGGAGAATTAGCAGGAGCGCGAAGGAGGGAAGAGGAGAGACAGAAGCAGAGGAATCCGGTTTTGACGACTGCCAGCAACGCAGTCTAGGTAGAGACCGAGGACAAGACTGGAATAGCTCGAGAGAACCCGGTGGGTTGATTCGGTCGATTTGCTGTCATGCTTGCTCAATGATGCCCGTATTGCGCGGGCCCTGGAATTCAGAACCGGTATTGTGGTCTGCAATCGCGTTTGCCCTCGCTGCCGGACATACCATCGGGCGCACAGTACCCATGCTAGCGTGCCCCACGCATACTATCGACTTGCCTGTTCTACATGTACGGCATCCAGATGCCCATGGTCACCCATGATACGATATATATCCAGGACTCTTACCTCTTGTATTCCCCCTTGCATCCTATTGATATCCGCCTCCTCTCGCTCGCACCTACACACGTGGTTATGGAAGTGTTGCCTGATCGAGACATCATGCCGCCATGCCGAAGACCGTCCAGCACTCCAGTACGCTCACTACGAGTAGAGTAACGAGCAAGAGCGAGCAAAACGTTACAGACACCATCTCTTATGTCCCTCCTGGCCTAGGCCGTTGGCCGGCTTCTCACCGTGATAGGGAACGTCGACGATCAAGCCTATTTGCCCGATGGCCAAAGTGCAGTAAGAACCAATCCGACCGTTACGGAAGTGCTCATTCTCAATGCCTCCGATCTGATTAGGACTGTGCACGAGGACGCGACCAGGCGTTTCGTCCCTAATATTAGACTCGGTCGTTGATCGATATTCTGGACCGAATGTCCAATTCCAAGCACAAGGGCCAGGTGAGCATGAACGTTTGCTACTTTGCAAGGAACCCTACATAATGGAATGGGCCGGGTTTCTAATAATGACTCCGAAGAGCCCCTCGCGCTTATCCACATGCCCGAATTCATGTCACAATATGCGCTCGTCCGTGAGAGCGGCCTGTCAAGCTGGGCGAAGTCAGTTACGCGACGCACGTTGGCCGTTATCCGCACAAGATGGACGGACGATCTTTTCCTTGCCTCCGAGGATATTTAAAGGTGCTTCTTGGCTCTTGAATCATCCCAGAGACCTTCCAGCTTGGAGATAGTTGTCAAGGGCCCTCCTTGTGCAGTCGTTTCTTGACGCTTGTCCTGGGTCGGCCACAATGACGCGCAGGGAATACCGCACGGCTGCCATTGCCCTTTGGGTTTCCAGTGTCGCTGCACAGGGCAACCTGTTGGGTCCGGCCGCGTACACTGTCCCTGGGCCATTCCCGACATCTGTGTACCAATCGTACTACAACGACCCCACCGCAACGTCCGCGGAACCGCAACCCGTCATATCGGATCCTGTGACGGTAAGTCGGTTATATGCCCATAGTAACAGCTCTAAATCAGCGCATATACGTAGCATGAGACTTATCCGTACTGGTTAACGAATCCGGAGACGATCCCTCAGGTAGTGTTCGTCGATCTCTCTCACGCCCAGCTCAACTTAACTTGGACCGCAGCTAGACACCGGGGAAACGCATCCTCTTCCACCGGCAGCATCCTCGTCGCAGCTGCTCGATCTCGCCGTCCAGCAGATCGTCTCCATCGCGAACAACCCTGCTTTTGGCGACGATACATGCACACAGTGCCAAGCTTCGCTCGAAGTCGCCAAGTTCCTCGCCCTCGCTGCTCCCGAGGAGGGTCCCAATCTCGCTGTGCGGCTGTGTGAGTACTTCGACTACGCGGACGACTGCGAGAAGGATTACGGAATCTACACGCTCGGATCGCCCATCACGCAGGTTGTGGCGTATGCGGACGTGGGTGGGTATGATGGCCAGGTACGTGGATTCCTGGTGATCACAACTATTGATTGATTGTGACATGGCCTGTTTGATTTCCATCGATTTGATAACAGATGATCTGCTACAACTTTTTGGGATTGTGTCCAAGTGCTGGGACGAGCCCGTTGAACCTGACTGGCTGGTTTGCCAAACCGAAGCCGGATCCGCTCCCGCCTGCCACGCAACCCACTGGCGAGCGGCTCAAGATCCTGCACATGTCCGACCTGCACATTGACCCTCGTCCGTGGTTCCCTCTTAACCACATTCGTTCCTGGCACTAATGTGCAACCAGGTTACACGATTGGCGCCGAAGCGAATTGTACAGCGTATTTGTGCTGTCGTCCGTCGAGCTACAACGAGTACAGTCCCAATGTGACGACCCAGCCTGCTCCACGATATGGTGCCTACTATTGGTAGGGTTTCCTGCATGTCGAGGCGAATGTTCTGCTTATCATGCATCTAGTGATGCACCATATAACTTGATTCTGGCTGCTCTTCAAGCTGTTCCTGTACTGACCGGAACACAGGAGAATGGATTCAATTTTACGATCTACACTGGCGACCTGGTCTCGCATGATGATGAACACGAGCTGTCAAAGTAAGCATGAAACGTGTAACGAACGATATCTGTGGCTAACATTTGACTGCTAGGGAATACACTGTGTACACTGAGGTATCTTGGAGCTCTCCTTTACTCAGAGGTCGCGTCATTTTCTCATATTCGACCCTTGCAGACGGTCCTGTACGATCTCTTGAAACGGCAGATCAACTCTGGCCCCGTCTATGCTGTTCTGGGTAATCATGATACGTATAATGAGTACGTGTCGATAATTCATGCACGGCAAAAGTGATAAGAGCTTCCGTCACAGAGCGCAGAATTCCCCTTACAACATCGGGGAAGAACTGGAAGGCCAATTCAACTGGTACGTTTACCTTATATGTGACGTTCTTTCACTGATGCGCGGATGAACATCTAGGGATTATGATCACCTTGCCGCTTTGTGGGAGCTGGAAGGGTGGATCTCGGAGACGACCACACAACAAGCCCGCACACATTACTCGGCTTATTCAGTACAGCGTAGTGATGGGCTTAGGATTATCACTCTCAACACCGATATGTGTGAGTGGGAGTTCAGAAGCCCCGTTGGCCTTACGTGCTCATCATTCTCCCGCATACAGGGTATAGGTGTGTGTCCTCACAAATGGTCGCAGCCAGACGATATAGCTCGTTGTTGATCCATGTGTATGAAGGGCGAACTACTATAACTACATCAATCTTGCGTCGTCCGACAACTCTGGCATGCTCAGGTTCTTGACCGATGAGCTGCAGGATGCTGAAGATGCTGGTGATCGAGGCATGTAACGGCTCGACTTGTGTCAGAATGCGTTCTAACGGTGCATGATAGTTTGGATTCTAGGCCATGTCTTGAGCGGCTGGAGTGGTAGCAATCCTTTGGAAAACCCGACTAACCTATGTACGTCGCGATTGATAAGATGACTTGAAATGGAAGCTCATTGTCTCGCACTATGCAGTCTATCAGATGTACGTGTCTAATTAGCATGTCAAGAGTGTCAATATTCATCTCATGATTTTAGTGTCGACCGGTTCTCTCCTCATGTCATCGCCGGTATGTTTCTCGTACTTCCCTGAATCATCTAGCTAACGGTACCTTCAGGATTGTTCTTCGGCCACACTCATGAGGATCAGCTCAGTGTTTGTATCTTTTGTCGTTTGTCTTTCCTGATCGATCTGATTTATTCGACTCGACTGGCATGCAGATTTTTTACGCAAATAATGGAACCGTAATGAGCGCCGAAACTGCTCTCGCAACTGAATGGGTACGTCGTGACTTTGCGCGAATCTCCAGCCGCAGAATCCCTGATCGCCAAGCAGATCTGCCCATCGGTAACCCCGCTCACCAATCTAAACTCTGGATTCCGCGTGTACGAGGTCGATTCCGGGGTATGTCTATTCATGCGAGGCTTTGACCTTCTGAGCCTTAACTTACTCCACCGCCAATACAAAAACAGACATTCGACGTCCTTGATGCGTACACGTGAGTGCAACACGACGTCAAGGGTGTAGCGGCACAATGCACGCCGAAACTGACTCACATTCTAGCTGGTACGCTGATGTCAACTCGTTCTCCGAGCTTGACGATCAGGTCGAAAACGGTCCGACGTACAATTTTGAGTATAGTACGCGCGAAGCATATGGCGGTAGCATTACCGAGTGGGGACCCAATGATCCTTTGAACGCGACGTGGTGGCACCTGGTCACTGAAGGTGAGCTTGAGCAGGGGGTTTTCTAGACGACGTTATGTGGCTACTGATATCATACATCTTGCTCAGCAATGGAGAAGAACTCATCCCTTGTATCTGTGCGTCGCAGCTTATAGCCAAGGGTGTCAATCTTCTGATGTGTTCTGCTCTCTTCCAGCTCTTCAACACCTATCAGGGCAAGAGTTCCGTCCGCTCTCCCTCGTGCACCGGCGAGTGTGCTTCAGCCAAGGTCTGTTACATGCGAAGTGGCAGTGCTAGTATCGCCATTCAAAACTGCCCGTCTGGCTATGATTCTGTTCAATGAGACATTCGCTTGGGACCGTCTAGTGAGGGGTTCCTGAAGTCATCCTGATATGGCCGCTTGCTAGGACTTTTGACTAGTGATATTTCTTGGATGGAGAGTAGTATATCTTCGCTGTTGGAAAGCATGGATCTTGTCTCCTATGGTAGTGTTCTCCCCCTTTCGTGGTCTATGTCAGCCCCAAAAACAGGCGTACAGCCGCTGTTATTGATGACCGTGTAAAGGCGATGCTCGCTATATATGCGTGCGAACCCGCCGTTATTTACATCTCTCCGTCAGACCGCGTTATAACTCTTCACATAGACAACCTTCGGACAATACTCTATCACCTGTGAGAGGAATGCACCACTGACCTGTCGCCTTAGACATGCTAAAGCTGTTGCTTCTCTTAAGTGATGCGAGAACTACCACTGGAAGTGCTCGAAAGCGTTCTCGAGAAGGTCTACTACGACGCGAGATGCAACCCGGATCTCTCAACTTTACTTGCATGCAGTCTGGTCTGCAGATTTTGGGCAGAACCATCGCACCGACTGCTCCTCCACTCTGTAGAACTCCGGTCCATGAAGAGAGCCGCCCACTTCTTTCGTTCCATCGATCCTTCCACTGTTGCCGGCGGCCATCTAGGCGCATTCTCAACATGTCCACTGGATCCTCAAGTGCAGGAACGAACATCGCGCCGATCCGCCTATTCATTCATATCCTATCTTCCTGTACCAGACTCTACGGGCTAGTATTGGACGCGTATGGCATTCACGGTTTCGACCCGGAAGACCTAGCCAAGCTGCAACGTCATGATCTCAGTCCGATCCGGGCATTGCGCCTGACGGGCTACAGCGAGTCCCGCGTCTTGTATCAACTTCTCGAGATCTGGCCTACCATCCAGTTTCTTTGCATCGATTTCGAGCTGAACGCTGATCCACCTGCGCATGCTACACGCGTCAAACTCTACGAGCTATCGCTACTCGGTGGGCTTTCCGTCAAGGTTATGACTTGGCTGTTGTCCTCCTCAGAGCTCTCGCTGCAGATCTTCGAGTTGCGTTATCATTTTGGCAATGATCACGCAAGAGTGCTTGCAAAGCATGGGCCGCATATCCGCTCCCTGCGTGTGCTGTCCCCTACCTCGGAAGTCCAGTCATTGGTCGAGAACTGTCCCAACCTGGAAGAGCTTATCGTCACGCAGGCGGCCCTTGTTCAAGAACCCACGCGCAGACTAGCGAACATTCTCTCCTCGACCTCGCAGTCGCTCGAACACCTCGGTGTCTGGGTTGGGGCTTTCGAGGATTACTTCTGGAACCTAAATTATGCTGTCAATCACCTGCAGAGACTGCGCGTGCTGTCCTATTACGCACCTGATGGCGAACTTGAAAATCACAGCAGATATTCTGAGATTCAAAGCAAATGCGAGGAAAAAAAGATCGACTTGCGACTCCTCAAGATCATGACCTGGAAAGTGAGTGCAGCCCCGCGAATGGGACAAAATTATCAAGCTTACATCTCCCAGAGGATGGAAGACCCTGTTCCGGTGGCCCTCTTTCCTCGCGGCATCTCCATTTCTCACTTCCGTTTCATGAATTGAGCGGTCATCCTGAAGGAGTATTGCAGGGTCAAATCTGTCACAATGTCCGGCATGCATGTCTTACTTTGATGCATATTCCCTTCGACTCCATCTCACCTTACGAGTAGCAACAATCCGCGGTTAACTTTTGCATGCACGAGCAACGTGATGCTGTCCAATTGTAATAAAAAAATCCAGATGCATACATTGAGGTCGCTTCTTCATTCATCACAAATCATCTCGCCAAACCCCCCATCCGAGCTGGTGTCCGCATCCATCAATGTGTCCCTCCTTTCGTCCGGGTCCAGCCAAACACAGTATAGGGCAAGATGCCACAGTGGCACCTGATTTTTCTCCATGCCCATCTGCGCTGTCCTCCACCACTGGGACCACAAATGCTCCTTCATCCTCCACGTCCTTCAGCCCAGCTAGTCCATCTTCGCCGTCCCCATCCTCCTCATCAGGCTCATAGTCCCGGTCAAACATGACTACCCGCATGCCGTTTCCCCAACTTTGGCGCAAGCGGCCGCGGATGGCAGAAAGCTGCATAACGCCCTCCGCCCACCCACGCTCAAACTCAACACGGATGGCTCCATGCTTTTCCGGCCCCATGGAGACTGGCGTAGTTGTCGCGAGCGAATGAATAGTCGGCAATGAGGGAAGGATACGGATCCGCTGGTTCTGAAGTGGGAGGCGGCTCGTGGAGGGAACTTTTGGGAGGAAGATCGTGTCCTTTGGAGGAGAGTTACGAAGGGAGACCGTCGCAGTGGCCAGTCCACGTCGACCACGGCGAGGTTGTCTGCGCATGGGAGCTTGCTCAACGGCTGGTTCTATGCCAGCCAGAGCCGCTGCTGCTCGAGCATGGCTGGCTTCTAGCCAAAGCTTCAGCCTTTTCTCTCGTTCCCTCGCATACTTGACTCCAGCCAGTGCCATCGTCTTCCCTAACCCTGCCCAATGCCCCAAAGTCTCGCCATCCTGTCCTTGCACATCGGCCCGCTGGCTAACAATGTGACAGCCGTCGAGTACTAAAGCTTTCAGTTTGTCGAAACGCCCCAACATCCCCTCGACGTCGGCCTCAACTACATTGCATGTCGACATATCGAGCAGTTCTATGTTTGGGAGCGCGTTTGGGAGCGCATACAGGAAACGAGCGGCCTGTCGCGTGGGCACACGCAGACGGAAATGATGAAGATTCTCAAGAAGCGGACAAAGGGCGAGAGTGGAGAGAGTATCCAAGCGGAAGAACACAAGAGGTTGCGCAAACTTTGTGGGCGCAATGGATGGATCCAGGGGCTCTTGTACAATGGAAAGTGTAGGTAGTTCTCCGGCAGGCCAACGCGAGAACGCAAGCAATGTAGAATCAAAGTATGCTCCCTGGCAGAATATGTTAGAAGAGCAGTATGCACCGAGCATATCTCCCTCACGTACCTTGAGAAATTGATAGTAGGTTGCTCGTTGCACGCTATGATACGGAGGTCGCGGTCAACATTCACGAGTGCCACAACCTGCAGATAGACTTACTATGGCCTGAACCTCAAGGAGATGAACCGCAACTCTTCCATCGGCTTCTGGAACATTTCTTCCAAGTGTTCCGGTGCAAAGAATGGTCCGATGAACAAGGTCAGCTCTCGCAATTTCGCCAAGAGCGCGAGCAGGTTCACCACGACATCTGCATCAACCGTCCAGCACTCCAGCGAGAAATGTCGGACCCAAGCAGCGTCTTCAGAGTTCTTTCGCAATCGGCGATACAGCTGAATGACCTGATCGCCATGTCTCAGCCGTACGCGTTCGAATAGGTGATATATCGGTATAGGCGAGCGTGCGGCAGCGCGAGTGAGAGCGAGAACAGTTTGCTGGAGATCTTCCGATGGTATGTGCGATAAAATGTGAGTATATAGCTCCGGAGGCAACGACTCTATAGGCGCAAGCATCAATGACAATGACAGCAATATGCAATAGACTGTGCGTGCCACCTTTGCTTTAGTCATGCATCCACAGAATTGGACCGATGGCTAAGACAGCATCAGAGATAATGACTTTGGAGATGACTAAGGTAGATTATTGCTGGACGCCTATGTTGAGCTACGAGGGTGTCGGCACTGAAATAAGACTGAAGAGCGAGTTGCCTCGAGGGTGGAATGAGACAACTCTGAGATAGCTCTGAGAACCTGACTGCATCTGCTTCTCAGGCTTCTAGCTTCAATCGTTGACGAACTTGCAGGTCCACCGTGCCCTTTCGAGTTTGTGATGGAAGCTCCATATCTTTGCCGCGTACTCTTCATTCGTTTCTTCAGCAACGTATGACTAGCCTGCTGTTCTCAACTATCGACGTTACGCGGCAGGCCTTCTATCGCACCGCGCTCACCTATGCCATCGTGAATCTCAAACCTATCGTGCCTGGACGTGCGTGCGATTGTGTCCTTTTTAAACAGAGAAAGCACTCATGCCCTCATCCCCCGGGTAGATGTGCTTGTCGTCCCGACACGACCAGTACGTCGGATCGCAGACCTCACGCCGTCCGAGCTGACTTCGCTCATGGTATCCGTGCAACGCGTCGGCCAAGTTATTGAACGTGCGTACGGTGCAGATGGCCTCACAATCGCGTGCCAGGTGTGTCGGCTAGTCATGAATTCTAAGCCAGGCAACAAGAGTAGATGGGCTGACTGACGTCTATGCTTTCTCTATAGGACGGTAAAGCTGCAGGCCAGACAGTACCACACGTGCACTTTCATTTGCTCCCTCGCCACTTACAGGGTGATCGGTTCTCCGAAAACAACGATGCTATCTACCCCGAGCTCGAACAATCTGAGCAGGGTCTGTCACAACATCTGCGTGCAGCAGATGCGCAGGCTGGAGCGAGGAAGCAAAGCGATGCAGAATGCGAAGGACCCGTTGTCGACGAACACCCGCTTCAACTCAAAGTCGACGCCGATGAGGACCGCGAACCACGCTCGATGGAAGAGATGATGGCAGAAGCCGAGTGGTTGAAGGCATTCTTCTCTACGGAGGAAGGCGGGAAAGCAGCAGCCTCGGAAAGATGATCTACATGCTAGATGATACATTAGAATCACAGGAGACACAATGCTGTACTACATCGACGACGCGAGGTGCGTGTATGAATTACACTAGACAATGGTAAACATCGGTCGTATGCAGGTAAAGCGAAACGCACAACAGAAAAGAGTATAATCACATCAAGGTATCCAGCAGCTCGTGATCGTACATGCGCTCCAGTTGCATCAAGTCTCGCTCATATGAGGAGGCCTTGTGATCACATGTTGGCTGTCTTCCCATGTCCCGGGAACGAGCGCAAAAGTCAGAAGCCAAGTGGCGGTCAGGACGACTCCATTGCCTGAGGTCTCTTCAGTCTTCGCAGGAAGTCACGAATGCTCGGAACGTACCTTTGTCATAAGACTTGATTGCATCCCAACTCCACGCGACAAATGCACCGACATAACCCAAGTACGGCACGACCGTCCTTAAGAGCGGCATGGCGGGGCGCACCTGCAGAGGTACAGCCGCCATCGGTATGTGGTCTAATAGCCACTTCAGGGCAGTGGTCAAAATCGCAGCACGCTTGGTGTTCTCCATCCGTGAGCTGTCCAGGACATCCAGGACAGGGGGAGGGAGATAGCTAGGCGCATATAGTCAATCTCAAATCCAAATAATTCATCAATATTGACACTACTCACATGCGGTATCCCCACCATCGAATCTCTAACGAAATCTTCTCCTTCGACGGCACCCAAACCTTTCTTTCCACGGCTTTCTGTCCTGGCCCGGTAGCTTTCCCTTTCCCCTTCCTAAAGAACGGCAAGGTGCCTCCGAAATGTACACGGGAGCTGGCATCTTCCATTTGCTGCTCTTCAATCGTTACTGCTTCGCCCTCGTCCATCGAGACTTCCGAGCGGGCGACCTCGACAAACGAGCTATCATCAGGCTCAAGTGGGCCATAGAACATAACGCTCGCATCGTCATCGGTCTGCGCATCGCTGGTCGGCATCTGTCCTTCTGCTGGCACGGTGTCCTTGCCCATGTTTGCCTTGAAGCGATCGAGCAACGCCCACACACTCTGCTTCCCCTTCTCGACAGACCCGTTCATCACGGACGGAGAAGACAGGTATGTCATCAGCTTGGAGTCGGCGAGGAAGCTCGGCAGCGTGATGCCTCCAATGGTGTCGGTGCTACCTTTGGCACCAGCATTGGCTGCGGATGCTTGCGAGGAGGACAAGGGAGGCAGTGACAAGAGGAGACTGTGGATCTTGCTAGCAAGAGTCGCTGGCTCCGGTTCTGTGTCTGTTTCTCCGCTCTCTACAGCTGTCCCGTTGGTATCGACAGTAGCGACATGATTGTCCAATTCATGTCCGCCGTTTGAGCTCGCCTTAGACTCTGTTTGAGCAGAAGAGGTGATCTCCACAGAGGCCGCTGGAGCATTTCCGGGGGTAGCATCCTTGGCCTCTGCGCCTGGAGAAGCATGCGACCAATGTGCGGGCGGGAACCCCTCATCTCGACCGGTATTTCTCCTTCCGAATTTCATGAATCGTTGAAAGTGAGAAGGGGCAGAAGGGGTTGTGCTGGGCTGTTCTGCGGTCGTCATTGTAATATCAAGTGTGTTACTAACCAATTGCTGAGTGCCCTTTGAGCTGCGCAGCGTGGAGGTGTGGGGCGAATAGTCACTTGTATGCGCCATGTCCGGATTCAGACCTTCATCTTGTGGTGCATCCGCGGGGCTTCGGATCGCAGTGTCATGGAACGTGAATGGAACATGAACAGCTTGGGGGTTCCTAGGCCCGGTAAGCCTGCGGCATTTCTTGGAGTACGAGAGCAGCCGACGGCCACAGAGTTCGCAAGTAAACTCGCCGTTGTTGTGATATAATATATTATTTTAGAAATTAAAGCATTGCCCGCCTAGCTCAATCGGATAGAGCGTCAGACTCTTAGGCGAGGCAATCTGAAGGCTGCGAGTTCGACCCTCGCGGTGGGCTAGTCGTTTTACAATTTTTGCCCGTTGTTTTTTGCGCTCGCAAACACCCTCCTTGAGCAACAATATCGCATGAAGTACAACACATTGCGTTCTCACTGTTCAAATATTCCCTAGGAGGTCGTGATTACAACAATCTCATTCAAAGGAATGCTCCGAGCAGCATTCATAGGACGACCGCTAGGTAGGCACCGATATAATTACTGATGCATTCGAGACGCCACGTTGCTCCATCTCGAACAGTTGTCGACATTCCGGGGGACTGGCATGCCGACAACAATGCGACTTAGCTTTAGAAAAGGCTTTGGAAACCATCGTGCTGGCTGAGCATCAAGCGTTGTGGTTTGTTCCGCTGTACGGGCGCGATTCCTGCTTTCCAAATGATAATGTTGCAGCCATTGGATATGCGACTTTATAATCAAAGTAATCGGTAGGGTGCTCACTTGACCGCGTCCTCGGGTGCTTAAATGCAGGGGGGGCACCGTTTCCAGGACGAGACAGCCGGTCATGCCGCCGTCTATATGAACCCTGGGAAGAATCCGCAACACCGACGGACAACCTCGCCTTGCGAGTAGAAAACTTGTCCATCTAGATAGCCGCTTCGCAAGTCAGCCTCTGCACACCGGCAATGCCCCGCACCCATTTCGCTGCGACCTGCAGCGTGATTGTCTGTATAACTGCGATATTAAACATCGTGAGTTCTGCCCGATATATATTATATATATATACGCACTTCTCGCCTTAAGGTTCGTGGATAGGATCTTCGTTCTACTTATAGCATTCGATAGGGGCAGATTGTGCTGGGTGAAGATGCGCGGGTAGATCCATCATTTGCGGCATTGCCCTTTGAGCTGGATGAGCGCAGGAGCGCCGGGAACGAGAAACCAGGCGATCAGCCGTGAGCCTTTCCTCACATCGTTCGGCTGTATGATGACGAGAGAGTTACAGTGCATCAACGATAGTGGGATATCAGCCCTCATTAGATGGTATCGTATGTTTGTGCGTCAATAGTGCCAAGATCGCCTTTGGCGAAGACTGTTTGATCGACGTATGGAGCGGCTATCGCCAAGGACCATGACATGCATCAAGAGCGAACCGTATGGCGACCCAGATACTCTACTTGGCGATGGATGACGTGCGTCGTACTCGTGCTGAACGCACCTGGTAGGGGACGGACAATTTGTTTCAGATATGGGATGGCTCACCTTTGTACACCCCTTGCGATCGTGAGGGAAGATGCGTCTGTGAAGTATCACTTGAAGTCTCGAGCTAATAGTGAGAGAAGGAGTGGAGATTTCAATGTACACGGGTATAACAACGCCAAAACTAATACACAAGATTACAGAACTCACTGCGATGCGATAGATGTAGCATTGCATATTACATTGGATCCCTCATGGGCTCATATTTCATGGCCGGATTTCCATTCAGAGTCCAGCACTTGAATTCCCTTGCGCGACAGCCTCCGCCGCCATTCCACCATCTCTCCTTGGACACCTGCCTGCTGAGCGCGCAGCGACATGCCTGGTCGCAGCCAGCGTACATCCCGCGCCCGCACGACCTTCAAAGAGGATAATTTGGGTAATATTGTGTCATGCACTGCGAGGAAATCCGGGTATGGTCTGGGTATCGATAAGATATGGAGAGGGTGAGGTGGATCGTCCTTGAACATTTTGAGAGCCGGAAGCGGGTTCTCAAGGGACAAATGGTATAGATTAGGGCAGCTTTGCAGTAGCGTCGTGGGGGATGGAAGCAGCATGCTCGGCCAGGTCTTGGTGGTGTATAGATGGAGGGAAGTCAGCGTCTCGCCGTGGGCATAGATGAAGTGCGGGACAATAGACATCGGGACGAAACTTTCGTCATAAGGGGTGATAGTAAGATGGCGCAGCGAGGGTAGTGGAGAATGAAGTAACGCGAAAAGCACAGGCGAGCAAGGCAGAGAGAGCATGACGAGCTTCCTCAGATGAGGCAGATGCAACGGCTTGACTGCAACAGCTCCATCAGGCTCTCCTGGCAGCTCGAGTTCTGTGGCATCGACGCCGGATCCGATGAGCGTGAGCTCCTCGAGGTTGACGCATGGGCGCAGTAGCTCAACAAAGTGATCTTCACTGACGTGAGCGGAGGTTTCCAGTTTGATACCCTTCAGCACACGCAGGTATGCAACCTCCGTACGATACGACAGCGCTGTAGCAGCTCGCCGGCTGAGGGTAAGAGATGGACTGATGGCGAGACGAGCCAGGAAGGGCAGCAGAGGACACAGCTGAGTGAGGAGAGTATCCACTCGATACATCTCGCACCATGTAGCGGTTTCGAGCTCGCGCATGTCGAGATCTTGCACCCATCGTCCTGGTGTTGAGTAGGGAATGCGACGAATGGAATCCCACTTCTTGTCCGATTGACAAACATGATCCGTGAATCTCTCCAGGCACGGCAGCGAAGCGATGCAGACATGCTCGTAGAAGAGCGGCAGGGCTACATTCTGCAATAATTATCATATGTCCATCAGCGCAAGAGATCCAAGGAGTTCGCAAGGTCCTAAGCAGGAGCTTGCGCAAACATAATTTCAGCGAGCGTACCTTCAGCTCTTTGGACACAACCAACAAGCCTCGCCTCAACTGCTCTCGCTCCTGCCGGTGGGATTTGCACAATTCCGCACCCTCATAGTGACCGAAGACATAGGCAAGAATCTTTGACCACACCTCCGGAGGCAGAGGCTTCATGACAGGTCTGTGGGGCAGAAGAGGCAGTAGAAGAAACTTTCCGGCCGTCCTGGCCAGTGGGCGAGGACTGAGCAGAATGGTGCTGGCTTCTGCGGCACTTGTGCCCATCGTGAAGTGTGATGGTCCGTTGTGCCTCAAAGCAGCTTTCGAGTCATGGAGGAATACGTGTGGCGGCGTTAGTCGGACATGCCGTGATCTTCGAGTTCAGTCCGAATGGGAACGATAATAGTGGGGAGAGATCATGTCATTTGCCAAGCCACTGACTCGGCCACCGTGAGTCGACTCAACTACGAATTCAATGCTCAATATTCAATTGTAACCCCGCCCTTACAATACGCAACTTTTTTATTTTATTTTTTTATTTTTTTAAATACAATTTATATCCCGCCCCGAAGGGGCGGTCGGAGGTGTGTAAATACATGTCGTGTAACAACGGAGGACCAGACGCATCTGGGGGCGAAGAAGCTTAACGTACGGACACCAGGTCCCCACGGACGCAACAGAGCAGGCGTATAGTAGAAGGGCACGAAGCCCGGTAAGCTGTGTCATGGACCACGCAAGCGCCGATAACCTAACAAAATGCATATGCCTAACCAAACTCAAAAACCGCGCCGCAGTCAGTCCGTTGACTCGTTAGAAACACTGTTTAAGGGGAATCGAACCCCCAAGATACTCCCACCAAACAGTCCTCGTTCACCGCAGAGGCAAAGTGGCATGCGGGGCATGGTGACCAGTTGAACATTGAGGGGAAGCCGGCTGGACCAGGGTTAGTGAATTGCACGACGGCGGGCCGAAGGGCGGAGTGAGTTGGCAGCCAAAGAGATGTCGGGGCGGAGGGAAAGAACAGAGGGAATCGACAGAATGAATGGGTGATGCGCGGCGAACCCTACCACGGAGCAGGCTGGATAAAAACTGATCCCCTGCATTTAAGTGTTGCTACGCCGGCATGTTGACCCCGTATTCGGTGCGGGCATGCCTTGTGGTGACGGAGGGGAGCGGACGGGGGGCGCTAGAAATGAGAAAGAAAGGAACGTGGTGGAAATGGAGTCGCACTCCATGGCAACATCAGAGTCGCCAGCAGCGGGCAGCACGGGGCGCTCGAGAGAAGAGGTCGGAGCGGGGCCAGCGCTCCGGAAAGAGGTGCGTTTGGGGCACTGTTCGGAGTCGGCGTGGTGGAGACCACGGCAGTTCACGCAGCGCGCATGAGCGCAAGGGTCGGAGGCGGCGCGATTCTCCTTCGCGCACATGGCGCACCGAGCGCGGTGCACCGATTCAAGATGGCGGCCAGCACAGACACGGCACCGGGGCGGCTTCGTGCATCCTGCAACGAGGTGGCCATAACCCCAGCACCTCGTACACTGTCATCGCAAACTGGTCTTCAGGGGACGCAAACAGCAGAACGAGAAAACGGATAGGGAGCCTGAGGATGTATCGAAGAAGTCAAGAAACTTGTTCAACAAGCATGGCCTGCCTAGACATCCTGAAAGGAGTATTTATTACGATCCCGTAATGAACCCATACGGAGTCGCGCCCCCTGGAATGCCATATGCAGAGCGACGTGAGTCATTTTGTCCACATGTACCGGTGGTTCACTTAAGCAATGATCAGCGCTGCGACCGGACGAGATTACTAGTGAGGATGAGGAGTCAGGTGCGTTCGTGCAGCGGATGGGTTGTAACCCTTCTTACCAGGAGTGGCAGACGAGGAAGACAATGACATCGTAATGCCGGAAGGACCCCCGCCAGGATCAGAAGAGGTGGATAGCGATGATGACATACCCATGCCAGAAGGCTCTCCTCCACCGGAAGATGGTTCTCTTCCTCCTCCAGGTTAGTGGTTGATTGCATTCAGCTGGAATCCATATTAATCAAGATTGTAGAAGCCCCATCTGCCCCACCTTTGCCACCAACTCCTCAAACGTCCGGCTATGGAGCTCCTCCTCCGCTTCCCTACATGCCTTCATCTGGTCCTATTCCGCTATCTCCGATGGACTTCTACAGTCCTGTGCCCCCGCCCCCCGCTGGTTCTCCTCCTCTTCTATTCCCAATGGGTTTCCCTATGCCTGCCACCCTACCCGTCCCTCTAGGAGTACCATTACCTCCTCCGCCACCACCTCCTGGCTTTCCTGCCTCAGGCATCCCGCCACCTCCTATGGGCTTTCCACCGATGTTCCAAGGACCTACTGGGTTCCCACAACCTCCGTTACCCCCGCCGCCACCTGGATTCTTCCCTCGTCGATCGCAATCTGCTTCAGCGATGCAAGATCCGCTTTCATCGATCCCGCACCAGACATATCAGGCCCATCGAGCATCGAGAATGGCTGGATCGCCGCCTCCAAATCGGCCACCGATCTCGGGCGGTGTTGTTCTTTCCGCCTCAATGAAGGCAACTGCCACGGCAGCAACAGTCGAGGCAGCTCCGCAGTTGCGCGACTTTAAGAAGGAGAGCACAGCATTCGTACCGACAGTATTGAAGCGTAAAAAGGCAGGAGCGGCTGGCGCAACGTCTAAGGTCAATGTCAATGCCGCGCCGTCACTAGGCTCAAAGGAAGGTTCTGCCGAACCAGAGCCTGTCGCATTTGCTGCCAGGCCAGATCTTCTGAGCACTTTGAAGGGCCAGTTTGGTTCCGCGGCGCCTCCGCCACCGAAAGAGGGGAAGAACGCAGAAACTGCTGGTCAGAAGCCGAAGCCAAAGGATGACTATGAGAAATTCCTCGAGGAGATGGGAGACGTTCTGGTTCCTGAGTCATGAGCAATAGCTGCGTTGGGTGAGTGGTTCTGATCTCGTTAGCACTCTTTGTAGCTTGATTCGTACAGAACATTCAATAGTTGATTGCTTCTGAGTGAGTCGGCGTGTAACAGCACTTGTGGTTGACGTTGAACCAGTCCATCGCGCATTCTTTGCTGCTTTGACCGCCTCCCTCCATATATGCGTTGATGAAGTTCCGGACTCTCCGTCTGCTGGAAGAATGACAGGGCAAGCTATGCTCCTATGATAAAGTACAGCGCAGCAGTAATCTCAAACGGTACAATTTGCTGAGGATGCCGTCATCTCAGATGGACTATTACAGAAAGACGGGCATCATGCATCAAGTTCCAAGTGATTCAGCTTTGTTATTGCGGGCAGAAGAAGGCACCCGCTCTGCGCCGTTAGAAGAGGTCACTATGATTTGTTGAGTGTTTGTTGCGTATTGTAACACATGGATCTTGAACCGCAACCACCATCTGCTTCGACAAGCGCCCGGGCTCCGTCCCCTGCGTCGTCCTCCTCCTATGAAGACCCCTCCTCTCACCTCCCCAACTTCACCCTGGCTATCCGTCAGGCTCTCCGGCCGTGGCAAAATCAGGGACCATCTGATGCCTTGCGTGACCTGGACTCTGTCGTCGATGCTTTTTATGCGGTACAGCAGACCATGGTCATGGCTCTCATTAAGGCAAATGGGACAGCCGTGAAACTGGGCAACCCCCTCATGAAGAAACGCATGGCCACTGCGGTCGCCATCGCCAAATCCACTATCAAGCCTCCTGCACCTCCTGCACCCACCTCTTCGACCCCTGGACCTGACCTCACAGCGGCCCTCCAGGACCTTCGCTCCGCCCTCGACGCCAGGCTTGATGCCTTGGAGACTCGAATGGTGACTGCGACCCCCCCGTCGCAGGCGATGGCCCCCCCTCCTCCCCAACATCAGGTACGTGGCACTCCGAAGAAGCGCTCGTATGCGGCTGCAGCCGCTAAACCTCGTCCGGCTCCTCCCGTGACGACTCCGAACCCGCCCGCTACCTCGAAGGCTCCTAAGCCCAAGCAGGTTGCAGAGCCCTTGCGGTACGTGGTTCGATTTACTGGCTCCGCGCCGGTCCACTTGCTTCAGACTCCCCCTGCCCAACTGGTCAGTGATGTGAACGCAGCACTGGCTGCGATTCCAACTGCTGGAGGAATGGCTGCGCTTGCGGTCTATCCGAGCTCCTCTGGCAACATCGTCCTGGCCTTCCCTCCTGCCACCTCCTACCGCCGCGTTGACGAACATCTCCCGACCCTCCGTGCTGCCCTCAAGCTCGACCCGGATCACCATGTCTCCAGGGACGTCAAGTGGTCTCGGATTCTCATCGGCAATGTCAGCACCCGGGCAGCCCCTGGCGGCGCTGTCCACTCGACGTCGACCCTGTTGACCGAGCTCGTCAAGAATCCTGCGCTTGCGCGCCTTCGCCTCACCCAACCTCCGCGATGGGCACGTCGACCTGAGCAAATCGACGGTGCTCGCTCGTCCGTCGTCCTCGGATTCGAAGACCCGGATGGCTCCATCCTCACCGCCCTCCTTCAGACCCCCCTATTCGCTTTCGGTACTCCCATCACCACGTCACGCTGGCGTGATAAGCTGCGCCTCCGACAGTGTACGAGGTGATGGGAGTACCGAAAGCGAATAGGGGGGTCTGAAGGAGGGCGGTGAGGATGGAGCCATCCGGGTCTTCGAATCCGAGGACGACGGACGAGCGAGCAC